CACTAGCATCTATGCCTCTCTTTGCTATTTCATCGCCAAGATTGAGGATTGGGATTCCATCAATATATTCCATCACCAGAACCCTCCTGACCAAATAAAAGAGACTAGATTACTAAAATCTCAAATAACTGCAACAGAAGGAGCATAGATAGTTCACAGAGGTAGAACCATCTAAGCAGATTCAGACGGGAAAATAACTAAGAAATATATAGTACTAGTTTGCCAGATTGCCAAAAAGTTCCACAGCAATAAGAAAAATAAGTGACTTCACTGCCAGCATTTATAAAACCAACAGAACCCTTGGATCTGATTTCAATCTTCTACAAATTCATCCAATTCCAAGACAGTAAACACCCAACCAGAAGAAACTTTCAAATGGATAAATAATAGCTTTCAAAGACAATCATCTGACCCTAGAATGAGAGAAACCAGTGAATCAAAAGCAACAGAAGAAGTGATGATCTATGTCTTTTGACCATAGTTAATGAATAATTTTTTTCCAAAAAATCAATTACCAGATGAAGATTAAAAATATATATAGCTATCAGTTAAAAAAAAATAACGATAATGGTATTAAGCTGTGCAAGACTCGAGAGTTTCATTTATTAACCTTAGTCCCAGTTCTAATTATTTACTATAGTCCGATCAAGTTCTAACATTCTCATTCATCGCATGTACCTGGTAACAATATTCCGCATCACGCGTGGCACCAGTACGGGACTCTTTTTGTTGTTGCTACATAGAAAAAGTCGGATCTTTTCCATGGCATTGGCCTCCCTCACAAAGTCAAATTCATAACCGATCTTGATTAGAAGAAAATATTCCATCATCGTGAGAAAGACGAAAGAGGACATGCAAAAATTTGATTTTATGAAATCAAGCAATTAAAAGCCTGAAACAATAAATTGAAAATTCAAGAAAAATGCAAGGTAGAATCTACAGCGCTCACCTAACTTTGATATGTTTAACCGAAGTAATAAATAACAGATCTTCACACATCATTTTGATTAATGAGGTTGGATGGAATGAGGTAAAAGGCAATGAAAATCATCAATACGTCATTTGGTTGGGTTGGGCAAATGAAGAAACATGTGAATCTGCCTTTTGTTTCCCTTTCAAAAATCATTCTAGTATCTTTTGACTATTAACCATGGTGGGTTGGTTTAGTGGTCAAAGAGGTCAACGTAACTAAATAACTTAGAGATCATGGGTTTCGATAGATGATTAGTTACCAGTCTAAGATACTAAATATTCTCTTAGTTTTCTAACCTCAACTGGTAAGCTTAGTTAACGTGTCATACTTTACAGAGAAATATCCTAAAAGATCATCCAAGATCAAATTTAAGTATTCCATAATTGGTTATGACTACAAGGTATAAGATTTGCAATAAAGCTGAAGAAACAACACTGTCAGAATCTAACATCAGAAGGGAAAGGGAAAAATCAAGTGGCAAAAAGAATAACATCATTTTCTATAACCACAATCAAAATAGGAAGAATTTCACCTGTTTCTCCATTTCCTTAGTTACGGAATATATATCAAATTTGATATCTGTCTTTTGAATGTACAAGGCAAATGCTTTCAAATTACGGATATCCGTCATCATTAGATTCTCGGTTCCTGGATGTTGCACCTACAACACACACATTACGTTGGACTTTGGAGTAAGAGACTACAAATAATAAGAATATGATATGGCTTGAGTTTCCTTACTTTTACCACAACATCATTCTTGTCACCCTTTAGCCTAGCTCTATGAACCTAATTTGAGAACAAAAGATATGTCAGGGATAAACTTTACTAGTCTTATACAAACAGACACCAAATACAGAATGCCAACTATCCTTTCAACTACATAGCAGATATTCTTTCTAGGGATAAAATATATGAAGAGGGATGAATGCAAGCACGGAAATACAGCAGTTAAAGTCATGTGTTTTGAAATGACATTGAACGTATCAGTTTTCAATTAATATCAAACAGACCAAGCAATATTTAAACCATTTTGGATGTCAAAGAGTTTTTCACTTCTTCCAAGGAATTGAATGGACCTGGGAATTCTACGTAATTCAGCAGGGGATATGCACATATTTTCTCCAACAAGTACTAAATCCAACTAACAGTTTCCACCTCATATTTTCATGAATTCAAGTTGCTAACACTAAAATTTTTTTGTTATAGCTGGATGGATGTCCTCATGTCCCCATTAGTAGAATCACAGAGATACCTGAGCAATGGAAGCTGAACCAAGAGGGTTGGGGTCAAATGTTTCAAAGACTTCACCAAGACTTCTGTGCAGTTCTTTCTCCACAACGTGCTGAACAACATCAAAAGGGGTTGCTGGTGCTCGATCACACAGTGTAACAAGCCTCTTCACCCATGCAGCTGGGGCCAAATCCGGCTTCCCAATAAGTTGAGAAACCTCATTCATAAAATCCAGCTTCAACTAAGTCAATTGTTCTAAAACTAAAACCATATGATTAAAAGCAAAAAAGGCTCTAAAAAGGAAATGGGGTGGAAAGACAATAGAGAATAATCTATAAAATGAAAGTCCGATAACAATTCAATTGAATACTTCGCTATCCCACTGAACGGAAAGACAGTGAAGAATAATCTATACTGGAGAAAGCAAAAGAAAGAAACCACCCATTTAGGAGAATTGGGAGACAGATAAAAGGGTCTATGAACGGAATACCTTAAGGAAGAAACCACCCATTTCGGAGCACATAGCATATATCTTCTCAGCTGCATGTTCATGCTGATTCTCCCACATTGCCTCCTGCTTCTCCACATCCTTCTCGAACTTCACCCGAAGCTGAAAAACCTAAAATCCCCAAAGAGCAAATTGAACCACCAACTATCTGAAACCCCAGCAGCTCTTAAACGCATAAAAACAGACCTTATAACCAGTGTAGATGTCAGCAACACGGACCCAGAACTGAAAAGAACGTTCCCAGGGTCTGAACTGCGCGGAGAGCTTCTCTTGAACATCTCTAAAATCAAGACGAGGGAACATGTTGGTTCTCTTCTAGCTGCTATCCGAAAATGGCCCTCTCATTTCAGTGCCAAACGAGCCTCCGTTCCTTCACGCGTAACCTTGAACGACTGCTTGAAAGGAAACAAAAAAATTGCACCACTCGAAAACCAAGCGGGTCGATGCCCAACGGGCTGGTAAAAGGATATACAAAACATCACAAATTGTGGCTGATAAACCGTTGCAAATCCTCGCACACGCGTGGGGTTCTCAATCAGGAATTTGGAGTTCATTTACCAAAAGTGCTCGGCTTACCAATAAAATTCCCGGTTTGTGATCTCGCGCGTAAACAAAATTCTATCCTCCCTTCTTACTTCATCTTTTACCTGAAGTAGTTCTTTTCACCGTTGTTTTGTTTCAGATCAGCAGAAACAGAATGCCAAACAAATCTACCTTATCACTCAATTCTCAAAAAGGCAACTATTTATTCCCGTGGTGGTTGCGGTTGTCGACGAATGTAATAGTTTTGGTATGTCCGAAGTTCGAAAATTTAAAATATAATTTCAGAACAATTTATTTTAAATAATTATTTTTCACTACACCATATGGCCCACAAACTGCCTATCGTAATTTCTAACAAAAATCAATTTAAAAGTATCAAACTATATCTACATTACACTTGCCATTGCTGGATTTCAGAGATTGAATATTTTTTCAAAAAACTTGAAAACCGAACCTCTTACTTTCAATCAATTAAGTTGTCGTCAGCTCAGATTGACTGGCTGTAGTGTACGAGTATTATTGCATTTTCAAGATCATGGTCAAGGAACAGGCCTGATCATCTTCACTGAAAGTGGCGGAGGAATCAAATCACCGCCACTCGGTACCAAAAAGTCGATATAAACGAACCACGCACCTGGAAGAAGAGAGAGCCATGAAAAGGCTGCGTGATGGTAGAAAACATAGAATTTCTAATGAGATACTTGGTTGATAAATCAAAATCAAGAGATATTGATAACAACAAGCCCGATGTCTCGATGAAATGTTTAAAACACAAGTTACAGCACCATTTTCACGAAGTTCTAAAGCTCAACTTTCATCCATGCAATGCAGCGGCTCTTGGCTTGAATGTCGTAATGTCGAAATGCAGGAAACCTGCATCAACTACACAAATTTCGAATAAACTAAAAGCCTAGTTACAGATCAATTACACGAGACAACTTCTGGATACGGTTCAGTAAGAAGTCTCCTTGCTTGATGGTAGCTTGGTAAAGAGCATTCTTTGAGTCGGGACGATTTGTTTCAAGAACACCTGCAACTTTATCGATCTTGCAATGGAGTTTTCCCGCAGCAATAAAACGAGACAATTCCCTGACACCATCGGAAGAACAAATTTATGAGGAATGATAACAGCCATTTAGACATCACGCCCCTATAGCAAAACAAAGCTGCTATTCACAACTATAATAACTATACACTTTAGCATGACCACTTCACTTACAGATCAATAAATTCCACAGATACTCCAAATGCCTTCGCCATTGCTTCAATTGTGACACTCTTATAGGACTCCAAAAACTGGGAATAAACAACAGTTCTGACCTCTCTCATGTAGTACCTGAAGTGAGGATGCAAATAACGGTCTAGTTTTATTTGCTCCGTCAGACCAGCTGCATTTATACAGAGAATAAATAAATGAGAGACACAACAGGTAAACCATCAATCACAAATTCAAACATTAATGTACCAGTTTCCACTTACCAAAGGCCGAGAAAAATGATTTATATTGACAGTCATACAGAGAGTTCAAAAAGTCGGAAAGATATGGGACTTTTCCAATCACCGTCAATATCTCAGGAGCATCAACTACCTACAATGAATCAATTTAAATTGATAATGCAACGGGAAAACATGCCAATTATCCACATTACATACAGAAAAAGTTTTAGAAAAGGGTGAATCTAAATGAGTGGAATCACATATACCTTTTGCTTTAGAGACACTCTATCCAGTGATATAATGCTAGTGAGAACAGTATAAAATATGAATGTGTCATAAGGAAAAAGTTCATATGTGGTGAAAGTTGAGATGGAATCCAAAAACAAGTTGGCTGCTTTCTTAAAGTTTCGAGTGGACATGCAGTACAGGCCTTCATACACCTTCAGACGATTCTTTCTTTCCCAATCACCACCTTCTTCAAACAAGCTGCCAGAGAGAAAATAGTTGCAACCAAGAACATGTAATATTCACACAAAAAAGAAAGAGAAAAAAAAAGGATACCACGTGTGATTGATAAGTTAATATCACTGCTTACTTTTTAGCTTTGTCAATACTTTTGGAGATGAGATCAAAATCCATATAGAAAAATCCAAGCTGTAGAGTATGGAAGACCAGATCCATCTTTAGTCCAACTGCAACCGTTTTGCTCTCGGTTACCTTGAGTTGCTCCAGTGCTTTGTCCTGAGTTCAAATCTAGAAAATTAGGAGGAATTCATAGAGCGACCCTACAAGAATGGGGGAGAAAAATTTAACTACTAACCTTATCACCAATACGAATGAAAAATAGTGATTTGGCCAAATGAGCTTCTCGAACTTCACTTTCACCTAAGTTTTCTTCAGCGTCAGCAATCCTATGTAAAAAATTGAACGGCTAAATATACAAACATTACTGTTAAAAAATTAAGATAAAATAAAATAACACACAGCAGTATGACTCCATAAATAGCTACAAAAATAATGGCCATTATCTACAAAAATCTGAGATCAATCATGCAAAGGTTCCTCGTTTTAATTGTTTTTCCAATAATTCATTATGGCCGAGGAATACTGAGATATTTTTTAAGCTTTCTTTTTATGTTCATTGGATCAAAACATTGTTTTTAAGAAAAACCAAACTTTCATTGAATGAAAGACATTGGATCGAAACAACGAATGGCCCTAACTTTCAATAAATTAATGGGACATCCAAAACCAGCGTGCGTATGTATTAAGTTGGGAGTTTCTAAGAGAAAATGGTTACAAATAAAGGAAGAGAACAATGGGGGGAGGCATTGAGGGTTTCAAATTGAGCTTGACTCAAGGGGAGGATTCTAGGTTCCTCAAATTACCTAGATCACTATTTTCTACTTGTATTGTTGGTTATTCGATATATTTTAGCGGATTGGAATTCTAGTTCCCATCAGGGCACATACAAGGATTCGATCCCAAAACTTCCAGCCCATCGCATTCAGTTGCTACAAAACAAGAAGTACGAAAGAAAGTCCCCATACTTTTTTTTTTAAAAGAAACTATTCCATTGATAATATGAAATATGAGAACAGAAAAGGGGAGAGATCCATAGGAAGGCTACAAAAAAGCTCTCCAATTAGATAAGAGAGAGACAAAACTATAGTGTTTAAAGAGAGGAGAGCATTTACACCAAGATGCAACCAAACCAACTATACCAACTATAGAATCAAAAAGAAGTTTCATTGTGAGCTCTCTTCCTTGGAAAATGCGACGATTCTGTTCAAGCCAAACCGTCCATAATAAAGCCCGGACAAAAGAAAGTCCCCATACAAAATACTAAACGGCCGCTAACCTTTCATCAATTAGGAGTTTGGCAATGTAACGTCACGATATGGTAGAGTAAGATCCAAAAGAAAAGTACTACACCTTTAGTAGAAGAGATTTACATCTCCACGGGAACTCGCTAGTGCTTAAAGTTATGTTGATATGGATTGAACAATAACTCCACAATTAAATGGAAGTGATTAAGTGGGTGTGGAACTGTAAATCGATGATCGATCCAACAATTAATTAAAATAGTGCACATTTTGTATATTCAAATAACTTCAGTTGTTCTCTCCTACATGATCCTCCTCGTACTAAGGAAAACTAGAAAAGAAACAGATCAACGAGAATATCAAAAACTCACTTCTCGTCCAACTTCCTCAACTCCTCCTCGTTTTTCGCACGCATCGAGTCCAATACGCTCCGATCCAAATCCAACAGCGAATTGGCGATTAGGGTTTCGTATAACGGAGCCATATCTACACAACACAAGTTACAAAGAAAAATAAACCCCACCATTTCGTGAGATGGAAATCGAAATGCAGACTCGATGAAACTCATTAAGACTAGAAGAAATCAATCCACGAGTTACCATCAGCTTTAACGGAGGCCAGCACTTCCTCTCTGAGACGGACCTTCTCGATATCTTGAACATCAGGATGAGTTAGAAGGAAGAGCTTGTGAGCGAGCACGAGGTGCGGCTGCTGAGTTCCCTCTTGGCCTTCCATGGCGACTGAGAAAAATTACTCGCCGAGTGAGGTATTTGAGCTTCGTCTCTATGCCTTTCTTGCAGGAGGAGGCACCGAGAGAGTAGTGCAGTTATCGTAACAAAAGGAAACTACAAACTTTTTTTTCTTTTCCTCTCTCTTCTTTTTTGATGGTTGTAATTTACACGGGGATTTTTTTTTTGCTTGCAGGCCGGCCCATCTAAAAGCCCATGGACTGTGAGAGTATGGGCTGTCTGATTGATATATTTAATGTCACACTTTAACTTGTGTTGATTGCACTTTTAACATTGTTCCAAAACAAAATTAAAATTGCAAATTTAAAATTGGAAAATACTCGAGTCCTCCCCGAGGACCTAGAAATCTATTGCGGTGACTACCATTGAATGTTTGATAGTTAATAAATATAAATGTAAAGGTTAAAAAAATTAAAATAATAAATTGTCAAACATTTAATGGTGGTCAATATAGAATAGATACGTTGAGAACTTAAGTATTTTCTTTTAGAATTTTAGTCGAATACATATTGATTAGGATTTCCAGTCGTTTAGTTTAAATTGTCCGTCCAGACTAGTTTAATGAGTCAAATATTCATTATCTATTTTAAAGTCGAATGTATAAACTCACCCACACATTTATTGTTTTGTTTAATTCAAATTTATGAAATGTTTGTAGCAATGGTAAAATCATATTAATGGAGAATTGATAATTTAGTTATAAATATAGAATCATATATATTTTAATGGTAGAAATTCAATGAAGATATGATATCATGGTTATTTCTTATAATTGTTTTGGATTGGATCGTATCTTATTCCATCACTCTTTTGTTAATATTTTTTATGTCCCTAAAGTTCACACATATGATTAATTTACCAAATAATTGAATTGAGGTAAAATATATAGGATCAAAACCAAGTTATGCAATATTAAAAAAATTATATAATAATAATAAAACATGCAAGTTCAATTAAGCGAATAATCCTTAATTCAATAAGTACTTGACGAGTGTTATAGAATATCAAATTTATCGGATAAGCAACTGAGATGAGATGCTTCATTCATTGCTAATTACAACATGTCGTTTCGTTAATTGCTAATTATAATATGTTGTTTTGCTCGTCTCATGAACGACTTACATCCCCACTCAATATGTTTAGATTTATATATAATAAGTGTTTGTTTTTTCACTTTTTAAAATTGACATACAGAAAACTTTGTTTTTATATAGTTTGTAATTAAATAAAAATAATTATACTTTTTAATATATTCGAGTATAAATATATAACATTATAAGTATAAAATTTTAACCAAAAACGAATGGGGAAAGATTCGAACGCCGGGCGCCCTGCAAAGATCCGCAGGCACTTTAGTCCAGCCCGGAAGCTCCCTTCTTCATCTTCTATGACAGAAAAGAAGGACCGGAGAAATTCTGAAAAGTATCGTAATCAATGGGCAAGCGAAAGCTTCAGCCAAAGATAATCTGCATTGACCTCGATTTGCAGACCACAGGTCAAATTTTATCAGCGATTCTTTCTTATTTTCCACTGCCAAGATATTCGAGGGAGAAAATTTATAGTCGTGTAGTTCGAATCAGCAATTAGAAGTCTAGAATGGCGTCGGTTGGACCTGGGTAGACATGTTTGCCTACTCGTGGTGCGCGGTGGTGGTAATAGGAAGCATAGCTAGCATTATCTTTCTTCTTCGCTGCTGGCGGAAGAAAATTTACAGTTGTGTAGTTTGATATTAATTAGAAGGGCATTGATTGAAGTTGTACTTCGGTAGACATTTTTGTATTATCGAGTTTATCGGTGTTGATAATTCATAATAGGAAGCAGAATTTCGCTGCTAAGTGTATGGAGATGTAAAATTATTAGGCTGCTCATGTATGCCAACATTAACACGAGTTTTTATCGTTTCGTGGTGTTTCTAACTGTACACCCATTTGTCACGTATTATGCTGATTTATTTGTTTTCATATTAGAAATTTAGGAAGGGCTCGTTTTAAAAGAATGATGGTGGTGTCTGGTTAAACTTGACTAGTTTTATGCATCATTGTGGTCGATGAATTCTTGATGTGATTCAGTAATTTCATCTGGAAATTTTGTTTATACTAGATAGATATCTCAATATCAGAGATGGATGATGCCTCTGGTTTCTTGTACAACTTTTTTGCAGGGTTACTAGATATCTCAATCTCCTGGTTATTATGTTGATGGTTGGAAACTGTTTGCTTTATTTAGTTTCCCTCTCACTTTTACACGCTATAATCAGAGGACTACAAAGTTGTATGGCCGAGTTTAAAAGGCGGAACCACCTACATACATTTTTTAATACTTCATCATCATCGTCGTCGTTTTTTCTAATTGATAGTGTTGTATAGAACAGTAGTTTCTAGTAAGGTAGACGATTTCTATTTTCTCTCATGGAAAAAAGTCATTCATTCATCTTTTATTGTTTGTTGTTTCTTTATATCATACTATGACTTAAGTTTTTTCTGTTTAAATCCTTTTTATTTACTTTTAAATTTAGACTGTTTGGCTGAACTTGGCGAGGAAAATATGTCGTTCCTGTTGTACTAGAGGTTGATTTTTATTTGAGGAGTCTAGATCCCTGGCATCATAATAACTTATTGTCATTATTCCATGTAGTTTTTGTAAGTTTATTTTGGACAGGAAGGAATTTTGGCAACAATTTAACAAATTTGTTTGCTCACATTACTGACAGAGGCATGTGGGATTCCAGTTAAAAAATGTCGATCATCTCTTATATCAAGGCGCACTTACAGGAATGGTTTAAAAGATTCTGAGAATGTTGAACCTTTTCAGCAAGTACCCCTCTATGTTGTAGGTGACTCTGCCATTCCTCGTCGCAAGCGATCACAATCAACAAGGAAAAGTGGATGCAATAGTGCAGTTCCTAGTCGAAAAAAGAAGCTCGACTCTAGAGCTTTTGAATATTGTTTTCAGTAAGTACTATCTTTTATTATTTTTCTGTACATACCAAGACGTTTGGTGTAATTTGATTGGAGTTTTAAAATGTGTAGGAATTTATGGAGGAGCTCTCCAGAAGAGAAGAAGATTCAGTTTACATACCTTGACTGCTTATGGTTTAGCCTGTACTTGAAAGCTGCCCACAGAAGAAAGGTCCTAAAATGGATAAAGGACAAAGAAATATTTTCAAAGAAATATGTCTTTGTTCCTATTGTTTGCTGGTAGATTCTTCCACTCTCCCGACTTTAATAGTTTCTTCTTGTCAGCATGTTGTATCTTATAACTAACTAATTTCCATTAGGGGCCACTGGAGCCTCTTGATATTTTGCCACTTCGATGAGAGCCCGGAGTCAGAAACTAGAGGACCATGCATGTTATTGCTTGACTCACTTCAGGAGGCAAATCCAAGACGGCTTGAACCAGATATTAGAAAGTGCGTCTTTCAGTGTTAATGTATTTCTTCTCTATTATTGTGAATGCCCTTCTCTCACTCTCAGTATTGATAGACTTCTGCAACCCTTTTCAGATTTGTGTTGGACATTTTCAAAGAATATGGTAGGTGCAAAAATTTGAATTTTCTCTGCAAAATTCCTCTCATGGTGCCGAAGGTAATTGTAATTGTTGAGTTGGAAATGTCTTCTAATTCTGTACATTGTTAACTTCAACTAATTACATGACCCAAAAACTCTCCAGGTGCCACAACAGAAAAATGGTGAAGAATGTGGCAAATTTGTTTTGTACTTCATTCATTTGTTCATGGAGGCTGCTCCACAGAATTTTAGCATCAAGGACTACCCATACTTTGTGAGCTTTTTATCTTCACGCACACCCACTTCAATATATGCACAGCTGACATTTTTTTCCTTCAGCAAGAACTCTTCCTAATGCTGGAGAGATCTGATTAACGTGGTGGATGCTACCTTTTGGTGCCTTGCAGATGAAAGAGACTTGGTTTACACCAGAAGGTGCAGGTCAGTTCTACCAGAAACTCGACCATCTCGAAGACGATATCAGTCTTTAATTTGTGCTAGATGCTTGGATTTTCATACTCGGCACGGTCAAGTTGTCATCTACGGTGAGAAAATTGTATAGCAAGGGTCACCAATTCCTGACGAAGTTTAGTGTCTTTTGAATTAGAGGATTTTGTAGTGAAATGAGCTGCAGTCATTGATGGCTCATTCACTAATCGTAGAACATATAGTTTCACGAGTAGAGTAGTTGCGACCTGACGAATTGATTGGGTTTACCATTACACTTTTATATATGTGTAAATGCATTTGCTCATATGATGTTACTATAGAGTGTAGACCCATTTCACTGTCAAATCTTGGTTTCTTGTCACAATTGTTGTCGAATCATGGACCAATTATAAAGTAAATTCAATGAAGGGAACAGTTTTTTTTTATTATTATTAATAGTTTTTTATTTATTTATAGTATAACATGTAGTTCTCTTGATTGAAGGTATATGCCAATTATCGTTGAACTATATTCACTTTGGCATAAATGAAACCGTTTGAATTGTAGAGAAGTGGCCAGACTTAAAAAGTCCAAATTAATGGATAAAATTTGAGTTTTTCCATTTGATGTGGTAAATTCAAGTGGTGTCTACTATATCTATATACTTTCATCTTAGTTATAATAAATTCGTACTTAAAATTTGATTTCTAACACTTTCATCCTAGTTATAATAAATTCGCAATTAAACTTTGATTTCTAATGCTTGTTAGAATATATTTTAAGAAGGCAAGCTGTGAATTCAATATATTTTAAGCAGCAAACTGTGAATTGAATATATTTTAAGAAAAAACCTTCGATGTAGTAATGAAAACCAATTTGAACATATAATCAATCCTATTTGTTTTTATGTTCATTGTTAAAATGAGTAGTCCTATCAAATTTTTATAAGTTTATATATATATTTCAATTACTCAAATATATCCTCTAAATTGAATTTTATTTTGAAATAGAAACTATTATTATTGTTCAAAACAAGATAATTTAAAATCATTTTTCCAACTTTACTGTAAAGTACCTGCTTGTTAAAATCTCTCTGATTGACCTTTTAGTATGCCAATCAAGAGAGTCTTATGCAGCCTGACTTACGGCGGAATCAACCACTTGATTGCTGCATTTGCAGAATTAAACATTCCTTTAAAATCATTGCTTGCATTCAAAATGGCAGTACAAAAATTTGGTCTGCAACGAAAAATTTTCATTTTACCATTCTCCTTTTTCTAACACAGAATCCAAGGAGACTTAAAACCCACATTTTAGATCTTGAATATCGTCCCAAAAACTTGGGATGTTTGGAGATATCTTCTAAATCTATCCGTAGTGAAAAATTCTGTCAAAGCTAGCTTTATATCGGCATCCGTGACGTCTTTTCAGGGATTAGTAAGAATGGAGCATGAACTTAAGGAGGGAAAATTTTCAGTACAGAAGTACGTACTTCGATTCATTGGCAGTCGTGCTAAAGTTGGACAATGTTAAAGAATTATCTACCATGGCAAAGCTATAACGTGAACAGAAATCTCAAAGCTGTTGATAATGTGATTTAGTGGAAATCATTGAAAGTTTTCTTCCTTGGCATCAGATTCAGAACTATTTAGACAATTCAAATCAGAGCTGAAAAGATTCTTCTTTAAATACATAAATTACAGTAAGAAAGATGGATTTCTGGAAATCAGCCGTAGAAGTGACCCCTAGTCACCAATAATCTCAATGCTAATCATGGGTCTCACCTTGTAACTAAGCAGCATCTTCCAATTTAAGCTGTTTATTCAGCAGCTGATTTCAGATATTTTGAACCATCTATTTTCCTTTTTGACAACAACCTTTCTAATTTAACAATCTTTATCTTCCCATCTTCTGTTTCCCTCTCCCACTAAAATGGAAGTAGTTTAAGTAAGCTAATTCTTTGAATTGAGATTGATCAAATCTAAGGCTGGCATCCGAGTTCTAGACAGTGTTAAAGAAGATTAAAATAGAACAAAGGTGGTACTAGTGCATCAAGGACCTCAAGGTTTGGATTGAACTTTTGAAAGAGGAACCTGTTTAAGAAGTTGACATCGAAATCCGCTGTTTGGTTGCCGAGAAAATGAAAGAAAACAGACCATGCAACCATCGTGATGAAGAAATTCTAAAATTCTAAAATTCCCACATTCTAACCAGTTTAATCTCATCTGGGTTTGCTTTAGAAACGAGATCACAGCAGCTTCTCTAGCCAACAACTTTATGCGTAAGAAGACGGCAGTTTCTTTCGGGGAAGAAGACGTAACAGAGTCCATGGTGGCAATCAACGGAGCTGGTCCAGACTTCGGAAGATGCTGAAAGTTTAAAGAGACGGAGTTATGAATTATTGATAATGATTTCGAGATGGAGAGGAAGGAGAAGAACTTCGTGAGAGATGAAGTTGCAGCGACGGCCATGGCGACGGACCGCCGGCCAGGCTGAGTTGCGGAGGTGAAATGTAGGGCTCGAGTTTTGGACCTATGGCTAATGGGCTGGGTTTGATCAGTTATGGGCCGACTGAATCAGCCCATCAACTGGAGTAATTGCCAATTTTGGTGCTCCTCTTATTCAGATTCAATATTCCCCTCCGAGAAAGAGTTTCGCACCAAATTTGCAGAAGTTGAAGCTTTAATCATGGCGGACAGAGGAAAGAGTAGGGAGCTGGAGGCCAAGGTCCTCGAGAAGGTGGCAGAGGTTATCTCAGCAATGAAGAATGCGAAGCATGTCGACCAAGTGATATCTTCCCTTCATTCCCTGGCTGTTCTTCTCTTCCCTGTTGATGCGTCTACAATTTCAGGTCAGTCCCGACACCAGCGCTTCTCTCATTTCCAGAGTTTGTGAACGAGATGATTACAGGAGCTTTAGAAATGCTTAGGGAACGTAATGAATAAACTTATGATCATTCGTTTCTGTGGATTATGAGCTACAAATAAGCCTTCTTAGCGTTTTTTCCGTAACTTCATGCATCTGGTTTTGAAAAACTCGTAGTATGACAAACTTTCAGTTTGGTGACCCCAAATAGAGTTTACAGTTTTTCTTTACTGCTGCGCCGATCTATGGTAGTTAACTTCTTATAATAATTCACTTTTGGGTCGTGTGGTTAAGTCGTTTTTCTCCAATATCCTATGAATGTATGTTCAAATTTAATGGAGAATTTTGGCATTACAGTAGAGATTTCGGATGCTTAGTAAGTTGTTGTAATCGTAATGATTATTTTAAAATTTTGAATCTAAACGAAACACCATGTCGCTGATAGATGCATTTTACAAATTGTTCGAAGCCTATAAAATCGAGGGGTTAAATAGATTAGAAAGGGAAGTGCGAGGGGAAGCAACAACAATCACGAAATGCGAAACTTTTCCTTTCCCCCCTACATCTCCAGTGTTTTGTTGACTATTTGTTTCTTTCAAGCCAATTATCCAAAGAGAAGCAAAAATTCCACTGATCCAATGTACTCTATCTCCTTGTTGGTGTGCTTAGTATGGGGAACATCTTGCTTTTTTCCTGGTTGTACCCTTTCTGTTATTGATCTTTCTCTGTTTGTTTACTTAGTTTTTCTGCACCTTGGGAGTCATTCTATTTGGCAATTAGCCTCAAGTCTTGTTTATCTTTTGGCAAGTTGTAAAGGTTTCCTTCCTCAATTGTTAGGTGGCTGAGATTACAAAAATTTTCTTTTATGATTTATGAACAATGTAGTCTTCTTATTTTCCGCTAAAATCAAAGTTAGGTGAATTGCTAGAATTGATCATCTTCTAGTTGGTGCTTTATTCTCTTTCCATTTTGAGCTTCCAACTTTCCAACATACATCTTATTTTCACAGTAAAATTTCATAATTTTGCATTAAATCTCATTAGAAGCCCATTTATTCAGTTATTTGTTTGTTTTATGCGTTAAAATATTGCAGAGTGTGTTGGTGAGAGCTACAGGGACCAGGTTAATATCATTTATGAAATCAAACCTTCAAAATAAAGCCAGGATTTCTATTGGGAATCATGTACTTCTTTACATCAGGCAGTGAGGTTTCTACTTGTGGTGCATACAGATCCTCAGTCGGAGGCTTCCTTCAGAAAGTGAGAGGCATGAGTATTGGAATGCTTTCTATGATGGAGCTGCATTCTCTGCATTCTCCCGGGTTTTATTACTTGGTAATGCTTCTTCTTCTTCGCCCTATTATAGTGTTCACTTTTCTGATTTACTTATTTTCGTCTGTTACTGTCTTTCAGTTGTGTGGATTAGCCACATCAAGAGCAGTTTCTATTTTTTCTTTGAAAATACAGAGAATTTCTGTAAGTCACACTAATATTGACAGAAAGAATGAGATGTGCCGAACTATCTAATGATCAATGAAATTGAGGCAAAATTGCTCTTTTTATTTCTAAGAGAAGATTGGAAAGGTCCCCACTCTGCTTTAGGTTCATGCTTTCATATATGTTAAAAATCAGGAAAAGAATGTAGTGTTTAGCAAAGGAGAGGCTTCATTTTTGCATATATAAGTTTTCTATTTAATGTTCACAAAAAGTTTGAGAATCCTGTCCGATTGAAAATTTATCAATGAAATAATTTCTTACTTAACTTATGAACGGTGGAAAAGTGTTGCTTCTTAGAGTCGGAAGGAGTTGATTCATTCGGGTTTACAAAGATGCTCATAAACTGAACTCATTTGATTGTTAACTCTGTGGATATAGAAGTACTTTGTTTAGCTTCTTTAGTAGTTGGTAGGACATAGCATTTCGATCTATAGCCCAAAATGGTCACGTATTTTTTATGTTGTTTTATGCGTTGTCAATCTGTACAGAGCTTGCTTCTAGTTGGCTGGCGTGTTTCCCTTTTCTGGCAAAGAAGCACTTATATGACATTTTCTTTGTTGATGGACCTGCCATCGAGGTTGTTCAGAACTTGGTTCCATGTCTACAGCCGAATGCAATTGATGGAGTTGATGTTAAAGCTGTACGCTCTAATACTGAAAGGTGCGAAATGGTAACTGATTTTTTTGCAATCCTCGTGAAAGTTGCAGTCATTTGAATTCATACCCCCACATATCGTTGAACTAAAAAAACAATTGATTAAGGAATGGACTAATCACATCTTCCATTCTTGAAAAGCATTGTCAGCCTCGATAATTATGTTCTTTCCAATATTCAGTTTCATTTTCTTAAGCTCAAATTCTTTCTTTTACTTCTATACCGTGTGCTAAGTGCAGATCGAGTTATCAATAGAAGTGAGAGGCTCCATTGGCTTACAGATAATTTTTGACCATGTTCGCATTGCTATTATGACAGATTGATTGTACATGTCTTGCTTGAGAAGGATGGGGTGCTTCAAATAGCGAACAAATTTGGGGCATCCAGCAAATATGAGAATTTTGCCACTGAAAGCACCATAGCAGCCATTTCTAAGGTTGCACAAATTGTAACATCAATTTCTGACAAAGCACAATCGAGAGCATCCAACTCATTGTCATCACAGTATCCTTATCTCTCAAATTCCAGCTGTGGGGGGCTCATATTTCAAATAATCTGTACATGCTTAACAAGTTTCACATGGGGATTAGTATTTACACATTTTAATATTTATCTACTTACCTGATAAGAAATAGTTTATTATGCACTTTGGACTGTTATGAATTATGAAAATTTTCTACTATCCACCGTATGAGTTTCACAGTAAACATCATCAATCTACTGTTTTTCTTTACAAGAGATCTATAGCTCGTTCTTCAAGCAGATTACCGGGCAACTCCTTTCTCTAGCAGAAGTGAAAGCTTCTGATTATGTTAATCTCGATGGCACCATAATGTTTGTGGGGGAGACATTTTCTCGCATTTGTCGACGTGGATCTGCAGGTCAGCAAGATTTTTATGCGACTAACTCCGGGAGTTGACTTGTGTAGTAGAATTGAATTTTGTAAAAATGCTTCTTCTTATATTAAAAAATTGTAATTTTAGATGGAAGAGGACCAAAATAGTTTGGGGAGGAAAGTTTGGGAGGGAAGAGTCAACCAGCTGTTTGGAAGCAGTTCGACCATTTTAGTACATGACAACTGGCACAACCAAGTTTTGGTTCTTACCATTGCCTTCGTGCTGGTGCTTCCATTTTTTAGGTCTGGAACCTCATTAGCACAAGCGCGAGAAATATCCTTCTTAAAGAAGTAGAAAGAGAAACTATCTTCAAATCTTGCTTGATCCAATCTCAGTTAGCATAAAAAGAATTCTTTCAAAAAGTCACACTGACATTAAGTTTGTTGCTTCCTCATGGAAACTTCTTTCGAACCACACTGTTGTTGAAGAATCAATAAGGGCCAGAGGACTCACCTCTAAAGTTCCCCCATAAAAAAATTTGATAGTATCCCTTTCAATTGCTTTACAGCTGGCAAAGGGCTCACATAAAAGTCTGTGAATGCAACTATTTCTTCTTTTCTACTAAGCTACCCTATGAAGAAAGGGTTAGTGTTTTTGGTCCCCCTCGTTGAACTTTACCTCTTTGCTTTATCTCACCTCTTCTCTAACCACCAAATCTTCACAACAATGTTCAAGAGCCTACTTTTGCTCCTTTTGGTCATGGGATGGGAAAGGAACCACCAAAGCTCTTGTGGTGAGCCAAATTAGTTTGTTTTCAGCTCCCACATGGACAAGACCTCTTTACTTCATAGTTCATACGATAATCCATCTCTTAGGAGCTTTAAGTTTTTCCATAAAAGTAAAATGGCCAACTTGTCACCTTAGCCTAGTCTCTAAAGCAACCACATATTTTAAAAGCAGAAAGAGGTGAGACCCCCATTACTGTCTGCTCTATCAGGACAAATATGATAGTGGTTTGATGTGGTCCTAGGAAGATGGTTAGCCATAGAACAGCTGATGCCCACCATCCAACTGGTAGAGGCCATAAATCTATCAATTACAGGAAAATTGAGAAGTGTTCCTCGCCTCTCTTTATGTCTTGCCTTATAGGAGTCATGTTCTTTACAAATTAAATAGGAATTTCATACAAGTGATAAGCTACGTTTCATGTCAAAATATAGCATGGCATTTTCATTCTGGTCAACATGAAGGTTGTATGATGCTACTAACCATGCATGAACCTGATATCTAAGCAGTAGATATTCATTTATGACTGGTGACATGTATGGTCTGATAATTTGTATATTTCCTTTTAGAGAAAATAAAATATAGGGAAGAAACATCAAATGGTAATGGAATTAGATTGTCAATGCTGATTACATATTTGTGTAATCAGTATACTTACTCATTTTTCAGGCCTTCGTTTACAGTCTGTTAAGTTTATTTCATCACACAGGATGCATATAATAACCAAAATATTTGACTTTCTTTCTTTGCAGACTTGTTACTAAATGAATTAATTCCACGTATTATGAAGCACGTTCATGATGTTGTAATGTCAAATAATCATTCAATTATCTCTGACGTATTTGAATCAAGCCCAAATGCTCAGTTCTGGTTGAAGATAATGGAAACAATTAAAGATAATTATGCTGTCGAAAGAATTTCTGAGCAGCTTTTACATCAGCTAGCTGCTAAATGTGAGAGTGATGTTCATGCTTACTGGGTGCTGTGGCTACTTTTTCATCGTACTTTAAGACTACAGATGTCAGTAAGGTCAGTGATCAAGATCAACAGGTCGAATACTGTGAGAGTCCTGTTAGGGTTAGTTAAAGAATGGTATTAATATATGGGTTATGGGTGTTATGGTAATTAGATAGGGGTAAGTTGGTTATAAATAAAAGTAGCAGGGGAAAAGAAAGATATCTTTGGGGATAGTATTGTGTGAGAAATTTGAGAGAGTTCTTGGGAGAGAGATAACTTGAAAGGCTATTGATATTGTAGTTTCTGTTTGAGATTGCAGTATAGTTATCTAGTTAGGTTCTTGTATTTGGGATCCTAACAAATACATGTCCTTACCTTCCCTCACCTTCAGGAATAAAAAAATCACATAAGATATATATTCAAATCATGCATTTGATGGTATGTTTTACAAGTTAATTATTTGTAGTTTGTACCATATCATATTAGTTCCACCATTTATAAGTTTATAACTTTTTTATAGGAATCAAAATCATAACTAATTTGATAGTTTTAAGGTTAAATTTGATTAATCTAGCCGACAATGGATGAACGATAATTTTTTCCCCAAGAAAAAGAAGTCAGTTCTCTGGGGTGTTTTGGGTCTAACTGAGCGCAGGGATTATTTTTAATGATGTAATTTTGCAGGTCCATTTTCGTTGACAAATTTTTGGTCTGGAAGGTATTCCCCATTCATTGCCTGCACTGGATTCTACAGTTTGCTGTTCTTGAATGCCCACCTGATGCCAATTGTCTCAAGAAAGGTCATAGTAATAGCAGCCTCTTAATGACAGTGCAGCGTCTGGTAGAAGTGTGGTCTAAAAAGGAGTTTGTCCAATCAGCCACGATTGAGCAGCAAGCTTGTATCCACATTTCCATTCTTTCTAGCACTGACTCATTATTATAGTAGGAAATTAGGAATACAACGTGGGATTTCATTGAACGATGAAAATGGAAGTGAAAATAATGAATGATTTGTTCGGAGTTAGTGTATTCTTGCTTCATCAAAGGGTCTTATATTTTGTTGCACTTGTTTATAAGTTGTTTGCATTAACTATCTATTAGATATATCTGCAGCTGTTGGTCTTTCTCTTGAATTAATGTCTAAAGAGGAACTTGATGAAACTAAGAACGTTATGCACTCGATTCTTCAAGGGGTCAGCTGTAAGTACTATTTTAGTAATATTGATAGAATTTCATTTTTGGAAGTGTAATTTCTCCGGTAATGTTTTTGTTCACTTTCAGGTAGGCTGGAGAATCCTAATCAATGGATTCGAAAAATGGCTAGCACTGTTGCTCTAGTGTTCTCTAAAGTCATTGACCCTAAGAATCCTCTGTATCTTGATGATAGTTGCACGGGAGAGATCATAGATTGGGAGTTTGGGTTAACTACTCATAGAAAAGGGACTGTAGATTGCACAATTGATGCACATAGTAGTTCTGAAGAAATAAAAGCGTCTACTACTTTGGTTCAGAAGGAAGCTACTCATGCGACAAAAGAGGGGACTGGGCATAATACAAAGAGTAAAAATAAGAAAATTTGGGAAATTAAGTTGGCTGATCCAGATGAGATCATTGATCCAGCCAGCTTAAATTGTGGTTCTGTTTCTGAGAATGATAATGACGATAATGAAAGCGATATGTCTGATTCTGCAAGTGACTCATCATTACAGCCATATGATTTGTCAGATGATGACACAGATCTTAAAAAAAATCTATCACAGTTGGTTGATGTAGTTGGGGCACTGCGGAAATCTGATGATCTTGAAGGAGTGAGTCATTCAAGTTTCTTGGTGTTTAATGTCCAGGAGTTATGAACATACTTCTGTATTTTGGTCAAAATTATCTTAAGGTGTCTGAGAGATCATATTATTCTGCATTTTGTTTGAGCAATCGTACGGTCTATCATATTTAAGATGATAAGAGTTCGTTTCTTGACACTAATTGACAATATTTATTGAACAGGTAGAGAGAGCTCTTGATGTTTCTGAAAAGCTCATCCGAGCATCACCTGATGAACTTAGACATGTAGCATCAGATCTAGTGAGAACTCTTGTTCAAGTCCGATGCTCTGACATAGCTGTTGAAGGAGAGGAAGATTCAGCTGAAGACAAGAGGCAAAGAGCATTGGTTGCCTTGATTGTTATGTGCCCAGTTGAATCTCTTGATATTCTCAATAAACTACTATACTCACCCAATGTAGATACCAGTCAGCGCATAATGATACTTGATATCATGACGGATGCGGCCCAGGAGCTTTCTACTGCAAAAACTGTGAAGCCTAAACATCAGTCGAGGGCTCTCATTGCTACCACTGCGGAAACTCAACCATGGTTCTTGCCAAGTAGTAAAGGGCCTCCTGGAGCTGGTTCCTGGAAAGAGATATCAGGAGCAACAGGAACCTTACTGAACTGGTCAAATAGTTATGAGCGAGAACTTCCCTTGAAACCTGGTCATGTCAAGAGAGGAAAGACAAGACGCTGGGGCCTGAAATCGGTTAACATGCAAGATAATGAAATGGAGTTGTCTCATAATAAGTTCCCGGGCCATGCAGCTGCTTTCATGCTTCCAGCTATGCAAGGATTTGACAAGAAAAGGCATGGCGTTGACTTGCTGAATAGGGATTTTATTGTCTTGGGAAAACTCATATATATGCTTGGTGTGTGCATGAAATGTGCATCCATGCATCCTGAAGCATCTGCACTGGCCCCTCCTCTTTTAGATATGTTAAGATCCAGGTATTTCTCGAACGTGTGTAGTTGACTAGTTGGATTAGTTGATCGTCTATATCATAAGGTTATTTTCAGAGGTTGACTCTGTAATAAAGTATAACGCCCTTCTATGCTTGTTAATAGTTTCCCTAACTGAAAAATTTCCATGGTATGCAGTGAGGTTTGCCATCACAGGGAAGCATATGTCAGACGAGCTGTTCTATTTGCAGCTTCGTGCATACTGATTGCAGTACATCCCTCTTACATAGTATCTAGCTTGCTTGAAGGTAACGTTGAAATATCTGAAGGGCTTGAATGGGTTCGCACATGGTCCCTTCATGTGGCCGACTCTGACCCAGATAGAGAATGCTATATGGTAAGGAATCTTAAAAGCTTAAAACTGAAAAATCATGCACTTCGTTTCCATGTTGTACTTGCATTGCTGTATGGTTGATAGTACCATAGTGGATTTAGAAGGCACCTTTTGAAAGTTTAGTGAATGGTCATATAGCTAGGGAGATGAACGTAAAAATAAAGAATATAACTTAGATGCTCAAGAGACATGAAGTTGGAAAGGTCTTTAGAAGCTTAAGTGTCTTTTGATTCAATTTTTTATATTTACAATTTCGCCGTGCTCACTTCACTAACTGCATATTTGGTTGGTAGATGGCTGTGACATGTCTCCAACTCCATTCTGAGATGGCTCTCCTAACCACTCGAATGCTAGAATCTGCAAACAGTACATTCAAGGCAAAGAACATTGCTTTTCCTTCAGATTTGTCAAGGGGTATCATAAAAATGCCGTTCTCAAATGCTGAATACTGACCAGATTAGGTAAAACGAAGAAAGAAAACTGTTCTCACATCCACTCTTCTGAGCTCTCTTGTAATTTATTTTCTGATAAGAAATGCTCACTGGAGTTTAGAATTAAGTTGTTTGCCCTCCCAGTTGAGTTTTTTATTTTGTAAATCCTGAATTTTAGAGTATTGATCTCATAGTCGGTTGGTTCTTATCTTTGTAGATTACAACCTGAAAACAGAATCTGACTTTTATTTATTTCACTAAGAGAAAGAACTATGTCAGAGTTCGTCGGATTTTGATATTATTGATCAATTTGTGCATGTATTAAAATTTTTTTATCCTAACAATCAAGTAAGATTGGCTTCACTTTTATCATTTTGCAAATGGGGCGAACCAGTGCCATTAAAGTATTCTCAGAATCAATGAAAATACCTACAGAAAATATTATGGTTGAGAGAATATGTAGATTTGAGTGCTTACGAAACCTCCATTCTGGGAAATCATTGCACTTCTGGCGTGGTTTGTACCAATAATACCATTCCAAATTAGAAAAAAAGATGTCAACAAAAACTTATTAAGCTAGGAGGGGCAAGTTTTTTTCGCAAACTAATTTAGCAATCAAACATGATTTTCTCCAAATTTTACACTGTAAGAGTTTCCACCAGACTAGTACTCTATTTACCAAAAGATTCGAGTACGCAACCAAAAGGTAGAGGAGTTTTGGAATAATGTAAATACAGCTAGTTCTTACATTTCCTAATGCTAACTTGATATATGCGCTCGGGCTCGTCCTCGAGATGAAACAAACACTCGTCCCCAGGTTCGATTTGATTCACAGAGCAGAAAGCTTCCCACCCACTAGTTAGAACTTGGACATTAGGCATCTCATGGTAAAGCATCGGCCACAATCTCTTCCTGGGATCCCGAAGAAACACTAGCCTCTTCTTCTCTGGATTTCTCCTGCCTCTCGAACACGACAACTGCAAACTTGTCGGAAGTTCCTATGCGAGTAGCGAAATGAAGTGAGAAACAGTAAACAGACAATTAAGTAACTGGCTCATATCACCTAGAAAATCACCGAGTAGAACAATAAAAGAAATCATCTGTGAATCTCCAAACTTGTTTCAGTGCAGAATTGAAGCACGGTTGTGACGACGCATCAACACATCGTTCGTATGTGATTCGAAGTACATATTTACATGCGGGATTGTGGTATGCTTGTCTGTACATATTACTGTAATCCCACAACTAAACGTAACAAAAAAAATCCAACAACCCTTAACACATCGGAATTTTCGTGCGCACTTAATGAAGATAAAATCATTATCTTTACAAAATTCTAACTAAATAAAATAAACAATATAAGAAATCGGATATAGTACTGAACTTTCCCTTCTCTCTGTTATGTACAATTCCCAAAACTCAACCACACATGTAGCTATAACAGAAATAGAAGTATTGAACATCAAACAATTTAAACATTTTAAAGCCTAAGAAAAAACACATATATTCTAAATAATTATGGTAATGAAACTCAAATGAAGAGGTCCAGGATCAATATCGATATCAGTTTGGGGTCAGATATCAACTGAAACATGCCATGTAGCCTTCAATAAACTTATATGATATAAATTTTACATTTTTAACAAAGCGAGAGTTTACAGTAGCATACCAGAAAAGATGGAGTATCTTTAGCCACTATACAGGATATATGGGCTGGAATTGCATTATTAGTGACATCATTACCATCTCTACCAATTTTGTTAGACTTCTCAAGGAACTCCTCCTTAATGAATTTTGGCTCCCCTGTAAACCAAAAACAAATTCAATTTAGACATGCTGATGAATCCACAAGCTGCAATAAAATGATGTGACAAAATAAGTTGAATTACATATTTGTTTAATCAAGTCTTCATGTTTGTCCACTTCTGTGATAATTTCCAATGGTTCCTGTTTAACGATCTTTGGCATGTCCCCTGTTAAAATGCAGCATTCACTATAATAAATCGCTACAGTATCGACCAGATTCCAAAGGGCAAAAGATAAGCTTCTTTTCCTTTAGACAAGATGAATCAACAAATATACAGGCACAGCATACAGAGCAACCGGAATGGAGAGCAAACCATGTAGAAAATTTTGAACCTCCACGGAAATTGGAGTGTACTCATGTTTTGCACTATGGGAATAGTCGGTTGGAAAAGTATGTTTCTGATGAGGCTCCTGATCATGTCTTGTAATTGCTGAAATATTTAGACACACAATGGTTAGTCGTGAAAGTGGTCTCGAACATAATCATGAACAGAAATGCACCAAATCACTTTCGTACTCACTCGATGGCGTGCAGTATATTGGTGGTACATTCTGGCAGTCCACTACATCTTTTAATGGTGTATCACAAAAATGCTCCATGTTTCTATCAGAATTTGTTGCAGACGTAACAAAAGGAACCTCGATAGTCTTATCATGGCAAGAATCATTATCAGAGCCACTTATATTTCTATCAGCCTCCTCAAAACATTGACTTTTCTCAATAATCTCATTAGCAGATATATTCAAAGGAAATGGCAAAACTTCAGCATTGACAACCGGGTGGACATCAATTGTAGCTTTCTGTAACGTGGAAGCACAGTTAGGATTTAACTCATCCACAGCAACTTTATTTGTGGCATTCTCAGTTCCTGGTATTTCCATGGAAAACAAGTCAACTAAGGGGCTTCTATTTTCCTCTAGTCCCACATCCTTGTTTTGATTGATGAAATTGTAAGAATCATCAAAAATTTCGGTTTTACATAGAGGTTTGTGGCATTCATCATGACTCTGGTACTTTGGCCTTTTGTCTCGGTTCACATTCACGTTTTGAGAACTAGTCATGTTACATTTATCTTGAGATAGTGCCACATTAGATCCAGAACCCACAGAGGTGCCTGACGCTTGTGGATTTTTCAAACCTTCATTAGTTTTCTCAAGTACAGGATAAGTACTTCGAGTTCTTTTCCTCATATTGCCTCTTTTAGCAAACTCTACTTTTTCACAACCAGTTTTAGTGTAAATACTGACTTTAAAGTGCAGATCCATGATATGATTGAAGATCACAAAATCTCCAATTTCTAAGCTATGCTCTGATGAAAAAGCGCTCCACCCTTTTTTAAAAGCAAGAGATCCTTCACAATCGGAAACTGTTACCTTCCATTGTTGTCCTAGTGAATCCTCAAGAACAACCTTTTTATTTGCCAACATCGGCACTGTAGCAGCAAACATGGGTGGGAAGTACTGTAAAAGCAAATGTAGTTATCAAAAGAATTGAATAACATAATGCACCATCAATAGAAGAAAAATATCCGCACATAACAAATTGTCTGCTTTAGCACAAGAATGTTCGAGGGAACTGGATGAATTCATAGACACACTTAGAGAATGGAAACAGATACAGGGAGATTTTACAAATGGAGAGATATCAAGGGGTTACCTCTGGTATCTACTAGTTAAAAGATCTACAACCCCTTAAACAAGGCACTGTTCCTTAAATATATTTGAAAAGAAGAATGGAGAACACCACAAGCTATTAGCAAATTACCATTTTGGAAGAAACAGACATCAGGGTTGTTAAAAGAATGATAAAGAGCCAAAATGCCACCAATATAAAAATTGAGCGGGGGCAAATTTTTGGATATATTATCATACCAAAGCTTGGGAAAACAGATCGCCAAACATAACTTTGAAGAACGAGGTCACAGACGATAAACTATTTGCCTTTCTATGAAGCTGTAAGCATCTTTGAGTGCAATCCATACAGGCTTCTACCTTGCTGCCCATCTTGTGCTGCTATCTACTGAAACACAAAGATCAATAGACCTACCGTAAAATGGGGAGAATACTTGTTAAGACACAGATAAAGAAGAGTAAAGAAAGCCCCCGAAGATATTATCCTTTTTTTTTTTTTTAACAATAAACAAATTTTAATAGATAAATAAAAAGGAAAATTGTTCGTGATACAGGCTCCCAAGGGAGTGATCGAAAAAGAAAATTTCAGAGAAGCAAAAAATGATGGTAAAAATGGTGCTCTAATGGGTGAAATTGCCACACCATATATTTCAAAGATGCATTCAATGAAGAAAGTAGATAGTTGATCTGAAGAGTACACTATCTAACCCTTTTAAGAACACTTTATAAATCCGTCAGCTAAACAAACCCACCATGTAAGCCCAAGAAAAGTTTAAAATAATCATAAAACTCTGATCTAATTGTGGCTGCCAAAGGTGAAACTAAAAGCATCAGCTTAAAGTATCTCTCCCGCTAACAGAATAGAAAACCACTGCAGATGAAGAATGAGTTAAAAGAAAAAGAACTATATCCTTTGAGATAAAGCTAATTATTTGACTTCTTATTTTAACAAAAAGCACAGGAAAGCTAGACAAAATAAATAAATGGTCGAGAATATTCAATTCTAGCAGTAAGGAAGAAAGTACCTTAAAGCAAAAATGATCCTCAATGCATTACTTTGTAGCGGCTCCAACTTTCAAGAGCTGTTACTTAGATGGCCACCAAGTTCAGCTTCAAAAACCAACTACAATTCCCTTATCATTTAGATGCCGCCCACGAGACAGAATGCTTCCTCATTCTTTCATGTGAAACGTCAATCAATCTTTGTAGAATAATCCTTCAAGTAGCAACATTTTTCAAATTATTTTTTTTTTGAAAGAAACAATTTCATTGATAATATGAAATTACAAAAGAGATAACAAAGACTCAAAGAGGGTTACATAAAGCATTTCCAATTGTAAAAAAGGGAAGTGTAGGAATAATGGTGACAAAGAGGAGAACTTTTACTCCAAGTGATAACTGTGAAGACTAATGAATCAAAAACCCTTTCAAAGGGGAGGTCTTTGTCGTTGAAAGTTCAATTGTTTCTTTCTCTCCAAGTTATCCAAAAGAAGGCTCTAACAAAATGCTTCCATAGAATTTCCTTTTCTTTTGTAAAAGGATGGCCATTGAGGGTGTACTCCAATAGAAGGGGGATATCATTAGGTAATGCCGTGAACCATCCAAACAATTGAAGAAGGTTTTTCCATATACCCAATGCAAATGGGCATGTGATGAAAAGATGTGGCCGTGACTCAGATTCTGTCTTACACATTGGGCACCAATGGGAGAGATAGACATGTAGGGCAGTCTCCTCTGTAGCTTATCAAATGTGTTTATGGCTTTGTGGCTGCATTCCCATATGAAAAATTTAACTTTTTTGGCATAAGAGTCCTTCTAAATGGCCTCGTAGAGTCTAGTAGAAGAGACCGGGTTGTTTGGTGTGATCTTTTGTGAGGGAGCTTGCTGAAAAGGAACCGGTTGCTTCTAGTCTCCAGAAATTGTGTCCTCTTCAGCTGTCAAATTAGAAAAAGGTGAAAAACACAATTTTGTTTTCCTCTCTACCAAACAAGACTTTGATGGCCCCCTCATACGTCCACAAACAATCAATTGGTTCCAATGAGACGTTTTCGTTGAAGGGGTTCTCTATATCCACACTCCACAGCCACACAGAGGAATAAAAACTTCCTCACTCACTCACTCCACGATCCTCACTTTTCCCAATTAACAAACAAAACCCAGCATTATCAGTGTCGAACTCCAATTACCCCAATGCCCAATGTAGCATGCAAGTAAGTTTCAGCTGATAAATAACAAATCCCAAGAAATTTATGAACAGAAAGACGACATTGTATTCATAATCTGGAGCAATTAACAGTGAAAATAAAGGAGAAAAGGAAAAGAAGAAAACTTTTTTACGAAGTACGCTCAAGTGAATGCCAAGTCCTAGAACCAGGAGCCTCTGTTCTCGCTCTAAAACCAGTGTCTTTGTCGTATCCGCAGTGGGTGCTTCGTTTTTTATTCGGCGGTCTCTGCTTTGCTCCAGCAAACCTGCAAGTCGCTTAGATTTACTGAGCAAGGTGAAGATGACGAAAATATTGGGCTTTTTTCTCCGTACGCTGAGCCCAATAATTTTGTAGTTTCTAATCTTGGTCCAATATACTTTTCTGGGCCTGGGCTGAAAAGCTTCTACTTAAATCCTGTCTTAATCATGGCGGCGACCGGCTTCATCGACGGCGGCGACGGGATGCGGGATGCGTGGTTAAATATCTTCACATTTAAGGTGAAGATTAAATGTGTTTTTTAACCTATATATATATATATATTCCTTTTCATATTTTCATGTGAAACTACAATTTCATCTTTATCACCCATATCTGAAACCACCTCCTGACAGCAGCCATGTTTTGCTCATCCGTGGTTCTAACTTCTAAGTAGACTGATACCAAATTAGCAAAATATTGATCCATTGCCATTGCCATTGCCGCCGCCCATTCAGTGGAAGTTGGAGCCGCGAACCTTGAATAAAATAAACTCTCTCCATTGATAATACCCATTTTTTCAAAACAAGCGCCGAGTCGGTCAAATAGAGAACATAACAAGCCAATAAACAAAAATTTGCCAGTTTTCTAATGTCGAAGTTTCCACTTCCCCTTGTTACAAGGCGATTAAATGGTCAATGTAGTGAAACGAGGGGCCAAGACTTGTCCGAAAAAAAAAATGAGCTTTCTTCATCAAAAGAGAAACTTTTTAAGTTAGGTGGTCATTTAATCATCCAACCAACAAAATCAAAAGCCCCAAGAAGAAACTTTCGAATTTTCAAAGGTATTTGTTAAGGGGTCTAGACTCTAGAGTACCAAAGTGGATAAACGGACTCATTTCTTTCTTTTCAGGGGTTTGAATTTTCAAAGAAATACAGAGAAGACCCAGTCTCAGTCTCTCTCTCCCAGAAGAGGCCTCTATGGCTACACAAAAGTTACATATAAACTTTATTCATATTCTTTTCTCTCTGATCATATTTATAATTGTGGAACCTTGGCATTGCATTGACAGCAACAATCTCGGACGGAGAGGATGTTGGATTATTACCAGCGGCTTTCTTCAGGGCGTTCTTACAAAGATTTCATTGAGTTTCTAGAAGCTGATATTCGCCATGCCAATACGCTGTGAGCTCTGCTTCTCTGATTTTCTTATACATTTTTATTTTCTGAGTTCTGTATGGGCTATTGGTTGATGCCATGTCTTTTGGGGCTCTCTCTGGACCTTGGTAATGGCATATTTTGTTGTGGGATGTTGTAACCCATTGCACAAATTTTGTATCTGATAGTTTACTTTACAAGTTTGTGGTGTGAAATGCTGATTTGTGTCTTTGAAAGTTAATGGAAATGTGACTGGTAAGAGTTAGGCAAGGTTTGCCTTTATGGTGTTTGTTTTGATTCCATAGTTGGTAGGTTGGTGTTTTTGAAGGAGAGAAAAGGAAGTTTCAGATTTTCTTTGCCTTTGATGATGCTTGAATGAAAGTTTTTGTGGTTGAATGGGATGTTATTGCTCCACAAGTGAGAAGGACTAAAAACTTTTAGTGCGACAATAATAGTGAAACTTTTTTCTTTAATCTCGATGTTTGGCGATATCATTCACGATGCCTGAGTTCAGGCCTAGGTTGAAAGCTTAAAAACTTAAAACCCTCATGGTCTCTCAAAGCTGACTTTTAGTGGGCGAAACCTCTCCAAGTCCAAGATTGGTTGGGCGGGCAAAGCCTTTCTAGGTCCAAAATTAAATGCGACGAAGGAAAAAGTTTTAAACGTGGCTGCTCCTAATAACTGTTTGGATGCAAGTTCAAAATGTGTAGGCCCTCTAATAATAGATAAAGATTCGAAATACGTTTTGTATTTTTGTAATTTCTCTTTCCTAGATCCAGCCACATTGTTCCAACCTCCTCGTATAATTTTTTTGTGGTGGAGGCCCAATACCCGGTTATAAAAGAAAAAAGAATTTAGTTTGTTGCTGTGGCTGTCCTTTGAAGACAAAAGTTAATAGCAGCTTCCTTCAATTACTCATTTGCTGTCAGTAGAAACTATATGGACTGTGCTGTCATATTAATCAACTCTGAAGTTTCTAGCATATTTACAATGTCAATATATGTTTAGCTCTAGGCTCTAGCCTTTCAGGCCTTATCTTCCTTTCTTAAAATTCCATTTTAAAATTTAGTTCATATTGATATTACATTTACACCCCAGAATGCACTGCCAACTGAAAAATGTTAGTTTGAACATGGGAATGAAGCAATTATCTTATATTTAAATCTTCCATATGATGCAGTGCAGCTTCCTTTCCTAGAGGCAAGGATGGTTCCTCCTTCCAAATGAAATTGGTTTGCAACCATTTGGCACCAGTTGTTCTTTACTTGCTTCAATGGATGGATTGCTCATGTTCATATCTATCTATGAGTTACTTCAACCTATTCCACATAGTTTTGTACAAGGTGAGCCCCCAGTTTACTCAGAATAAGAAAAGAAAAATGGGAAAGAGAAGAGGAAGAACAATATTGATGTTTGATACTTTTTGTTAATCTCCAGGTGCACTCTGATGGAAGGCCCGATATCTCATCGTGCGGAAAGAAAGCAACTATAAGCGAATTCTACTGTAAGTGATCTATCTCTCTTGGTCCCTTTTTGTCCTTATTGTAAAAGTTATTTGAAGGTTTGTCCAGTGACATTATGTCAGGCAAAAAATTTGAATGCGCCTTTGTTCTGGCACGTTTCTTTTATCCATTTTCTTCTGGAAAAAATTTGTAGTAAACAGCTAAAAAAAATTTTAGTTATTGTGTGCATCAAAGTTTAAACTAATCTTTATATTCTTTAACGTGAATGCAGCTGTCATATTACCATCCCTGCAGCGGCTCTGTGATTATGCATCGCAAGTAGATAGAATTGAAGATCTCCGCACGGGAATGGCGATCTCGAAGAGATTAGAACACAAGAAGAAACTTTTAGAGGTAGACACAGAAAGAGAAGACGAATGTGGGATCTGTATGGAGCCGCGTACCAAAATTGTCTTGCCACATTGTTGCCATGCTATGTGCACAAGTTGCTACCATGATTGGTATAGAAGGCCTCACTCTTATATTCATGTCTTTAACTCGGTATACTGTTAATAGCTTAAGGTACTTTTCATAGAAAAACTTTTGATGCCTCTTTTCCCTCATATATTACAGGAAATCGAAGTCGGAATCTTGCCCGTTCTGCCGAGGGAGTTTGAAGAGAGTAGCCTCCGGGGATCTTTGGGTTCTCATGTGCAGTAATGACGTGGTTGACACTCGTACTATSATGAAGGAAGATATGTTACGCTTCTATCTTTTCATAAACAGCCTACCTGAGGATACGCCTGATGTGCTATTCTTAATGTATTACGAACACTTATTATAACAAACCAAACAATAAGAACAGTGTACATTGGACAATTTGCTAGTCGTCCACAAATTTGGGGAGGCGAGCAATTTTTCGCCTAGAAAATCTGCTCTCATTTAATTTTTGTGTGATGCAGTTATACATGAGATCCTCTTCTTCTAACATAATATTATAGTTCTTGAGGTTGATTTGTGATATTCCATTTCAGCATTTGGTGAGAAAGTATGAGAAAAGCCATTAGCAGGGAAAAGTCAAATGGTGGATGATAAAAGAAATTTCTTTTAGAAGCTCTTGTTAAAAACCAGAATACATTCTGCTGTCTCTATTGATTATTGCCTCAGCTACTCATTAAATGGATCGCCATTCTAGGTGGTTCTCTTAACATCTTCTGAACAGTTGGTCCATCAAATCATCTGCTTTTGTCCTGCTATTTTATAACCATTTGATTGTTCTCTTATACTGTCGGTTGGAGTAATAATGATGATATAATATTAAGCTTCTTAAACGAGGCTGCTAGAGCCAGACAATTGTCTCGTGAGATTAGTTGAGGTATGCACAAGTGGACAAAGACACTTACTGATATCAAAAAAAAGAAAAGAAAAAAGAAAAAAGAAAACTTCTTTGTACAGATTAGCTGAAAAACGTTCATTGCTTCTTTTCCTCTGCTACGTTTCTTGTCTCTCCTTTTTAACCTGAAATTAGGAAGTAGCTGAAAATGCTCCAAAGGAAAATTAAAAACAATGATTGAACCAACCCATTAAAACCAAAACTTGTTTGGGTTTGAATTCATATATGCATCCAATGTTAGTCTAGTTGGATTTGTCTTCTTCAATTGGTAAACAATGATCATTCTGGTCTAATCTGATTTAAAAAATGGTTCATGTCACAAGTTTTGAACCTTATTTTTACTCTTTTCTGCAAGTAGTAACTCATTTCTAGTTTTGAAGGAATGGACCTCAGAATCAGAAGACATTCAAATGAATAGGAAGGCTTATACAATGTTACTGCTCAGGTTACTTCCATAGCTAAAGTTTAAAGATCTCAAAGATAAACACTAACAAAAACCATCAAGCTGATTCACTGTCAACAGCTTATCCCAGACGACGTTTCATGTCCAACAGGTAACTGAAAGGAGGACGGGTAAGTCCACCTTCAATAAACATGTCATGCACTATTTTATACATTGCTTCGGTGAGGTGAACTCCATCCCAATTGATGTATTCAGATGGGTTTTTGCAGGAACTGACAGAAGACATTCCACAGACAGTAAACACATCAAAGTTGTAGGGTTCACCAACACCGCAGCAGGCTTTGAAGCGCTCCTTGAAACCGTAATTGCTGGGATTTTTAATAACTGTTCGATATGCATTCCAGTAATCAGCATATATGATGACAGCTTGAGGAAACTGCCCCCTTAAAGATTGCAATGAGGCCTGGAGAGCTACATTATGAACATAGGTTTGGTTGCTTACACTCCTCACGCAGCCGATATCGTCCCTGTCAGTAACAGGAGCCAGAGACATTGCTAATGCCAGACATCCACTTGGTGGTAAACCTTGAACAACCACATACTTTGCACCCTTCTTCAACAGAGACTGGAAAATAAAAATAAAAGCAAAGAATGGCACTGTCAAAGAAAAGTTCTCAGTTTAATGCCATGCAGCTCTCATTTATAACTTGCAAACTCCCTCTGAATTTTTCTCAACATCTCATTCTAAGCTTTATACTAAGTAAGATTCTTATGTTCTACAGCTTAAAAAACAGTGTGGAAGTGGGTCATTTACCTGTAGAAATCCAGTAACGCTGGCCACACCGAGCTTTCGGATGGTATCATCAGGGATGGGAGATCCAATATCGTAAGCATAATCATTGACTCCAATTTCACCAACCCAAAACAAAGCATCATCAAGTGCAGCTTTACACTGTTTCTCTGTCTCTGCTCCTCTACATCCTTGAGTCTCCAAGAACTCGTTGAACCAAAGGAGCTGAGTTTGGATAGATTGAGGAGTAATGTCGAGGCTAAGGTTGTTTCTGACAAAGAAATCATGGTTTATAGCTGTGGACCCTGCAACAGCAAAGTTAACTCCATGAAAGGAGTCATTGCCCTTCAAATATTTGTAAGGTGGCAAGAAAGGTAAGGACAGCGTCTCAGCTACAAAGTCAATCACTAGTCGTCCATCCGAGTATCGGTTGGTCGGGTGGTGAAAGAAGGTACTACCATAAGGAGGACTAGAGACATGGCCGAATCCAGTTGGCCCTGACATAGACCTTGTATTGCCAGTGTCTGTGAATGAGTCTCCAAAGGCATAGATCTTATTGAAGAGACGTGGATGCGTCTCGGTTGCAGTCGGAGAAGCCGAAGCGAAAGCACACAAGAGAACATAGACAGCGGTGTAGTATGTCAAAGAAGGAACCATCATTTCAAGGCTCTTTTGCCTTACAAGAAGCTTTTACTCTGTGGAAGTTCTCTGTGGTTTGGTTTATATATACACATATTGGATAAAACAATGTTCTATAATATTTCATCACCCAGGAGTTGGTTGGTTTCATTTCCCTTTCCTTTAACAAGAAAGATATTGTTGAATCTACAAAGACCACATAAGTGAGAGTTTTAAATAGCTGGTGAGTAGCTAATTATGTTGTTTCAAAATTGGTGTGGATGGGCAAAGAGTCAAATAAATGAAATTTGAACCAAGAAATCAAGTGGGTGAAGAAAATTTGGTTGATCATTCAATAAGGACAACTTTTCACTTCTGTTTTAACATTCAACCACATGATCAATAGATATATTATTTTAATAGCATTTTAGTTGGAGAGAATATGTAGTAGATTGGAAATGAATTTATGGGCTGCGCTTACTTTGGTAAACATCCTTAAATGTTTCAACTACCAGCATCAATTTTTGGGTGGCGATTTTATTGCACACCTCTATCTCTCCGTGGATTGTTTCCTTTTTGGAATTCCCTTTCAAAATCAAGGTTCACAGAGTAATGGCCAACAGTCACCTGATTTCTCTACACTCATTTATTGATCCACCTAGACGCAGCAACGGACCGTTTAGTAATGTTGCCATTTCTTATTTATGTTTCTTTCATTTTTAATGAAAACAAATAGAATTGCATGTTTCTCACACCTATGGATTCAATAATCATAAAAACTATATTTTTAATTACGTTTTGGAACAAAATGAGCGGAAACAAAAACGAAAAACTTGTTTTTGATATTTACAAAATTTCTATATAATTTTGAAAATGTTTCTAAAAAAAGAAATAAGAAAAAACATAGATAGTTGTCAAATGCTTACGTTTCTTAATAAAATTAGAAAGCCAAAATTGCCAAAATAATTACGATCAAACACACCTTTCTCCACCAAAAATAAATCTTTGTTCTGTAAATTGCAACACACCTTTCTCCACCAAAAATAAATCTTTGTTCTGTAAATTGCAAATGCCATTTTGGTTGATGTCGGAAGACTTCATTTTGCTGGAAGTTTTTGTTTTTTCTGGAGGAATGGAGACACAGAAGAATTTACTTTGACCAAATATGAACTAGGTGATGGCTTCATAAACTAAGAAATATCCTTAAAAATATTGTTCCAAGGCTTTTAGTGCCTCTACAGTCTACATAATGCACAAAGGGGAACAGAGGGTTCAGCACAGAGGGGTTAACAAAAACGAATTTATACAAGATTAAATAGCAACAGCTACAACTTCCAATTGTTAATTAAGCGGAGATCTACTATCCCTTCCATCTCTCTCCTCTTCTTGACAAAGGCTTTCATGTACTGAACTATTCGCCATTTCTGGCACTTTGTTGCATTCGTGACTCGAAGAAGAGTCTCACTGTAGAGAAGATTAAGGAAGGTTCAGCCATTGCACCATTGCCGTAGTCCCCACAGGCTAGTCTCTTGGTAACAGGTGGGATGAGGGTTATCCCAAGTTCATCGATTGCAATGAGATGTCGTTCGGTAAATGGGTTGGTCCACATGAAGGTATTCATGGCTGGTGCAACAAAAAGTGGCTTGTTATAGTCCCATGCTCGCACGACACACGTCAATAGATTGTCACATAATCCACCCGCAATCTGGAACAAAAGAAAATGCGACAGAACCTAAGTCAAGGATGAAAAGGTAGCATGCCTTGTAATCACAATATACACAACAAGAACTACAACTTCAAAATGTATAATAAGCTACAGAAATATGGCATCTCTGATTTACTCAAGTATGATATTGTAAACAAGAAAATTAACTTAAGGAAATAGGCAAGCTATAAATGAAATGGTACAATGCCTAGCCGAAAATTTTGAAAAGGTCTCTTTTTCTTCCGAGATTATAGACATAGTGCTTGAGCTGTACCAGCTATAGTGGACCATTTGAGCCAAATCCAATGTAGATGGATGCATATCTTTAAACATGATAGCATTCAGACTAAGTAGCATTCAAAAGTGTACACAAACAGGCTGGACATCAACATATAACATTAACCAGTATGAAATCGATAAAGCAAAAAACCAACCAGTAGCCAATTCAGATATTTACAAAGATGATCAGACTTCCAGACCAACCCAATTCTGAAAAGGAGCAAGATTAGGCCAAAAACATTTAATTCCCCCTTGGAATTTTATCAAGCTACTGTACCTTGCCGAGCGTGTTTGCAGACAGAGGGGCAATGACCATGATGTCAGCCCACCGGCGAAGCTCAATATGAAGAACACTATCTCCAATTTTGTTCCAACCATTCCACTCATCCACATCGGTATACAGTATCGCGTCCTTAGGAAGAGATGCTCGATCGATGAAGTGCAAAGAGGCGCTAGTAGCCACTGCTCTAACATCTGCCCATTCGGAGAAAGAATGGTAGAGATTCCCGAACTTAATTGCAGCCACACTTCCACTGGCAGCAAGTAAAATCCTGGGTTTCCGCTGAGCACTGTTGACTTGCATCACCTCTCTTTCTGCATCAGCAGGTTCCGGATATGCCATGCCCTATGGAACAAACTCCCAAGACAGGCTCGAATTGAAGCGTTACCAGCGCAACTATTGAACCTAAAAAGACGATCAAATTTCGATTGCAAATTAAAGTTCTCTCGACCGCGAAATTCCTCGGATTTCACCTTGTCTACTCAAATTCAAACTGAGAAGATAACAATGGAGGAAATAAAACAAAACAGCCCCCCTAGAATTCATCACCAAATGATGAATAGAACATGAAAATCCAAAATAAAGGAGTACAAACTGGAAATTCCGCTACCGTTGAACTTGTCCCTCTGAATCTGAGGTTATAATTGCAACACCAACCAGGGTTTCGCACCGAAAAAATAATGGAACGAAAGAGAGAGAGAGATGCTTACGAAGAGCAGGAGCCGATGCCGATGGAGAGAGACCGGAAGAAGTGCAAGTGTAAAACAAAAATACTTGTTAACTAAAAATGGGTTACAAAACGTTGTATTTTCGTGATAAAAATTTAATTCCTGTAATAATTCGGTATTTATAACGAAGTAGGTTCGAATCTCTATTTCGTGTAATAAGTTCGGATCTCTATTTCTATATATTGTATAAAAAAATCGATAGAGGAATTTAGTGGGTTAGGAATTTTTCCACCCCATTTACTGTACTAAAAAGAATTGTCAAATCATTTTAATCTTTACATCAAATTGATTGATGTAGTAGAATTTGAAAGAAGGTATATAATTAACGTGGAACTTGTTTGGATTAAGTTTGAAAAGAGAAGAAATGTGAAAGGAGTTATCATTTTTCAAAACGATAAAGAAGTTGAGGATAAAAATCATGAAGAGAAATGATGGATTGTAGGATTTTAAAACGATAGTTTCTCCTACATTTCCTACTTAATTAAGATTTAATTGACATATCACTGTTGGCTTGGGTGAAATGAATATGTTAATGTTATGTACTCTGAACGAAATAGAATAAGAGTGATTCTAAGAAACCAACATTGATGATTTGAAAGGTGGAATGATTATGACTTACCCAATTTCTCTTAATTGCTAAATGTCTTGCGATTAACGAAAGATTCTGCTCAGGAAATCATTTGGCCCTCCGACGAATTTTTGTTGAATATGACTATCTCAAATCGGTGTAAATTATTAATAAAGAGTTGAAGGTGCTGAATGAGACAAGAACAATGGTTGAAAACACTAAAGCTCTGCTCTCTTTTGTTGTTCTGAAGGAATTTTTTTCATGCATGTAATTTTTTTTATTACCTTGGAATAGACGGTTGGCCTTTGGAGCATGTGCATTATCCACATATTCGATACATACACAAAGGATCATTACTTGCATATAGATCATAATGTGAAAAAGGTAGTTCAGAGTATAGGACCAAAACGGTAAATGAGTTTTTTACGGTAATTATTAGTTCAGTCTAAAATTTTCTATGAGGTGAATTTTAATAAAGTGCTTTAAGGAAAAAGAAACGAAGAAAAACTTAGTTTGTTTTTTATGGGCTATGTTTTAAATTAAAAAAAAAACTTAAATATTAAAATGAAACTAAACATGGTTTTTAGTTTAATTTTTTTGTTGGTATTTGATGATTCAACCTTCAATCTCTAGAGAAGAATAAGATCACGTGACATTCATAATTTTTTATTTTAGGATATTCTACCTGCACTATAATAAAATCTTAAATATGATATTTATAATATATAAAATACATTTTATTTACTTTTTAGTCTATTTTAAAATATTTCCTATGGAGGGAGGGACTAATTTAACCATGAAACTTGCTAAATTTTGCCATCACCCCTTTAACAATTTCTTACAAAATTTATAAATATTTGTAAATACAAAATAAAATACTAGAACTAGTGATATTATTTCTCTCGTCATAAAAATTGCTACTACGATACATTTATTTATTGTGTACAAATTACTACAATATATATAAAGTTTAATAACAACATCATAGTTTAGCGATAATTAGTGTATATCTCTGACAAGAGGTAAATCTCACTTGCCGTACTAAACAAATAAGTAAATATATATATATAGTTTAATAATATTTATTAAAAGAAAAAAAGAGTTTAATAATATTTGACCAAAAAATTATATTTTTGTAATGGTGTTATTGAAATCAGTTGGGGAAGTTAAACGACGTGTATCCCACGTTATCTTGCGTGTCGTTTCGGTCTCAACTCTCTCTCCTCTCTCTCCTCTCTCCAAGAAATTGTGTGTTCTTGCAAGGTTTTCCATCCTGTATTGCTCGCACTCTCATTTTTTTTTTCCATTTTTGGTCTTCTCGCATCCGATCCCCTGCCCTTCCGTCCCGCAATCATGGGCTCGGTAAGATTTATACACCATTTCTGTATTCTTTGTATTCTTGCATCTTCTGCTTTAATTTAGTTGGAGAAGCTGAACTGTTCGTGCCGTTTCCCGAAAGAAAATGCAATTGTGTCCATTTGGGATGATCAAAGGGATTAATTAAGACCATTCGGTGATTGGGCATTAGGGTCGTAGTCGTAGAATTTGTTTATTGAACAATAAGTTCTTGTTTAATCTATGATGGCGCCATTAGCTGAGCGATTTCGGTTCCTTTTGGAGCTAACAGTGCTTTGTAATGCAATTAATAACCGTTTCCTTTCGTCAAGGTTGTATATGGTGGGTTTTCTCCCTTATTCTAATACATTTGATGTGTTGGAGAACAATTAGTGTTGAAATCCCGTGTCGTCTGTATTTTCGACAAGCTATGAGCAAGGGAGTATAATAATCTATTCATATGGAATGATCAATTGCGGTTTACTCTTCTCAACTCTCATCTAGCTTGTCCTATGTATGTGTGGAAGTTCTCTTTCATGAGCTGTTAACTTGATCAATTTTTCAGTCAGCTATACCATGGTTGTCTTATTAGGGAGTTGATAACTTGGATATATGGGAACTCATATCCATGGTCACCATTTTTGCTATTGAAATGTTAGCGTATTCCAGCATTCTGGAACATGGAAAAGGGCGGGTGTAGAGAAATCCAATGGCAACATTTATAGCTCCCCTGTGTGTGAAAATTCCAACAGTGCCGTTTATTGCTTGACTGTCCAAGAAAACCATGGAAAGATTTTCTTAAACGGGAGAAGAATAGGAGAACTTCTAGAGGTGATGAGCAGCTTTGAGGTAGGTATGATCTTTAGCTAGGTTCCATGTCTCTGTGTATGGGTGTCTGTTTCTAAGGAGTCTTATATAGATAATAAGTTTTTGTTTAGGCTCCCTTTGCATTGGACTTATCTTTTTCCGAGGCACACTTGTATTCTTTCATTTTCCTCCATGAAAGCTTGACTTCCTATTCAAAAAGAATACCATGTAGGAAACATAATCAACATCCCCACTGCATTGAAAAATACTTAGGGAGGATTGTCTACATCACTTGTTTGCAAATTAAAGAGCAAAAAGAGGACATTTTGTGCGTCCATGTGCCATAACTGGCTTAATTCCTGTTAAACACCCGCCTGTGCTTCTTTTTGCTGATCTTCTGTCTGCATAGTAGAAGAGTACTGTAGGCTATAGAATTGCAGAGTCAATAATAAGTAACTACATCTGTCCCTTTATCTGAATGCATTGACCTGTAGAGATCATTTTTAACATTTGTGTTAGATGTCAGTAGCGTGCTTCATATAAAGTCTCATGTAGGTATCGTTGCATTGTTGCAGCAGGACAGGGGTCGTCCACTGCCAAAGTTTGGTGAATGGGATGTAAATAATCCTGCATCTGCGGAAGGATTTACAGTCATATTTAACAAGGCTAGAGATGAGAAGAAGACCACTGGAACTGCTGCCAGCACGGTTTCACCTCAGAGAAATGAGTCTATCTATAACAATGAAACTTTCCCTCAATATCATCCACCGAAGGTCTGTTTAATAGAAGACGTGAGAATAAATTTGTTATGAACATCTTCAAGTCTAATCTTTTCTTGGTATTTGGATGCAGAAGAGGTGGTTTTGCTGTGGTTGAAGGATCTTCAATTTGTGTATCTACTGTGAAAGCCCGTAGGATGTGAGTGATCTACCCAGACCTCTGAATCCCAACAAAGTTGTTGCACCAACAAATTTCTAATAACTACTCTTTTCCCTTTTCACTTTGGCTTTCCACGATATATCTACGTTATATAATAATTTATATCACATGTTCTTCTGTTTCTTTGTAATGTAATACAGGATGGAAAAGACAAAGATTACATTGTCAAAATCGTGTTTCAATTTCTTGTGTTCCTTGTGTATCAACATATGGTGGAAGGATTCTGATGGGAACCTAAACACATATATATAAATCAACATACTTTACTCTTCTGGCTTGCTCATGATCCATTTGTCCTGTTGTATCGCTCTTTAATTAAACAAAGCAGACGTCCTCTTAGGCAGCTGTTGTTTTTCATGACAACAGAGATATTTGGAAGAATATAAAGAGGATTTGGATTAAATACTTTGTAATGTTGTTTGCCATTGGCCCTTGTGTGTGCTCTCTATAGCCAGGTGAAACAACAGTATTACAGCCATAAGTTGATCCCAAATCACCAGATAAAATTGTCTTAAAGCTACAGGATTATAGTCATTGTGTGTATCGGTCAGTACATGAGAGAATATAGGTATAATTTACATATTTTCTTTGTTTAACGTAAATTATAGAAAATAAGTGCCATTGTTTGAAAAGCTTATGGCAGCTCAACCCGACGGGAAAACGAGTTGAATATATCCTGTCCCCCTTAACCAACAAATGTTCCATGTAAAATCCTCTATATATCTAGCAGGCCTCTGCACAAACTTCTTATGCAGATTGCTCAACTGTGGTGCTGTTTCTGCTCCCTCCTCCAGCCATTTCAGCTCCTTCGATGGTGGAAAAGTTGCCGTAATGAGGTTGCTGTTCAGGTTCGCTCACAGTTGAAGAAGCTGGAAGAATGGGATGGTCGAACTTGCAAGATGGCCCGAACTTGCAGATGCCATAGCGACTATAATACGTGCATATGTTCTGATCCTGAATATCGTATAGAAATTTGAACAATCAGTAAACACTAGAGAGCCATGAACATAAGAATTTCCTTCTGGTTTTGGGAAAGAGTGTAAAGCAAAATAAATGGAAGAGAAAAGAAAGATAAGGTTGTACAATGCATGCAAATAGAGTCATATACTATAACAAATGCAATGTAAAATCATTCCTAAGTTATTTCTTATGCAAAGTTATTCGATTTGAGTATAATATTTTTAATTATATGAATAATGATTGGTCCCTTGGATTGGGCAAGGGGATCAAAGAATTATTTTCTACAGAATTGTCCTTCATAAACACAACCAGGAAATGAGAAGTATAAGCTTACAGGTCTCAAAGGCAGCCCTTTGTCATTGAGAGTGCAGGTCGTTAACTTGGCGTTCCGATTCTTTGGATGGTGATATTTGCAAAGAGATTTAAATTTACAATCCCCTGTCTTCAGAAAGTAACTGCATTCGGGTTGACCAGGTCGTTCGGGATATTCTTCCAGTTGCTGATGAGAAGGATACAGATCTGTATCAGATGCTAGATTGTTCATGACGTATGTTGGAGGCGGAAGCACGCTTAAATCTGATGGATATATAGGTGCCTTAACATGAACATGTCACAGAGAAAGTTAGCTAAGAAGTACCAGAAACCAAAACCAAAGCCAATTATTCCGGAAGTAAAAGTAAGAGGGGAAAATGCAGCTTAATAAGAAGGTTAAACCTGAAAATAAATCCAGCCCCCTAGCTGCAAACTGAAATTTCTTTCTTTTACAGTGCACAGGAATTTCAACTTCTTTTGGTACTCAAAGCCATTTTCCTTTTAACATTTACGACTTGAAGTATTTGTACCTAGATCTATTAATGGTACCGAAATACTTTAAACCTGAGATGAAAGGACTACAGTACCTGGTATGCATTCCATTCTGAATCCTGAGATGGTGAAATCATGGCAGGTACAAATGTAGTTTCATTCAGTACTCTTGGTGAAGTCCAGGATGTGATCTGTGGTTGTGGTGCACCTTGTAGGGGCACTCCATTGTTATATCCTGAAGGGGATTCAGGTATAGCCACGGTTGTAGGATCGGGATGATTAAACCTACAGTTCGCTCCATATTTGCAGGATCCTGTGCGCATGTAATAGGGACACTCTTTTTCATCCTGTCAATAAAAAACTCATAAGTTCTTCAAGATAAGTGAGATAAGTGAGAGAAAAGTGATCCTTCCAGATGAATCGAGAATCTACGCGTCAAATGATTCTCGTCAAATTGGAAAAAGTTCGCCAACAAACAACAACAAAGCACAAACTTAACTGGTCGGATTGGCAGACCAAGGAAGTTGAGCTCTAGAATCGGGTTTGCCAATGCTTTTGGCCGTGTGTGGTTATATCTACAAGCTTTTCCAAATTTGCAACCCCCCGTCCTCGAGTAGTACTGCAAATCACTCATGAGGTATAACAGTTAACTGATATCAGTAAGTCATGCATACTTCACTATCTTATACGATAAAATAGAGATTGATAATAAGCAAGCTCCATTGGAATGCATCATTTTACAACATAACGATTACCAATGTTTTCTAAACCTCAAAATTCGTATCAGATGAAATTTTCCTGTTCAGCAATAAAATGCAACATGATGAACCATGGAAGTCTGCAATAGACTGCAAAATTTTACTGTTTGAAAGGATCATCTTAAATACTTGACCTTAAGGCACAACCACGAAAGGAATCTAGAACAAAAACTTCCTATATAGCACCAACTAATCAGTCATATAAATAGAGTTAAAGTAATCCAACAAAACCACTTAAAACAGTGGAACAGGGGAATGCATGAAACCATATCATTGTAGTAAAATACTTGAAGCATCTTTCATGAAATCATAACACAATGAAACCTTGCATTCTGTCTTGCTCGCCTGCCCAACTGAGTCATCTTCATGCTTCAACTTCTCAGAAACAGCCTTTCAAAAAAAAAAAAAAACCCCATCAAGAAAAATTGTCATCCAAAAAATAAATAGATTAACAATTGGAAAACAAAATCCAGATTATATAAAACAAGCAAAAACTAAGAAATCACCGAGGGAAGTGAGACATAACAGGAAAAGAAGAAGCTGAGAAGAACTCATCACTAATTTGAAATCAAATAAATAGCAGTTTCATAGGCATAAAATTAAGAAATATTCGACCATATACAAAAAACAAGAGCACTCGAGATATTTCTCCAGTCTTTAGAACTAGGCTGACTAAGTGAGAGTAATAAATGGGACTGGACTTTGCATGGTCTTTCTTCATGGACCATATAGAATCTTTCAATGAAAACAAAGAATTACGAGGTACCTAGACATGGATATAAGAACCACATAGTCCTCTGCAAAATTTTCTTTTCTTGTAGGTAAGAACATTTGTGCAATTTTGCTTTAACAGTACTCCACACACAATGTTACCACAAACACAATCTCAATTCTTCAACTCTCAGAAGTGAGTACAATTCAAATATCATAACAGAGCAGATTCAATCCATCCTTTTACCAACAGAGCTACAGATAGACGAAGAAGAAGAACATGCCTATCCACTGGTACCAGGCAACTCCCAGCTCAGACATAAGCAGGCTGATATACGTTAATAGCTTCTATAATGCATGAATGAAGACTACTTCCTCAAATTTTTAAGAGAAAAAATAAATATTATGATCTTCCCAGCTAATTTTATTAGTTCAATGCAGCATGCGTCTTTAAAAAACTAGCCAATTGGAGTAGTGCTTGCAATCTCCATTAGGTTGGACTTGGCCCTTCTCTTTTGTACTTCTAATTTTTTAATTATTTTTATTTGTTTCTCATCATTCATCAAACAAATAAATAAAATTAACACAGAAATGTACTTCATTCCAGCTGACCAGTTCCTCTGTCATCAGTTCTCTTGACAGAATTGATAGTTCTTCTCCATGGAAAATAATTATAGGACCCTATTTTGCAGAGATGAAGTATAAATACCATACATGCAAAATTTACAGAAACTTATCAGCTGAAGATGATACTGGAAAAGAAAATTTAACGATCAACTTTCAAACACAAAACGATTAAAACATTTAAAAAGAGGTTTTTGCTCACTAAAAGCACACCTGGTTTCTCTTTCGCACAGGGTGATTAAATTTGCAAAATGATCCGAACTTGCAAGTCCCAGTTTTGAGGTAAAACGCACAATCTTCAGCCTCGGGCCGTACTGGGTACTGGTGGTTGTTTTTCCCCCACCTTTCCCTTCTCTTTTCCACCTCACTGCCGTCGCCGTCGCCGGCATCTACCTCCTCATCGTCATCGTCATTCTTAATACTTCTATCTCGATCACTCTCATCGATCTTCTGGGTAGCATTCCCTTCACCTTCACCTTCACCAGGATTCGTCTCACCTTCCCATTCCCCACCTTCGTCATAATCCTTCACCACCTCCTCTTTCTCATCCTTCAAATCCAATTTCTGAAGTTCTGCACGGATGGGATCGTCCGTGGCCACATACTGAGCATCAAATGGTGCAGGATCAAGAACAGAACTATGTAACTGTGAAGATTGAGATCCAGAAGTCGTGTCTTCACTGTGATTAGGGGTCGAAACAGCTTCAGAAGGTTCCATTCTGCCTCACATTTGAAGCAAAAAAACCCTAGCTACAGAGAATAAAGTACATGGAGAAATGGGTGTTGTGAAAGATAACTTTTCTAGCAATTGGGTTGACACACTAAGTGAGAACTAAAAACAAGAAAAAAAGTTGAACAAAAAAAAAAAGGTTACTTTCTGCTCTGCGTACGTTTGCGCTCTCTCTCTCTCTTTCTCTAAACGATTTCCTTTTCCTTTTTTTTTTCTTCTGGGCGATCTGATATCATTGAATGAGAAAGTAAATTGGGTTGGACTGGATTTTTTTACCTAAAAATTTGGAAAAAAAAAATGCAAGTAAAAATGAGAAACCATGGAAGAGAAATGGGTTTCCATCTCAAGGTTCCATGAATCTCAGTAAAAATGATATAAAAACGTTTAAAGGTAAAACTTTTCAAAAAGACCCCTTTAATGAGAGAACAAAGAATATTGATCTTTAAGTTATTTTCAATACCTCCACTTGTGGTTTTATTTATTATATCAGAAATGAATTGGAAAAAACAATGACTTTTCAGTTCCATAAGAAATGCAAATGCTCTGTGATTCATAATGCATTTAAGATGAAATTGGTAACATAATTAATGCTAGTGGTTTAATTGCTAAACGCAGCCTCAAAACAAGGCATGGAAACCTGAGAGAAACCCAGATTCAGAGGCAAAAGTCATCTCCCAATGACAGATTCTTGCATTCATTTCTCCTGTCAGTTGAAGCTCCAAATTTTAGAAGAAAGAAGTAAAATTTCAAATAAATATGAACAGTCTTTGCTGCATGCAAGTTCAAGATAAGCTCAAACTACACAGGAAGACCATAAATTTCTCTCTGAAGAAATCAAAGAAGGGACTTCTTTGGCATTATATGGAGAGAATTCAAAATGTTGTGAAAAACCAGGGAAGAACAATGTTCTTCTTCATCCAACTGAAAATACTCAACTGGTCAATAACTTTTATCTTTTCCATTGGATGAGTAGAAGACAACTTCCAAACTTTGTCAAAGTTGATGTCTACATTGTTTTACGTACAAATGGCACAAGAAGAAGGATGTGCCACCAAATAGAGCAACAGCATATCAGTTGTAAAAGTAAATAATTGCATCAATGGAAGGAAAAGAAAACTGCACAAAGTTCCCAGAAGGGGTAATGTCCAACCCCCAACCAAGATGAGGATTAGCATCTGACATTCATTGGCGAAGAATGTTTTGAAGATCCAAGCAATTGCTCAGGTTTACAGGAAATAAATAGCACCAACGAACACAGACAGCACAACAGAATTAATTGTTACTCTCAATGATAATAATTACAGGGATGTTCTAAACCTATCCCTATATCTAACCCTAAATCTGTCAATTGACCAACAGAATAACTATCCATGTAACACATTCATCGGCCGCAGTATTATCCTCTACCTTTCTTCGTCGAATGTCCAGTCTTCCGCTTGTGACGACTGAAATCCGACACAAATCTGAACGTCTGACCACATCCTGGTTCAGCACAGACGTAAGGTCGGGCGCCTGTATGAACACGAATATGTTCTGTTCGGGCCCATGCCCATTTGAAAGTCATCTTGCAGCCCTTCCATGGACATTTGAGGGGACGATCGTCCATGTGTACCCGACGATGCTGCACAAGGTACTTGTGCGAGAAAAACTTCTTTCCACACCCCTTGACAGGACAGATATTTCGTTTGTGCAAGACAAGTTCTTGTTTTGAACCAAAACTCATGTTGCAACCCTCGATATCACAAAGATATTCTGATTCCTCATCCCTTGCTTTCGAATCTCTATGCCCTGCTGGAGTCTTCAAAGATGAAGCATTCTTCACCTTTTTCTTACCAATTTGTTTTTTATCTTTCACCTTCGCTTCAGAAAGCTTAGTAGGCTTTGGAGTTCTTTTTCTAAGACGTGTGCTAGGTCCACCTGGTTGCTCTTCCTCTGATTCTACATCAGTAAATTTACTATTCCTCTTAGCTTGCTTACCTCGCAGATTTGTGGCATGTGGTTTTATTGGCTGTGGGGTCTCTAATTTCAACATATGACGAGCTCCACGTTTCAGAGATTGAGAGAATTCTTCCTTCAAAGTCTGAGAGGCTCCCCGCTTTGCAGGTCGCGAGATCTCTTGTTTCATTTGAGGAATTGTCTCTGTCTTGACCGGCTTACTCCGAAGCATCCTCCTCCTGCCCTGATTAGCACCATTGTCAAGTTGGTCGTCCGACGTATTTTCTCTCTCAATGTATTTGGATGGCATGTTTCTTTTAATTTTCCAATGCTGCAGAATAGAACTATCATCTTCTTCTGGATCATCTGAAAATGCATCTTCCCTCACAACGCATTTGTCCGGTTTGCTTCGAGGCATACTCCTATGCTGATGAGAATTATTGTCTAGGGAGCCCTCTGAAGCTGCATCTTCACTCTCGATAGATTTGGCCTTCTTGCTTCTAGACGTCCTCTGATGATGCCAAAGAAAACTATCATCCCTTATATCATGTGAAATGACATTTTTAAAAACTTTGGCTTGCTTGCCTCTCGGAATCCTACTACACTGCTTAAGGGAACCACTCTCCAGACACTCATCTGAAAGCGCATCTTGTCTCTCGAAATGTTTCTCCATCTTGCTCTTGCTCTTTTTTCTCTGATGTTGAGAAGAATCGTGCTCAAAGGAATCGTCAGAAACTACAGGTTCTATCTCACCCCATTTGGGCAGCTTAGCTCCACAAAAGCCTAGGCGCCGCTGATTACTACGATATCCAAGAGAATCGTCTGAACCTGTATCATCCGTCCCACAATATGCCCCTCCCTTGCTGGTGGCAACTCTTCCACGTTTTTTACAAGAATCATCCTCCACAGAATCATCCGACATAGCATCATTGCTCTCAACAAATTTAGATCGATTGTTTCGAAGAATGCTATGATGCTGATGAATACAATCTTCAACCGAATCATCTGAAACCATGTCCTCTGTCTCTATAGGTTTGGCTCTCTTAGTTGTTCTGCTCCCAGAAGCCATTTTTCTCTTGCCAGCAGACTTTCTATTTACCATAACAGTCTCATTTTTCTGGATATTTTCTGGTTTTCTATCAACCTTCTCATCTGACATTGTCCAAGAATGGAAGATGACGTCTTCATCTTCTTCTTGAGGATCTCTCTTTGCTAGCAAAGGATGAACTTGATTTGACATCCAGACTTTCCCACACCATTTCCCTGCAACAACTCTTTTCAGCTTGCCAGTCCTCCTTTGATAGACTTTTGGCTTCCCAGAAGAGTTAGCCGAAGTACTACGACCAAATGCATTATAAATAACAGAATTGTATGGCATCTGCTTACTATAAAGAGGAGAGTGACTGAGGTTGGCACTATAAAAGAGATTAATTCCTAACTTTACAGCCCAGTCTCCATTACCCGGAATTGCATCCTCGCTATCTAAAGCTAACTGAATCCTCTTTTCTTCATCTTGAGTGGCTCCTCTGAACATCGTATCAGTCCATGGATGGTCCATTCTTAATTCTTCTGCCACCAATTTTGCTTCTGCCTCCATCTTCGGATAGTCTGCAACAATTTTTATGCGATATAGAGATGTTAGGGGCAGCCAAAATTTAAAGTTTAACATAATTTCAAAGGAAATAACAAACTGCAAATAATGGTTATTGGCAATAACCATTGTAAAGAAAGCAAGGGATGTTCAAAACAGTACATTTTGTGAACGTAGTCATGAGTGTTTACTAATGCACGTACCTTTTTATATCATAATAAGAAAGAAATAATATCATATTGGAAAGTAGAGGTATAAATGAAAATGATGGGGATGCGTGGTTCAAAGTTGTAGTATCAGCCATTCTGACTTGGACCTCTAGATAGCCCCGAGATAAGTACAACTTAGCGACTCATAAATATCGAGAAAACAAAAAATGGTAGAAGGCTTGAAGAATTCTAAAAGAACGAATAACTTGATATTTTGCCCACATAACAAGAAAAACTAACATAGCAGTAAAGAGCATCAAACTGACATTAATTAGTGGTATGGAGTGGCCCAAACTGACCCAAGATATTTGAACTTGTTTAAAAGAATTTCAATGCTCATCTGAAACCATAAAACCCGAAAATGTATTTTGAATGATGCAGTAAAACAAGCATCCTTTTTAAGGGGCCTCCAATAGGGTACCAAAGAGATTGAAATTTTTGTTCTAAGGAAAACCTACACAACATCAAATTGATGCAGCAGAGACCCAGTCCCTTATATAATTAGCAGCAAAGATACAAATGATTCAAGGATTCAACATTATATTGGAATGTAATGCACCAAGAAGAAAGAAAGATGAGGTCGTTCCTTTAAATGTCTGATCACAAGTACATATAAACCTCGTCAATGCCAAAATCCAAAGAAACACAAACTTCTAAAGGGATGACTCCATCATACCATAACACTTCCAGAGATAATGGAGAACTTATTAAACCACTCAAAAGGTTAGAACCACCAACAAAATCACAAATCACTGATAAGCAAAAGATATTTTCAGGTAAAATTAATGGTTATTATTTTATGGGGTAGAGAGAACGGTTCAGAGTTCAATATAAACAATAAACATTGCACCTGGATGGCAAAGTAAAAGAATATGCACTCCTCCAATTGGGCGAAGTTGTTGTTCCACTTCTTTTGCATGTTCCAGACAGAATACATGCAACCTCGAGGAGTCTTCATCGATATCTGGAGCAAATGGTATATTCTCAATTTCCACTGGTTCAGTGGTCTTGTCAAACATTGGTTTTTCAATATCGCCATCTGAGGGAGATTTGTTATTCACATGTGAATCCTGATATCTAGTTGACAAGCCATTTTTCTTAGTTGAACCTATGCCATCAATTTCATCAGAAGAACAATTGAAAGAGTCTTTGGAATCAAATCTAGCTCGTCCAAATTCTTCATAGTCATCGACTTGAAAGTCCATTTGATCTGCAGTATTAACACTAAATGAAGAGGGATTATGATCCAAAGTTGCACTGTTTTTGCAATATTCATTAGAAGTAAGACCAGAATTCTCAAACTGATAGCCATCTTCTGAAGAACAGATCATCAGTTTAGTATCATCCGCATTTAACACAGCATCTGCATCAGCATTATCCTCCTCAGAATCAGAGGAATGTCCATAAGTCAATGCGAGCATGCCAAGGGCAGAAGTTTCTTTCCGGTTTTCAGTATTTGAATTAGCTTCGTAACTTTGATCTGCTACTGGAAGCTGGCGATTGACAGCATGGACTGGGACGTCATACAAACCATCAGAGACACACTTTTCTCTTTTTCCTGCATTGGTAGTTAAATGAGCATTCTAAGAGAGAATGGAACCTCAACAAAATTATTAATTAAAAAAATGCCAGCAAGTAGGATATTGATTAGGCAGAAAACCTACCACTATTACTAATCTGCTGAGAAGTAACTGCATGCCCATCTCGAATAGCAATCCCTTCACTGGTTATTCCAGAACCAGCTACCCAGTCATTAAAGAAGCTACAGTCAGCTGACATAAGGTACCTAGCAGCTTGTTCTCTGGGTTGGATGATGGCTACACAGGCAAAGCTTAAAATACCACATGTGACACAAGAAAACAGTCTTTGATCTGATAACCCATCACAATTAGCACTACCACCTCGTTTGTTGTTGGCATTCAAAGTTCTTGAACTTGAAGCACATAAATTATCAGTGCTTCGCTCAGATAGAGTAGCATATGGTCCATTAGCTGAATAGAAACCTTTAACTCGATTTATTCCCTGGCTGTTTTCTAGTGTGAGATTATCATAATCAAAACTTTGAGGAGATTTAGTTGCTTCCTTGGAACTGCAAAAACCAGCAGGAAATCTAGGTTTTGCTCTCAAGTGCGATCCAACACGCAGTTTCGAATAAATAGAATCTGAAGAACCTTGGGGAAGAAGTACAACTGAAGCACCCCTCCCAAGAATGTGCAGCAGGCTGTTATTCTCTGCAATGTTCTGTACAAATAACTCTTTTATCACTGTTTCCCCTTCACTCTTCTTTTTATCTTTTAGCCGTGAACTTCTTGGTGCAGCACCAATCCACAGAGGTGTTCTGCATGTTAAAACATAAAAGGTGTGTATAAGAATGAGAAAATCATATAGTGGGAGAGATGAAAATCCAAAAGATCAATATCTATAATGATGGAAGAATTTGTTACTTTTGCTGCATTCTAGTAAGCTGAACAAGTATTTTCTAACAATAGATTTCTAAATGACATGGGTTTAAACCTTCAGAAATAATTTATATGAAGAATATATAGTTGATGTAGCAATCAATCAAAACAAATTTAAGCACACATGTATATTAGATTTTATCCGATTTTCAATAAATTCCAAGAAGATAAAAGAACAAGAAAGCGACTGCAAATGAGATGTCAAAGGAATCATGCAGCTAAAATGGAAATTATAAGTAGAAGGCAAAACAAACCTCGAACTTAGAGCAAGATCATATAGTAACTGAAAATGAGAGACCATTGGAGGATAATTGATTGAAGCTCTACGAATTGCAGCATCTTTAGCAACCCTTAACCACTCTGGAGTTGCAATATTGGCTGCCTCCCCACAGTTGAATCCTAGAGGAAAATATCAAATAGGCACATTATAAAATACAGATATAATTGCAATTCAGAATTTAATAAAATTTATTAAAATTAAAAAATATACATACATATGTACACACACACACACACACACACACACACACACACACATATATATATAACATGAACAACACTGATCAATCACACGTGCATCACGAAACTATGGTGTTATGAGTTTATCGAGACCTCACCATGACTGAAACCTGTATGATAAGCTCGAGGAAAAGTGACAACAAATTCACCTGCATTTTGCACTAACCTGGTACAAATCAATTAAAGAGGTGAGTATATAGACCTGGTTGCTTTTGAGATCAAATGATGTTGCCAATGGCATCATCAACTGGTAAGAGTAAGACCATTGGTACTGACTGATGGTTTAACCGTCAAGTCTATACCTAACAGAGAAATGATAGGTAAATGAGGAAAATAGAAAAGGTTAGCATAATGATGGTTACCTGCAACATGGAACCCCCGCGCTAACTAGAACTTCCGGTGACATCACAGTGGTCTTCTCACCAAGAACAGCAAAAGTAACTGGACGATAAAAGAGAAGTACTGATTATGAAAAATTCCAAAACTGATGCTCTATATTTTGAACCAAGTTGTAGTCACTTCAAAGTACGACCGTCTTAATTTATTAAATGAAGACAACTCTAAAATGTTTTCTTTACTAAGAAAGAATAATGATCTGACAAGCAAATATTGATTGTGGAAAGAGAAAAGAGAAGGACAAGGGATGATTGTACTACTTATAACACATACACAAAAGAAAAGGAAAAGGCTAAGAACGATCCACTTCTTGAAGCATTCTTATAATCAAAACTTAACTACAAGTTGCAAATGGGGCAATCATGACAAACATGAATTATAGATACAGAACAGAATTTTAAACAAGCAAGCAATTAATTGACATAGTTATGGGGAAAGAAACACCCATGTAAATGCAAAAGGGAAAACAAAACCCATGTCAAGCAATATTAGATGGGGCCAAGGAACTGAGCAGGCATTCGGTTGGTAAAAGAGTAAACCTCAAAAGTTCAAGTGAGTTACAGAACCAATCAGTGTGATTGGTCAGACAAGTAACAAGGCTGTGAAAATGTATCCGCTTATGTAAAGATCAGAGGAATATCATGTTTAATAGCTCGTCTGTGAAAAGACATGTATTCAGTTACATTAATCAGCAAAAAAATTTGTCTAAAAAATGTCCTCTCTCCATCCAACTTAACAAATACAACTAGAATATTTCCTTTAATAACTTAACTGGACATGTGTAGACTAGAAGTAACCCAGATGAAGATTAGTGGTGAAGTTAATTTGGAGGTGGGGGAGGCAATTGACATTCTGGACTAATTTTCTTCCTATAATCATTAAAAATCAAAGATGAGGAAAATTACGATTAATAGTTCTCTACTTCAATGCTATGCAGCCATCAACTCACCAAGGGGATTAATTTCTCCTCCATATCCCTGAACCCTAACAACCTCCTCGAACGCCACAGCAGCGTCTCTCGGTACGCCATACCATGTTTTTCCCGCCCCCATATGCATATAATTTAAGCTGTGTAAGTCATGGTCTTCTACATGCCAAGCAAACCAGCTGAACATCATAGCAACATACACCATTGGAGAAGTAACTCCTGGAATCTCTTCCTTCATAAACCTCAACAGAGACCCTTTCGCCCTGGACACCCCCCTCATGTTCCACGCAGTCTCACCAAGCATCGTGCCTTCCCCTGCCTCCCTAAACATTTTTGCACTAACCGGCACAAACGCTGAACCAGGCATATCGTTCGCATATTCCACCGAAAACGGCTTATCCAGAGTTGCCCTCCAATAGAGCGTTTCGATTTCCAAAGGTGAAAGCCCCCCTTTCTTCCCACATTTCTTCAAATAGCTCTTCTCGAAGCTCTTCGCCTTAGCCTCAAATTGCTGGAATGTGTAGTACTCGCCACTCTGCCACACTGATTTCTGAACTGGGCGGGTTTTTCGCGGGCAAAACCCGATCTGCTGCTGGCGAGTTGTGAATGTAGGCGGCGACTTGGAATTACTCGAGTCAGAGCAGGCGGCACGAGCAGCAAGTGACCTGTTGAGATTGACAATTGCAGTTTTCTTCGGTGAAGGGGGCACAGGGGGCACAATTTTGCAGATTCCAAACTTGGAAGCCTCTTTTTCGATCTTGAAAATGTATGAAATTGGATCTTGAAACTCGGCCAGAGTTGGGTGGTATTCTGGGGCCAAAGGTAGGGTTTTGAGCCAAGAAAGTACCTCTTGCGTCGGCTCCGCGGCCAGAGCTGAGGCTGCCATTAATAGTAGCGAAGTTGAAGGTAAACTGCAGCAGGGTTTCTCATGCAACACCCATTTTCAACAGAGGCACGAAATCACAGAAGATAACAACAAACCTTCTCACATTCCCTGTTTCATTTTCTGCTTCTTCCTTTCGGGAATCTCGTCAATACAATTTCCTCTGTTTCCCCAATCATACAGAGGAAACAAAGAACAGCAAAAACCCAGAGGTTGAAAAAAAGGAAAAAAAAAAAAAAAAAACTTTATATTTGGGGGCAGAGGAGAGCGAGAGGTTGGAGTAGAGTAGACATGTGAGTGGGGGGATTTATTCTGGGTTTGCGAACGCCTCTCAAATTCACCCCTCTTTTTCCATTTATTTACACTCTTCTGCCCTCCATACTTAATATTTCGTAAGATGACCCTACAACTTCATAATTGCAGATTTAGCCGCTCATTCTTATGTTTCTTTCCTTAATTCCTGTCTATTTTTTTTGGGAGAAGAGTTGTTTTTCTTCAAAAAAAAAAAAAAGAAAAAGGATATCTAATTTCATCTCATCAATCCCAACGCATAATTCAATTGGTTATGACGTATATTTTTAATCAAAATACTTCTAAAAAATCACTCTATTAAATTTCGTAATTTTAGATTTTTTTTCTTTTACTTCTAGATACTGGAGAGTTCGAACTTTGATCTTAGGTGTCAACACTCGAAGGTACTGAGACCGATGTCAATTAATACTGAGCTAAACGATATTTTAATATTATCAACTAAATTGTATATATTTGTTTCTTTAATTATAAAAATATTGGTTGTCTATACATAACAAGTACCGACAACAACAAAGAGACAATGGTAGTTATTTATATATATGTGTATGGTATAAATATACTAAACATTTAATTATAAGTCAACAAATTTTATCCATTCAAATTGTTAGGCACTCATCTCTGACTAAAAAGTCGTGAATTTGAATCTCATACTTTTTACTCGTGGTACAACAAAAAATTTAATGTTATAGACTGCTTTACAGTAGATAAAAATAATATTATATTAAATTAAAATTAATATAAGTAATAATAAAATTGTGACAGTAAATCAGAAAAAATATAAAATATAATTTTCCTTCGAAATATTATTAATAATTATCGTCAAGAACATAATTTAATGGATTAAAATCGACTAAAAAGTCATAAATTTGAGTCCCAATCTACCTTCGCATGTTCTACCGAAATAAAAAAAATGATAGTAGCTTTCATATGGAAAGGGCATGGAGAAAGATGAAGGGAAAAAAACGCAATATGTGGTTTTATCCAACATGTCTTAGCATTTAGACAATTAACAATATATTTTCACTATTGACTAAATTGCTATAAATGCCCTTCTTACTTTTTATTTTGTCCTTTCCACCTCCATTTAGTATATATTTAAATTTTAAACGTTGAGTCCATACTCGGTGTAATATTTTTTTAGTTCAACAATAGTAGGGGTAAAAAATCCGAATTGCCAACCTTTAAAACGGTAACAGTGTCTTATCTATTGAGTTTTTAAAATAGTAATAGTGTCTTATCTATTGAGTTATGTTCGAATAGACAAATTCGACATAGTTAAAGACTCCTGATTGTGTTGGTAAGTTGTAGATATTTTATTTGGTTGAATTCAACCATTGTAATACTCATATTAGCAATTACATATACATTTGATACAAGAAGATTGTGAGTGTCAATTATCGTTGAACTATACTAATGTTGACTTTGTTTTGACTGAAGAGCTAACTTAGTTTTAATTGAAGTTGATTTTAAGTTTGAGGTTGTTGGAGTATTAAAATAATTGATCCCAAGTAAGGAATTGAGAGATATTGATGAGAGTAGTTTTTTATTTTTTATTTTTAAGTACAACATGTGGAGTGGAGCGTCGAAGTCACAACCTCATGAACCAAATAGTATTTAAACCTATTTATAACGGATGGAAATGAAACCGAAAGAAAATGATTCCAAATGAACTATATGAAAGGAATATCTGAGCTGCTGGAGTGGAGCAGCCATTTTAATGGGCATTGGAACAAGAGTGGAGCAATATGTCTTAGCTCATTAGGCAACTCTGACGAATATCTAACCAGAAAAAAAGAAAATTAAGTTATAATAATACAAAACATCATATTATAATAAAATAAAATAGCATAAAGGGTATGGAACAATCATGGGATTCCAGTAGGGTCTGTCCACCAATCAAAGCGACGCCCATGAAAATTGGTCCCATGAAAACGACGCCATATGTTGCGTATGAACAAACTTGATTTTCCCAAGAAAACTCAACTGAAAATAAACACCATAAAGACAGCGAGGGAGCTTCATTTTGAAACCAAAAAATGGAAGAAGTGAACTTCAAATACTCGAGAAATATGACCAACCCATTGTCATTTTTCCAGTCAATCTTGGCCAGTATACTAGTCCAATGGAACAACATTCCAAGGAGCATAATAGTTTCAGGTCTGATGTATTCATAAATCATATACATCCTATCCTGGAAGTGCAGCAACCAGAGAAGAAAAGTCAACTACAAAAAAGAAAGAAAAGAGCTCCTAATAACTTTCTAAATGAAGTATTCAGTTTTCTTGAGACTCAGGACAAGAACTAGCTTCTGACAGCTCAAGAGAAACAGGGCAATGATCACTTCCGTAAAAACCTACATGAATTCAAGATCACTGTCAAAGTAACATCGCTTTCGCAGTCATATTAAGAGATAAAATAGTAGCCGTATTGTAAGTCTTCACGGAGGATGTTAGTTGGTTCATTAGTTTGAAGCTTTGTATAAAAAAAGAAAATTCCGAAACAACCACCAAACCTGACTACATTTAGTTGTAAAAAAAATTTGTCGGATACTAAATCCCAGGTGGATGGCCAGACCACTATGGTTTGAACACATTTCCTCTAAATTCTTTAAAATTTACTTTGACTCCTTTAGACTACTAGGCCAACCTGTGATGGTCGTGAGTTTCAAAAGTCTGAATTTTTCTTGTTTTTTATTTTGCAAACTAAGTATTTGTAGAGCGTAGGTTAGAAGTGAATTTAGTAGTGTGATTTTATTGTTTCAATTCGTAGGATTAGAAAATCTGTATCAAAAGTAGACTTGACTAGCGAAAGACAGAACCTATGAGCCCAAAACCCAAACCCAGAAGGGAATTGAGGTATGGTTAAAATTTCATTAGCCAGATTTCTGAGGTATGGTTAAATTTTGATGTTATACTATGCATGAGTAATTCTTAAGATGCATATGAAGAAACATAAATAATGGAAAAGAAGCGAAGTGCACCTTTTAATTCAATCCCTTGGCCGTGCATTTCACATGAAACAATCCTACCTACAAGACTCTCGGAAACTACAAAATAGTCGATTCTCATCCTTTTGCCTCGATACCTGGAAATATATATAATCATTTTTTCTTGGTAAGAAAGAAACAGAAGCTTTATTGAGGTGAGAAGAAAACAGCTTACAAGCTGAGGAGCATGATTTCCATTTTTGGTGTGAATTCCAGAAAATTGGAAACCATTCTCCATTCTTAGATGAAACTAGTAAACAACAGGATGGTAATTTTATTTCCTCATTTCCATTCCTTTCAAGTAACATGACGAAAATGGTATGAGAAGATTGAACATCATACTGCTCCAACTTGATAACTACAGCCAGACTGGATAAAGGAAGGACTACTGTTTCCTAACTCTTTCAAAGAAAAATACTGGACATAACGGTTCAGTTTCAGTGGAGATGGGATCTGATTTAGACATGGATAGGAACAGGTTTTAGTTTTCCTAACCAAGTAAACTCTAGGAGTCCTCCATAATGGTATGAGTAGATTGAACATCATACTGCGAAAACCTCTCCAAAAGAATGTAACAGACGCCCGTCTCAATGATATTAGAGGTGTCAACGGGACAGGATGGAGGCATAGATGCTTATATCAATTGATATAACAGTTTCTTTATTTCATTAAAAAAAACAAACATTTCCAAATCTGAACTTGTATAGTTGTAGACGCAGATCCTACTCAGTAATTATTTAGTTAACATAACTAACAGCTTTTAACAATGATGATATCACTACATGGTAAGCCAAAGAATACAGGGAGTAGTACTTCTGGTTAAATAAGTAGTAAATTAGAGTCATCCATAATGTATATCTTTCTTACTTTCCAATGGGGTGTCCAGACCATGAGAAGCCACGCTCCATGTCTTTCTCCTTGTGCAGGAATCTATATGCATCTATCAGTTTTCCCCTGGAACATAATACACGCAGAAGGCAAAAGATAACCAGTTTTATACCAAGATAACAAGAAGGGAAACCACTACATATTTCTCTCCCTTTGGATTAGATAAGAATTTTATGAAACCAGTAGTTGTGTTTATTAGAAATCAGGAGGTATTAAGAGAAGAGATGTAGTCGGGTGAAGTGAAAGTTGCAAAGGATAACTGAAGACTGATTATAACAACCTGAAACAGCTAACTTTTTAAATGGACTTCGTACCCCCAGCAAAAAAATAATTAAAAGGAGCAGATTAAAGTGCCACTACGAGCATGCAAGCAAAAATCAACAGAAGGTCATTTCTACAAAAAATTGCATACTCTTTCAATATAGCACCGAAGCGCTTCCTTTCAGCCAACGTAAATCCAGGCTGCCCACAATCCTGCACCATAAAGAAACTAATTGAGTAGTCGTCTGATTATTTTATATTCTGGGAATAAAATACTAGAAGGAATTCTCAATCTTTGTTCTGTTCTTTTTTTATAAAAATAAATACTGTATTGGAAAAAGAATGCTATCTGAGGAAACTTTTGGTGTTGTTCCTGATCTTATCTTCATTCTCAATAAATACCCACACACACACTCTCTGTATTGGACGGACACAAACAAAAATAAACATGAAAAAAGGCATAAAAGGAAATGGTACTCAGTAATCCCTCTTTTCCTGTACGAAGCAGAATTTCACATAGAATTCTATTCTATCCCTCAATCAATGACTTCATCGGATGACTATCATTTCAGTTATGACCAAAAGAGCTACGATCTTGAGGGGGCATGTTAAGGTCCTCATATTGAAAAGAGAGGGGACCTAACAATGGTTTATAATAGACATGGACTACTCCTCTCCTAACCAATTGGTTTTGAGATGGAACCCATGAATATTAATATGGTATCAAAGTCCAAAACGCTCAAATGAGCATCCGATCCAAAACAAATAGGATCCGGCCAAGACCGATGAGCCAAAAGAGCTACGATCTTGAGGGGCATGTTAAGGATCCCACATTGAAAAGAGGCTACTCCTCTCCTAACCAATTGGTTTTGAGATGGAACCCCATGAATATTAATACAATCAAGTTTCAAAACGTAAATACTTCTAAATGAATGCAAGTCCACATAGATAACCGAATAATAATCTTAAAAAAAATAATAAATAAAAAAAATAAAACCTCGTCGGTATTAATAGAGAAACAAAGACAACCATTTATGTAAATTCTAGGGGAAATGAATATGCCAGAGCTCTATACGGCAAGCTTCACTACCTCCTTATTTGGGGGTATATAGCCATTAAGCTTTGCTGCACTGAAAAAATCTGGATGGCTCACATCAATCTCTTCATGACTGCACAATAAAATTAATGCAACAAAAATCAAATTGAGTAAATTTAAACACAATCCATTTGAAATATTCTACTTATTTTTATTACCAACACTTAGATGTGTACTCTTGTAAAGAAGTCTTAATTTGAACAGGTTCTCTTAAAGGAAGAGGGGGGCGGGGAGCAAAGAGAATTATTAAAGATTTTTGCATAATATGAGTTCTTAGATGTTTTCTATCCTTTCAAGACAAATTCGGATCTACAGGCATTTTTCATGATTACATATGAATTACTATGCAAGATGATTAACCAACTTTAAAAGTTAATTGAGTTAGATCCATGAAGGCAAAACAATATTTTGTGTCCGAAAACTTCAAGCACCTAGCTAGAAGCACTCAAATAGTGGATAGAACATAGTCCAGGTTGATTACAATATAAATGAAAGAAATTGAAAGATCACGGAATGGACCAACCTTCAAAAATTAATCAAGAATGCTTACCTAACATTCAGGTCACCACACCATATAAGAGGCTTATCAGAAGATTGATGAACAAACTCCATAATCCTCTTATCCCATTTTCTTCTCCTTTTAAAAGAATTCTCCTCATCCTTCCATCCATTATTTGGTGCATATGTATTCAATAAACGAAATGTCTCAAATTCAGCTAAAATTACACGGCCGTCCACTTCATGCTTTAAAGCTACAAACAGGGACACCTGTATGATTTAATAGCTCTTCCTCACGGACATGTGAAATAAAAGATAAAATATCCCTTGAACTTCAGAACATGACTAGACCGATTTATTTGTCCCATAATTAATTAACATAAAAATGAAGATCAAGAAACCAGGCATGTCTTGATTATCAACACTAATTTTATATGATCTAAAGTCGGCTCAGCAATACTAAACAATAAGCAGCTTTACAGCAGAGAGAGATTTGAAAATTTAGCTGAGAAATGGAGTTGTCAGCTTCCTTCACGTATCTGCAGTTTCGCATTTTAAATAAAGATTTAACAAAAAAAAAGACCTTTGTTGTTTAATAGTACAAGGCTACCTTCTGTGAGCTAGAAAGGAGTAGAAGAAACTTTAAGCGGATGGATTAATAGGGCTACAGGACTTCAATGAGGAATTGGGAGTACAATAATTTAATTTTTTTTCACTCTTTGACCTCACTTCATAAAGATTTTTGTAACTATGGTCTTACTTCTATTTGTGCTACTTGGAGAAGGAATTCATAACTTCTTCGTTATTGGATTTATACCTATTATATTCCTTCTTTTGTTAAGATACTTGTTTATTTTTATAAAAAAATAAAATTATAATGCAAAAATAGAAGGATATAAAAATGAAAGAAGGAGAAGAAGGAGAAGGAAACTGAAATTTCCTCTCACGTAGACCTGTTGAATACAAAAAAATATTTCTATAAAGCATCAAGTCCATTTGGAAATGAATCAAGAATCCATATAGTATATTGACCAAACGTGTGCATAATCAGATGTCCCCGAAGGGACCCAAATGTGGGCATAATAAGAGTAAATCTCGAAAAAGAACTTTCCCAGAAGTAACCGAATGCATGGAGGATACACATTGGATGACCTCAGCACTGACAAACTACTCCAACATTTAAAAGTTTGCTAAACAAAAAACATATAAGAATTAACAGTACTAATTAATGATAAAGTTCATGGTAAGGAAATAGCATAAGATGATTATAAGACATCAGGACACTGCATGCATCAATACGTCAATAAAAGAACACAAGAATGCATAATGAAATAGCACAACATCAAATGTCCCAATACATCAAGAAGAGAAGATACCTATTCTGTCTAGGTTGAAGAAAACCTTTTTTGGTTGTAAACACCTTTTCATAAACAATGCAGTCCCAGCATACTTGGAATCTGAAAGAGACCACCAAACACGATAATTTGCAAAGGGAGGACTGGAAAGTGCACGCATCAACATCTGCATGATTTTAGGTTTGTATTATAAGTAATAATTGCTATTTTGCACCAAGAACACTGATTCTTCTGCATAATTGGAGATAGCCATAACTCAATTACAAATCCTCCAAGACTTGAGCTACAACTAAAAATTCAATTAGATTCAAACTTCAAGACACCCAATAGACTTCCAACTGACTATTTAATCAAAGAATTGCGTTACGAAATTTATTAAAAATAACCCCATACCTCAAAATAACAAAAATAAATCAATCTTTTTTTTTTGAACAAGATACGAACTTCTCATTGAAATAATGAGAACAAAATTGTTCAAAGATACAAACTCCCGAAAGAGTGAAAAAGCATAAATTACAAATAAATCCAAAACTCATAAAATTGTAATAAAAGCACCCCAAAACAAGATAATCACACTAATCAAACTTGGGGAAAAAGATTTAAATAGAGAAGATAAAGAACTCCAAAGGGAAGCCTTGAATTTAGCTGGAACCAAGCGTACTGAAGGAGGCTGCTTCTTTTCAACAAAAATCTCAAGTTTCTTTCATACCACAACTCATGCACTAGTGCCTTTAACTTCATTTAATCGAGGGATAAACTCTTTAGGATTCAAAATAGGCCCCGATAGAAGCTGAAACAAGTTATCTGCCATCTTTTGGTCAAAAACCAAACCAGATTAAATTCTTCTAAAAAAAGACTCCAGCACAGACTTGCATAAAGGCATAAGAGCATAAGAAAAAATTCCCCTAGATAATGCATGAGAAGCCCAAGAATCTGCCGCAGACCCTAGAGTGGAGGGAAAGCCTGAAGAACTTTGGAAGCAATCCGGAGGAGACCGATCTCCAGCCCATTAGTGCAGCCAAAACAGAATAGATGTACCTGAATCAAGTCTTGCTGCCAATCAACATGATACCCGAAGACCAACCCAAATCAGACTCCTCATATAAACTTGCTATCACTTTGCGCCATAATGCGTTAGGTCTTCTAAGAGTAATCGTTCGCAGGCTTAGACTCAATAATACCAATGCACTCCTTATCTTGCAACCACGAATTGAAGAATCTGAAGGGACCAAGGCCACATTTAAAATCTCCCGCCTCCAGAATGATGGGAAAATGACTATTCATGGCTATTGCTGAGCGAAAACAAGAAAATCTTTCGAAAGGCCACCGAATAACATTAGAGTCTCCACCTATGCACCAACAACTTTAGAGAGTGTTGAAAAATCTCGAAGTTCTTGAAAAAAAGAATTTCCTTTCCTTATAATCTGTTGGACCATAAACAGATTAAAGCCGATCATTATCAAAATCAGAAAAAGAGGTTAGGACCAATAAAGAATACCCCCTTTCATCACATCTTTCACACTGATTCACCCTTCAGCCCACATTAATAGGGTGACTCCCGATTTTCCAAGTGCATCAATAGACAACCAGCCAGTATCTTTAAAACTCCATAAGGATTTGATTGCTGAAGGATCAACCTGCTCCATCTTTGTTTCTTGAAGGTATACTAAATCTGGACATTGATTTTGGAAAAGCTTCGTGAACTTCAATCATTTTCATCTTAACACAGACCTCTTCCTTTCCACGCGATAGCTTTCATTGTGAGCCAGAGATTGGAACCAGATTAATGCCTGCTTTTTCGAAGAATGGAGGGATTAACTCTGACTTTTCGCCTTCTGATGACTCATGAAACAACTTCTGCAAATCTGTCTCCATTGATTGTTCGCATAACACTTCATCTGGAATTTCAAATGAGTTGGCAACCGGAGAATAATCCGGACTACTAACGCTAAAATCCGAGTCAAAATCTTCTCCAATAGAAATCTTAGAAGAAGGAGGCGAAGGGGCTGGATCCTTATTAGAATTGATTACACCTTGTGATAAAGAGGGAGGCAAACGGACATGAAGAGTTGCTGATAGACCCGATGTAATAATAGGAGAGCTTACTCTTTCTTCAACTAATGCCATGCATGTATCTGACTTTAAACCTTCAACCATGGCTGGTTTCTCAAACGGTATAGTATCTAGGGAAGTGTTATCTCTTTCCTCATTGAAAAAGCTGCCAATAAATTTGATTTAAAACTCTCAACCGTAGCTAATTCCTTAGTATCTTTATTGGCCATCATTTTACCCCTTTTTCTTGAATAAAAAAACTGGAGAGAAGTCACACGACCGTTTGCCTTCCTTTCTTCAATAGGGAATGAGGATCCCTTAATTTTCCTTGGGCTGCAAACAGGAGGTTCATTAATACTAGAAACCCTTGAATCCCTACCAATAAATTCCAACCATTTAGGTGAAACTGCCTCTTGCTCTTTCCTTTTTAAAGTTTCGACATTAATGTCTACTTTGGGAAGATCAACCGTTTCAAAAAATTCTTGGTCCTGAAAAAAGTGTTTCATATTGGAATAGATATCAAAGCCATCCGTAATGGACCTTTCAATATCCATAACCGTATGGAATCTGGCTAATTCCAAAGGATTAGGTGAATTCTGAACATCGTTCAATGAACCGGTTGGCTTTGAGAAATTAGATTGATTGCAGTCCAAAATACGTACTGTAATTGGACCAAGCTTCTTATGGCTTAGCTTAACGGCTGCTGGTAAGAATCCACATTTGTTCGGTGCAACTTGGATGAAAGCTTCAGAGGCATCCAGAAGGTTCAATGTCTTTGTTGAGATTCCTACAAACCCTTTGTGAGGTATCTCCTGACTATTTCTATTACTTCAAGAACAAAGGAGCCCTAAGGCTTTACAAGACGCTAACCCACCTATTCGAGAGGGTGGGGAAACTCTCCCTCGCTTGCTTAACAAGACAAATACAATTCAGCCAAAAAATAAAACCTCCCTACAACCTTCTCCCTACCTTATACCCTAACCGTACTCCCTAACAGCAGCTACTAACATTCTCTCTCCTGGCCGTTATGGCCTATACTCCCAATATTCCCCTTTTTCCCTTCCTATGATATGTCTTGGTTACGAAGGGCCTAACATCCGATTCTTATAGTAGAGGGTACCTTGCTGGACTAGGAATCGCGGGACACTATCAGGATCTTCCTTTAGTTGCTCTAGAATCTTGGCAAAGTGCAGATCAGCAGTAACTTCTTGGCGGATGGTCGTGATGTCCACCACTGCTGGCGCTGATAAAACCGCCAATTGTGCAGGTGGTGGTCTCCTAGACAAGGCATCAGCTGCCTTATTCTCCATTCCCGGTTTGTATTGTATCTCAAAGTCATAGCCCAATAGTTTCGAAATCCACTTCTGGTACTCAGGTTGGATTGCTCCATCAAGTATTTTAGTGCTTGTTGATCCGTCCGCACTATGAATCGCTGCCCCAATAGGTAAGGCCTCCATCTTTGAATTGCCAACACCACTGCCATCAATTCTCTTTCATAGATTGACTTTGCCTGATTCTAGAGTGATAAAGTATGACTAAAGTAAGCAATTGGTCTCTGATTCTGGGTTAATACGGCGCCCAACCCCGTTCTCGACGCATCGGTTTCTATGATGAAGGGCACACTAAAGTCTGGAAGGGCCAATACCGGTAAGGTAACCATCGCTGCCTTTAACCTCTCGAAGGCTGCTGTTGCTTGATCATCCCACTGAAATCCGTCTCTCTTAAGCAACTGAGTTAGTGGGGCGGCGATGGTACCGTAGTTTTCCACGAATTTTCTGTAGTACCCCGTCAATCCTAAGAACCCCCTGAGTTCCTTCACATTGGCGAGTACGGGCCATTGTAGCATCGCCGTTATTTTAGCTGGTCCGCCTCTACTCCCTCCGCAGACACCCAATACCCCAGATACTCAATCCTTTCTACCGTGAACTGGCACTTCTTTAAGTTGGCGTGTAACGAGTTCTCCCGCAAGGTGTTAAATACCATGGCCAAACGAAGCAGGTGAGTCTCCATGTCAGAACTGTAAATCAAGATATCATCAAAGAAAACCAGTACGCACCTGCGCAGATACGGTCTAAACACGTCATTCATCAATGCTTGAAATGTCGAGGGGGCGTTGGTTAGCCCGAATGGCATCACCAAGAATTCATAGTGCCCTGCATGGGTTCTGAAGGCTGTTTTATACGTGTCTTCAGCCGCCATCCGGATCTGGTGGTAGCCTGATCGTAAATCAATCTTCGAGTAGACTTTCGATCCATGTAACTCCTCCACCACTGGAATCGGGAACTTATCAGGGATGGTGGCATTGTTCAACGCTCTGTAATCGACGCAAAAGCGCCAACTCCCGTCCTTCTTTTTCACTAAGATTATAGGGCTGGAAAACGGGCTGACGCTGGGCTTAATAATTCCCGCCGCTAGCATCTCGTTTATCATTTCCTCAATTTCGTCCTTTTGGGCATGTGGGTAGCGGTACGGACGCACATTCACAGGTGGGTGACCTTCTCGCAATGGGATACGGTGGTCTGTCGTCCTAACTGGAGGTAGCTCCTCCGGTTTCTGGAAGACATCCAGGTACTCGTGCACGAGTTCCTCTATCTTGGGGGACATTTGATCTTGGGCCAGGTCCATCTCGTCTGGCTGAGCATTCAACATCCTCATCTCTATTAGGTAGCCTTGATCCTGTGGTTCCCATAACTTAGCTAGGCGTTTCATTGACACCTCCAGTCGTGCTAAGGTAGGATCGCCCTTAATAGTAATCTGCTTCTCGCCGCGATGGAACCTGAGGGTCAGCGCCGGCCTGTCCGCTTCCATTTTCCCCATCGTCTGGAGCCACTGCATTCCTAATACCACATCCAGCGAGCCTAGGTCCAACGGTAGGAAATCATTTTAACTGTAAGTTCCGGTAGTGAGAGAACAATGCCCTTGCACACTCCATGGCCCTTGACTGTTGTTCCGGATCCCATGATGACTCCATAACTTATCGTTTTTGTCTTAGGTAATTTCAATTCATCTGCGAGGGGAAGAGATATAAAATTGTGGGTGGCTCCACAATCAATAAGAAGAGTTACCTCTTTATCTAGCAGTAACCCCTTACCTTGATTGTCCCTGGGGTCGAGATGCCCACAATGGTGTTTAATTGGCATTCTACCATTCTTCCATTCGACTCTCCTGTCATTTCCGTCTCCGTCTCCATAACTGAATCGTCTTCCATTTCTAGGAGCTTGTCGTCGTGTACCACAAATACTCGAAGTTCTCGATTTCTGCACTTGTGTCCGACGGTGTATTTTTCCTCGCAGCGAAAGCACAGCCCTCATTCCCTCTGTTTCAGATAGTCAGCCTCCGTCAATTTCTTATACGGTGTTTCCTTCTTGGCGGTGTGGGTCGTACTTGCTCCCTGCACAGAGTTAGGGTTTTTAGTCGTAAGGGTGACCGTGTGTGTGGGGATTACCTCATGGGGTTTTTGGGCCAACTTGCTGGCAACTGGGCCGGTGTAGGCTTTTTCTTTAATCATCTGGCCGTCCGCTTCCATCATCGCCGTGTTGATGTCATCTATCAGCTGGGCTTTGCGAATGATTTGATCCAAGCCTTTTGGTTCCATCGCTCGTATCTCAGCCCTAACAATTGAGTCCAGCCCATTCAAGAATGCACTCTCTAACACATCGTCAGTTAGTTGCGGTAGCGCCACCGCGAGAGCTTCAAATTGCTGCCGGTACTCTGCAAAACTCCCTTCCTGTTTCAGCGATAGGAGCTTCGCGCATTGTCTTCCCTCTTTCGCCTGATGGAAACTTCTCGCAGTCGACCTTTGAGATCATTCCAATCTTGGTGTTTCTCCCGATTGTCCGTGTATCTGTACCAGGCCAACGCTATTCCATCGAAGCTGATGATGGCAACGATCATTTTCTCYTCATCGGTCAGTTTCTGTATCTCGAAATATCGTTCCGCTCTGAAGATCCAGGCCTCCAGCTCTTCTCCCCCGAAAATAGGCATCTCCACTTTCTTGAAGCGGTTCCGATCATTTCCCTGAGCCTCATTGTTGTTCGCCGGGACATCTTCCGCAACTTCCTTCCCTTTCCGTATCAATGTCTCCCCTGTGAGTAAGGAGTTTGATTGCGACGGGGATCCTCCAATAGTCTGGGCCATGAACGTTTTCAGCGTTACATGGAGGCTCTCTATCTGTTTCTGTTGTTCATCGAACCTTTGATGTAGCAATGCGATTTCCAACTTCACACTAACAATCTCTTGCTCTACTGCCTCGCACCGTGTCTCCAACTCCTTGACCGTCATGCTTCCTCACAGTTCCCAGCACCGAAACTTGCTCTGATACCAATTTGTGAGGTATCTCCTCACCATTTCTATTACTTCAAGAACAAAGGAGCCCTAAGGCTTTACAAGACACTAACCCACCTATTCGAGAGGGTGGGGAAACTCTCCCTCGCTTGCTTAACAAGACAAATACAATTCAGCCAAAAAATAAAACCTCCCTACAACCTCCTCCCTACCTTATACCCTAACTTATACCCTAACTGTACTCCCTAACAACAGCTACTAACATTCTCTCTCCTGGCCGTTATGGCCTATACTCCCAACATTCCCCTTTTTCCGTTCCTATGATATGTCTTGGTTATGAGGGGCCTAACACCCACCACAATATTTCCCGATTGCTTCGAAACATCCCCAATCCCATAAAGACAAAGGAAGATCAATGATTTTAATCCAACCCCCATAACTTCTAATAAATTCGGGTCTGTAATGACGATCTTCATTCCATATTTCAATCTTAATACGAAACTCACCACTGGAATCCAATTGCCAGTTAACTCTTTTGAATTTAATACTCTGTAATTGCTAAACTTGAGCAAAGCTTTATCAGCCATAAACGGATTGAGCACACAAGGCTGAGAATACTTTTCCTTCAAGGCTAAAGCTATTTTATACCAATCGTCATGAGCACAACTCTTAGAAACAATCATTAAGTTGTTCCAATCCACATGAATAACTTTTGTTTCCTTCTGAATCCAAAGTTCAGGTACCCTTTTCTTGTTATCACTCATCTTCTGATCATTCTGGCGAGGGGAGTGAGACTCACGGTATCTATTCTCATCAGGTACGGCCTTAAGTCTGCTTCCTTCAAAGATGGGTTGAATAATCGCACAATCGAGTGATGAAACTGCTTTTCGCTTAACTACTTCTGCAAAAGAAGGAATATTGCACACTTCTTAAACCTAACATCTTTTTTAACCGGTTCAATGGTTTCTTCGATTTTTTATTTTCTAAGATTTGCCGCTTCCAGCATCTGATTCTCTGCATTTTTTGCCGAAAAATTTCTAAGCATAGTCCAAAAGTCCCTCCATCCTAGCTTATCAGAACCAGCCGGAATCAGAATGATTCGACGGCCTCCGGTAAACGGAAAAAGAGTCCAATAGACGTACCATAAATTCTTAATTCTCAACTTGTGAATTTGGCAAGTTGCTTTGGTTACAAAAATAAATCAATCTTAGCTCTTATTTTCATCCATTGGAATTCGGACTATTATTATTCACCAACTTTATCAAATAAATTTTTGAACCAATCTTCACATGCTTTACTTAACAAGTTTATTCATGTAAAAATTAAATAAAAGCACAGAACAAGACTAAATTCAAAGTGCGTGCATACACTTTCCTGCCCGACACAACCAACTTTCTTGCTCATCCAGAAACCTTTAGTAACAGAAAAAAAAATCCTACCTGCTTCTCTTCACGTGATGTGCTTGTGTCATCTTTCAACTCTCCTTGGTTTTTAGGTGCACCTTTTGAACCTGCTGCAGGAATCCTTACTTCCTAGTGTGGAAGTAATCAATGATAAGGTCATAGCCCATGTAAGGGAATAATTTGCATCTTATGTAGTTCTACAAGATAATGTATCAGATGACTACTAGAATAAAGAAGTCTGTATGAGATGGATTAATCAAATAAATAACTGATTTGATTGACTTCAATCCATACAGGACCACGGCCATATGATTGTTAAATACTAGACTATGAAAAAGTGAAATCAAGTCATCGTCCCCATAAAGCTTATCTAATGACTGAAAACACAGCATAACAAAACTTATAGCATATATCCCACTGAGATAGAAACGTCAAAAATGACATCATCAGGTGCACATGCATCCACACCCATCTTAAAAGAAACCATTGACAGGATTTGCGATTTATTAAATTTCAAAGAGCTATTGCATGAACTTTCTTAAAGAAAAAAAGAGAGAGAGAAAGATGGAAGATAAACGTGTCAAATTAAGCAACTAAACCAACACATCCAGTAACTAATTCCTTGCAGCCAGAAAAACAAAAAACCAGTATAAAACATGCCACCAGCACATTCCAGGAATCATCAATTCCTCGCAGCTACAGAAGGGAAAAAGAAACTCGCATTTACTAGTGAAAAATCTTGCATGATCCCCAAATAGTACATACCCAAAACACACATTCATGAAAATTCATAAGACAACCAAAACCAAGGGAAAATAGAACAAAATATCAGCGTCTATTATCAACGTCGCACAAGGTGAAGCAAAGAGTGAGGCAGAAATCTAGTTACTTGTATGGCGATGACATCTGGATCAAGATTAGAGACGAGCTTGGTGAATTCCGGCCAGTCGTTCTTAACTCGGAGAAGTAAACTATTGGCATTCCAAGTTATAAATTTAAGAGGCTCTTTCTTGTCCGGCACCGATGCTTCAGAATCATCACCATCTTTCAGCGAAGGTGAGAGAGCCGCTTTCTTCGAAGAGCCCTCCTTCTCTATTGGCTTGAAGAAGCGTTTCATCCTTCGCTGACCTCCAATGGCCGTCCCTCTAGACTTCGCCGGAGCTTCTGGTTTTGCTAAACCTCTCTTCCGCTCACAACTCCTCTACCGTAAGTAAATATTGGTGTCCTCCCGGCCAAAGAGAGAATATTAATTTTTACCCTAAAGTTTTAATTTGCACTGTTGCAATCTTTAGTTGAATGAGTGTTACCATTTTTACATTACGTTTACTTTGTGCGTTTAATGAGTTGTAAAATTTGCCAGAGTGGGCAGTTCAATAATTGGTATATACCTCCAATTTAGAGGTTGTAGGTTTGAATCACCTCCCAACCTATATTATACTAAAAAAAATGGTAAAATTTAAATAAAAAAAGAGTTGTAAAATATATATACTTAGAATAAAATTGACAGGATTTCAATGTGTTTTCACACTATTGAACTATTAAAACGTACCCACACAGTATGTAACATACTTGATATTTTAATATCCACATGCACAACATTTCTATTATAATGTAAGAATATCAATGCATCTATAGTAAGGATGTTCACAAGTTGGATTCGATCGAATTAAATTTTTGGACCAACTCAAAAATTCGGTTGAACCGTCATGTATCCGATGGAACCAAAATTAATGGAGGTTGGGTTGGCTTGGTTTAGCAATGAACAGTAACAAGTAAAACTTAAAAGTGAAAGTCGAGGCAAAATTTGCTGAAGATCGTGAGATTGAAAGAGGTAGACAATAATAGGTGAGATCATGGAAAAGGTGAGAATGTCCAGATTTTTAGAGAGGCGAGATTGAGGGAGGTGAAAGAAAGTGGGAGAGACATGAGGGAGGTGAGAGGGGGAGGGAGGGAGAAGGGAGAGGGAACACTATATTTAATATATATGGATTCGGTTCGGTTAATCAAATTTCCGGTCCTTAAAAAATTTAACCTAATCCAAATCGAAAATTTTCTAACCCAATTCATCCCTTTCAATTGGGGTTGGATTGTCCAAGTTGCTTGGGTCAGCGGATTTTTTTAACACTCCTAATCTTTACCGAGCAAAATCTATGGTCCAGGGTGTGTGAATTATGCACAACCAAGCATTTTCTAACAGAGAATCAAATAGATTATAAACAAAGCTAATTTAACCTATGGCCCTAATTAACACAAGTTTCCATCAAGGAAGTACTGCTTGGGGAGAAACATACGTGAAGCATCGCCGTTGAGGTAAATGCTGCTATACCTTTCCTTGCAAGAAAAATTATAAAATCTTTACATCCCAAACTCAAAATATGAGGATGCAGCCGATAGCACATAGCAGAGGTATCAATCTTTAACATGACAGGACGATAAGCCATTACATAATCGAGAAACAGCGACTGTTTTAATCATGTTCGACTTGGCTGCGTCGAGTAATGGATCGGCCTCAAGGGCTTTCTCAAAAGAATATTTAGCCTCCTCCCATTGGCCCTCAGCAATAAAAACCAATCCTAGATTGTTAAATGCAGGTGCATAACCAGGTTGCAGTTCTAGGGACTTTGATAACATAGCTTTGGCTCGTTCGTACTGCTTTTGTTGTCGATATAGGTTTCCAAGGTTACAAAATACCGTATGCGCTTGTTCTGTGCCCACCAATGACAAAGCTTTCTTGTATACTTCTTCGGCCTGCGTCGGGTTGTCAGTGAGCTGCAATGAGATACCTAACGAAACACGAATATGAAACAAGATCGACGAATGAGAGAGACAGCAAGCCACTAAAATCGACATTTAATTGTATTTGCATACCTAGGTTTGACCATGCGTAGCTACATTTTCTTAAGCGGGCAATTGCAGCTTTGAGGTATCTTTGTGATGTTTTAAATTCTCGCGTACAAAGGTTGTGGAGGCCGAATTGATGCCACTGAACAGCATCATCTGGATCCTCAGCTATTGCCTAGGTTAAATAAGGCAATACTCATCAATCTAACAAGAATATTAATAACAGAAGATGGATATATACATATATAAATATACACACATATATTTAATTATTGAATTTCAAACATAAAATAATCATCTGTATAAAGGATTGCCACAAATGTCATTTTTCCATTTGTAGGCTGGTTAGTGGTTTGATCCTTTTTAAGTATGACACCGGAAAACTAGATTCCTTGAGCTGAAAATAACAAAAGTTGTGGTCCAAAGTCTCTGAGTGGTTAGAACAAAACTCAAACCAAACCATGTTTGAATGATTGCATACAAAGTCCTCCAGCTTTTCACTATTGGAAAAGCTTATGCTATTAAGGAGACGAAAAGATGTCATATGTGAAGTAGAACAATAAAAAATTGATTTACTACCACAAAGATCCTTAACAGAAATCTTCAAAATGTTGATTCTAAAACTGCTAATATAGGTCAGGAGAATTGGGGGGCCGACGAGGCTAGGGCTGTATTTTCCAGTAATGACTAGTCAAGGCTAATCAAAATGGAGATTTACCAATTATGTATCTCAATGTAGAAGAGATCTTAACAAGTTCGATCACATCTCTAGAACCCAAAGAATATAATTAGAAAAATGACAATGATTTTCTTTCACAGACATCCAGCACTTATAATTATTGGAGGGTAGTCGAACTGCAGGAAAAACTAGTTATTCTTCAAGAATTGATTTAGGCAGCTATCAGTAATTCGGGAGAACATCCTAATTTTTTGTGGATTTCTAAGAATATACACAGACCCAGTGAAATTTTGGGGCCAAGATTGATCATAAGCATAATCCGAATTATCTTCTAGAAAACTAAAATACTAGACACCATAAGTAGCTCATTTAGAACCGAAAAAAAAATCCAGAGACAGATTATTACCTGATTTAAACTGTAGGTTGCATGTTCCCCCACTTCATTCAGTTCACCGTGATGTGTACGGAATCCTGCAGCAATTTCATGTTGAGCCTTGTGAACCATGGAAAGTCCTGCCCATGCTACAGGAAGATCGATTGTTGAGCCATCTCCATCTCTAATAATAGAGGCCATTTCATTTCCAGCCCAAGAGAGCTGCTCATTACGATCTTGAGACCTTTCCGCATCCTTAAGTCGGAACATAGCAACAGCATATCTCATAGACATGCAATTTGGCTCCAGTTTTGCTCCCTGTTGGGTAATTAGAGGAAAGAGGCCAAAAAACATTAAGACTTTTCTAACTAGGAATAGTACAAAGAATTCTTGTGAGGACTGAATATCCCATCTTTTCCACAGAACTAAAATACACGAGAAGAAAACCTTTTCCCTAAGAATAGGGATCCATGAGCACCTTCTCCAAGCACTTGGCAGAACTTCTGTGATCCCCAGTCACAAAATATGCATTAGCAAGATTTCCCCAAGCATGGGCTGCTTTTGGATCTACATTTAGAGCCGCAAGTAAACACTCCTTCGCAACATTGATACCTACGACCTTTTCACCAGCACCAGTTTCACCAGAATTTGCTCCAGCACCTTAGAATTAAGTTAGAAGAATGAGTACTGACTAATTAAGGTTCTAACAAGTAACTAATAAAAATATACTAAACAAAGTGATTTTGAACCCATTCCAAATATTAACAAACTAAGAGAGAAAATAACAAGAGTGTCCATTAAACAAACAAACCACCGTTGACACATACCTACAACAGTAGAGCCGTACTTGCACAAGAGAAGAGCAGCGTAGTTGATGAGAGCGGCAGGATGATTTTGATCTTTCAGGATCAATTCTTGAAAACATTTTTCTGATAGTTCCATGTCTCCACTTCAACATATGTTCAACAGCAGCATGTACTTAGTACGATAGTCTTAATAAAACGGCACATTCTCAAGGTATGAACTTCTTGCACTATCTATTTAACATGATAGGATGTGAAAAGAAACCGACAAGTGGTTACATATGCACACCATCCAGGGTACTCAAACCCCCCAATTTACAAACAGCCATAAGACAATTTTTATGTGATAAGTCTAGAGAGGATATTGATTATTTTTTTAGAAAAAGGAAATTGGAAGTATGATAAATGCCTGATTCTTCCAGAAAATGAAAAGAAGCTGTTGAAGCTACTTAGTTAATTGAGAATCGTTGATCGAACATGCATAGAACTGTAATACTAACGAAGCCATAGGTTTTAGTATTCATCCATGATTAGCTGATTTGCATCGTCAGTTGTCTTCATCTTGTACAGAACATACCGCCTTTAGTTGCTTATTATTTCAAGTTCCAGTATTGATTCCCCCAACTCCTCGCCAGCTTCAGTAACTAAAGTTATTAAAAACCATAAGAGACACCCGAAGACAAGCATGGACACTACTTCATATACCTTTGAAGATAAGCAATTCCAAGATTTCCAAGGCAATCATAGTGGTCAGGAACAATGGCCAACAAGGATGACAACACTGAAATGGCACTCTGGTTATATTAACATGTTCTGCATTAGTTTCTAAGAGGAGTCCAATCACGAAAGTGAACAATAGTAAATATGCACCTTTACTCGACCACTAGTAAGAAGTATCAAGCCAAGGGTATTCCACACAGCTGCCTGTCTAATATCAGATTGCATTGAATGCTTAAGTTTAGAAAAAACCTCATCAAGCTCCTCCTGTTCAAGTTCTTTGTCAGAACTATTGTCCCCTGCACTTTCTAGAAGGAGACACTAGACAGTCCATAAAACAGGTGAGCACGACCAGGTTAGTAATACCCATTATTTACAAAGAGGGATGAGCGTAACCTAAGAGGAGAGATGTAAAGCAAACAGGGATATAAATTGTAACCTGTGCATGATGAAGTTGAACCAATGAGAGCAACTCTGGCCGGTGAATCTCAACATCACTTTGGAGTAAGATCTCCTCTGCCTTTTCATATGCTAAAACGGCCTGAAAGAATACCACAGTTTAATTGATATAAGGACAAGAAAATTAGCCAAAACAGGTAGGATGTGCAAGTTAAGCTACCTTTTGTGGCTGGCCCAACCTCTGGTACATTAGACCAAGAATGAAATGAGCGTGAGCATTTTTTGGCATCTTTCTTGCCACATGAACTAAACCCTGCAAGCAGGCATCCAATAATCCAGGTGAATAAGCAGTCACATCCTGCAGACTAACTACTAAGTTCATATCCTCCATCATCTAGACTGGACTTCTGTGCGTGCGAGGGAGACACAACCACAGATGTATGTATTAAATACATCAGAAGCTTCAACATTTAAGCTATGCTTTTGCAAACAAACAAATAAAAGAGAACTGATATATACACAATCTGATGCAATTACTGACAGAGAAAAGAATGCTTAACTGCACCAAACAAAATTTTATTTGGAACAATTTCATTAAGAAAACCCAGACATACAAAAGAATAAGGATACCAAATAATTCAATTATCAATAAAATATTCTAAAAATTAAAAAGGTTAAATGTTCCCCAATTCTTTGAATTCAGGAAACAATTTAAGTTAATAAAAGAATCGACACTCCGTACACCGATCCTTCAAGATATAAAACTAGATGAGCAATAAAGTTGTTATTATTGGGGTTTTTCAATATTTTCGTTGGTAGGCTCCCCTTGGCAGCCGTGACTGGTGTGTTTGTACCTTTTATTCTCTAATTTGTCTTAATGAAAATTACTTTATCATCCCAAAAAAGGAAACAGCGCACAATCATAAAAGGGCAAGTCTAAAAAATGGTAAAGAAAAAGGATGCTCCCATAAAACATCCAAGGATCTGAGCCTCCCCAGTTCAAAAACCTAAACATAATTTTAGCAGTGTGATTTAAGAGAAACAGCACATGGAAGCTAAAAATTTAAATACATGCAGAAATTACATATGATATAAACTTGTCAACTAGAGGTCTTTAGGAATTAACGGCTGGCCATTCTTAAGAGGTTAACACACAGCAGAAGATTTCCAAAACCATCTTGATTGATCCAAGGAATAACATGGCAAGCAATCCAATCCACATATTGCAGATGCAATAAAGCAGTGAAAAAAACAGGTAATAAAGAGAAAACAAAAGGTTTAAGCCTCATTTGATAACCATTTTATTTTTTGTTTTTTATTTTTAAAAATTACTTCCACCTATGTGTTTCTTTGTTTGGTTATCCACTTCTTAAAAACCATTGTCAAAATCTAAGTCAGGATTTGAAAACTAAACAAAGTAGCTTTTAAAAATTTCTAAGAATCCTAATGTGTTTTTTGGAAAAATGAATAACATAGCAAAGAAATGATAAGGAAACAAGCATAATTTAAAAATTGAAAACTAAAAATGAAAAGGTTATCAAACAAAGCCTTATATCTTAGATGAGAAAAAACCAAACATTAAGGAAACTCACAGTTTTAAGGCTGCTGACTTTTTCTTCACGAGAAGTTGAAACACCTTGACCATGTTGGTCACCATCTGCGTCAACTACAGAATCAAGAGAGTACTCTACCTTATTATTTCTTGAACGGCACTTTGCTATTTTGCTTACACGTCTACCTTCTACTTCCACTGTACTGGTATCCTTGCAACTTGCCACAGTTTTGTCTTGATTGCTTTCATCCATAGATAACCTAAAATTACACAAACTTTTTTTTTTAACAAGCATCCACAAAAACTTATTTTTTTTTAATAAGAAACCAGACTTTTTAGTGAGACAATGAAAACAAAAACACATATATTGGGGCACACAAAAAAACTCGCCCAACAACTGAAGACCCGCCTAAAGAAATGGCCTCCAATCTAAAAGAATAACACCTAACTGATAATTACAAAACAACTTCGAAACTAACTCCATAAAGAGGAGTTAAATCTAATGAGCTCCCAAACAGACTCATTCTCTCTCCACCCCTAAAGCAGCAACAAAAACTCATTTTGAAACTCATTTAAACTTAATTGACCTATAACAACTCCTCAACCCTAAAATGGACATTTATTGTGACAAAGCAAGTAAATACCTTGATCATATTTCTATTCCGGATTGGCGTATTCTTCTACTTACCATGGTGGACACCTAGTAATCCAGCAAAACTTCAGCGTCAACCTTAGGAGAGGCTTAAGATCACATGTCACCATGCTGTCTCTAAACTTTATGTAGGGGATTTGATGTATTAGGAACAGGAAGATATTTTAGGACGTTGCATTAAATGGAATTTAGATGAGGTCTTCGATAAAATTTAAAACAATGAAAAACTTATTTTTAGCTTCTTGACTACAATGACTTCTGCAATCATCATATTCTTTTGTCGTGGCTAATAAGATAACTTTTCTGTAATCTAGCTAATCTTACGTTTCGGTTTGAACTCCAAGTGGCTAGAGCTCCCCTCCGATTTTACATGTTTTTTGGGTGGAATGTATCCATTTCATCCAAAAATAAGACAAAGACAGTCGATGAAATATTATTTTGACGCATTTTCCTCGTTTCATAAAACCTTGGTTCACTCCTCACACCATCCAATACAGAAATCCTCTGTTAAAGATGACTTGACCAGCAGAAGCCGGCGTCGAGACGTAAAGGGCATTATCCCAAAGCATCCTCCGAATCATTAAAAAGAATGTCAATAGCTTCTTTTTCGCTACGGTCCACTAGTCAAATATGAAAAACGCTACGACCAAGAAATAAGAAACAAACCGCTCAACGGTTTTCTGGTACAAATTTTGGTTCATTAGAGTGAATATATCACAATTCAACGCCAAAACTCCCTAGCTGAATTGAATTGATCTCCATTTAGTATCCCACTCTGGGACAGCAAGTGAAGAAAACGAGACGCAGAAATAAACTCAGGCATGTACAGAAAGGGGTAAACCACACCAAGAATCTCTAAATTCGGCTAAAAATTGGACAAAGCGCGAAAAATAAAGTGACCTAGAGATAGTGGAAGCTGAAACGTGGAGGGAAGTGTCGTCGTCCATTTCTGGAGGATCAACGTTGAGGTCAGCAAGAACGACGACTTTAGAAGGATGGGCCGTCTTGGAGTTGTCACCGAGGGAGCTGTCGGATACTCCATGTTCAGTCTTGAGAGGCATTGGGAGCAGCTGGAGCTTTCTGTAATCGAAGAGTTTCTTGTGCTGCGACTGTGGACGCGGAAAGAAGTAGAAAAAAGGTGAGAGAAGAAGACCCTTGTTTGGTTCCGCGGATATCTTAGCTGCTGTTTGGTTCCGGAAACTAACTGCACAGATTATCGCTCGCTGGTCTTTTGGCGTTTTTTTAAATTTTTTATTTTTCCATATTTTTTAATGCATGATTAATGGATACTCGGAAAAAGTTATTTAAATTAACACGGACAATTTCTAAATAAGTTGAAAATGTTTAAGGTTAATATTATGTCTTATAAAAAATACACTCATATTTTAACAAATGGTAAATCATTTTTAGTTCAAGAAATGAAGATTTGATATATGGCTTGCTAATTGAGCGACGTGGTAGATTTTTCTTTGAAGAAATGAGTGTGTAACACCACCAGTAATTTTGCTTTTTCACGAAATATATTTTTTTTTATAGTTCGCGAAACATGTTCATAGTTTACATATTTCTACTTTTATGGTAATTTGCATACGATGAAATCGAGGAGACTTCGGAGAAATAAAGCCTGCAAATTTACCCTAGTTTCTTTGTGTTTATTCCGATACAAAATTCATTTACGGTAAATATTTTGTTGAAGTTTTAAAAGCTTAAAAATCCGACCCCATTTAGTGAAAAGTTTTTTTTTTCACAAGAAATGTTTATATGTTTTAGCCCAAAAAAATGCTTATGCTTTTTGTGAGAAGACAATCTACTGTAATTAATATATATATATATTTTTTATTTTGATAATTGGGAGTCAAAGTTTTATCCCTCAACAAATAGTTTTATCCCACAACAAATTTAGGAGCACCTGCACCCTTCCCGTGACCCAAACCCAAGAGGCAAAATTTTTGGCATTAAAATCGCTAGGAGACGTAAAGAGTTTTATGTACTAAACTCACTAAAAGTTCAAACATGAGATTTCTAAGTTAAGATGACCAAGAGACATCGTATCCTTGCCGACCGGACAGCTTCTATAATTAACATTATTAATTTTAAGCAATTAAGAATGTAGGCATTAATTTCTCTGAATCTTATAAACTCATGCTCCGAGGATTGAAAGAAAAATTCCAAAACTACAACCAAGTGAAATAGAAGAGTAGCTATATGACCATGACAAATAGATCTAAAACAAATGTAAACAAGAGAAGGTGAACCTGGAAGAAGCCTAAGAAGGTGGAGAAAATTAGTAGTGATTAGTGAAAAGAACTGTCCACCAACCCTTTCATGTTGTGCGAAGCAGCATTATGATGATATAAAATATCCTGTCTAAACAACATCATGATATCACAACATTTGCCTAAAATTCTGATGAGAAAAAAAACCAGAAACTGAACTTTATACAATGGCAGGGGATCATATTATCTCTATCAGACCACCGCTAAAGTAAAGCCATCATCAGGAGGAAGGAAGCAAAAGACCCATCGTAGCTACTACTCTCTACAACTACCTTCACACGAGCAAAGCTGAAGAGCTTGCGGGGCGGCGCTTCGAGAGGAGATAATTAATGGGCAACAACATGCATGAGATAAAACAATCTAACTCTCTGTTTCCCTCAGGAGGATGCAGTCAAAAGCACCAAAGAGTCTGTTGCAGCAGACGATCCGAAGGATGGTAGGAGCCATCCTTGCTTCTGGGCATGCTCCACGTAAAAAGCAAACTTCTTGCTTGCATTTGGAATGTCGAGGGCAAGGTCATCGAGGCTGTCTTTGATCCTAGAGAAGCCTTTAGTCATCTGATTGATGGTGATCAGGCCCACATTGAAGCATTCCTGCAGCAGATCTAGAATCCTGTCGTTCTTCTTCTCCATGGCCATAACCAGTGCCTTCTTCACAACCTCGTGGTTGAAGAATGGCATCGCGAGATCGCGGATACACTGGCAAGCTTCACCCACAACTCCGCCACTTTCATACTCCTCTAAGAGCTTTTGAATCTTGTCCTTTGCATCCTCCACTGCCCAGCCAGTTCCACCACCCCAGCATCTCAAAAGCCTCTCACCAGCATGACGAGCTGCAATTAATGTTCGGGCCATCCGCACAGTCTCACTTCCGGTACAATTTGGGATCAACCTGCTCGCGATATCCTCGAGATTCAGAGGAGCCAAGACATCGTCAATCACAGCTCTGGCTAGAAACAGAGCAAGCTCATTTGATGCATCCAAAATATCTAGCGCTGTATCTTCTGCAGACTCCAGCAGCATCACAAAACCATTGACTATATCCTCCGTAGAGAATATCTCGATGTGAAGAGCTGAAAGGAGCACTGAAGCCATTTCTTTTTCTCTGTTTTTCCTATCCATTGCAAGTGTAATAAGTTTCTTCAAAAAGATTGGATTATACTCCGGTGCACCAAGATCTTCTAGGCTTCGTATTAATTCAGGAATGTCATCTGAAAGAAAATATTCATGAATTATAGTCACAACCTCTTCCTTGTAGCGTCTAAGCTTTTCATCCTTGGATCCAACATCCACATCTTCATCTGAAGATTTCATAAAGGAAGCATCAAGCCATCCTTCAGATATGGCCCTTGGGATCAAAGATTCAAACAAAGATTTTGCCAATGGAATATCAAGGGCAAGGTCATCAAGGCTCTCTGCCAGCCGAGCAAACCCCTTAACCATTTGACTTGAGCTTATCAGACCTTCCTCAGCAGCTTCCTTCAGAAGCTTCAGTATCAGGGGTTCTGCTGTTCGGATCTCCATGGCAAGAGTCAAAGCCCTCTTAACAACCTCATGATGAAAGAATGAAACACCTAACTGTCTTATGCATCTGCAAGCCTCAAAAGTGTCTCCATTCTCAACAAATTCCCTCAAGAGATAAGCAATTTTTTTCTTCACTTCCTCAACTGTAAAATGTGTGCTGCCACCCCATTTTTTCTCCACAAGTTCGGCATGATGTGGGGCAGAGAGATAGCTCTTCTGAGCAGTTTGGATAACCTGAGTTCCTTTAGATGAGTCTGGCAATGCCTTCCTTGCCCTGGTTAGAAATGCTGGGGGAATTATGTCGTCAACTACAGCACGAGCTAAGAACAAAGCAAGGATATCAACTGCATCCAATATGTCCACAGCAAGATCATCAGCAGACTCGAGAAGCATAAAATATCCATCCCTTATATGGGCAGGACTCATAACATCAGCATATAAGGCTGAAATCAGAACTGAAGCCATTTCCTTCTCCTTATCATGTCTATCCATTGCCATAGAAATAAGTCGCTTAATGAAGTAAGGATGATAGTCACTCGAGCCTAAATCTCCAAGATCAGATACCGCCAATGCCACATCACCAGTACTAAAGTATTCCTCTATAGTGGATACAACAGATTTCTTATATACATCCAAGGGATCTGAGACAGTTGAACCAACAAGTTGGTATGGTTCCTATTTAGAGACGAAATGTCAGAGACACAATATATAATTAAGTTTGGAAAGAAAGATAAATCTAAAAGACTGTCAATCGATCCCAATCCACTAAATGCAATCCCACTAGCATGCATACTATTACCAGTCCTTATGTCAAGGAGTATATGGAAAATAGTGCAAGTACCACATTAGGATCACAAGTTTCCTATCATCGAACCCTAAACCATAATATATGTTAATATGAATCTTCTCTGGGATTTAGGTCCTTCATAGGACAGACGTGCATGTATGTCTTATTGTGCAATAATACACAAGAAGAGAAAATCCAACTCAATATTGAAAAGTTACCTCGCCACTGTCATAGTTAGGATCATTTCTGTCAATATGAGAATCACCATCAGTGTCAAGCAGTTTGCCCCAAGTGCCCTTTCCACCAGCCCCATCTGCCAACATTAGTATATATACTAGTGGTTAGAGAGGTAAGAACAGGACTGGCTGCTAAAATTACATCTAAAATACTAAATGATATCATGTATGATATAATAAGGTAAGACTTTGAAACTACTGGAACGTTCATTGTAGCAATGTACACTGCACAATGGCTCATGAGCAAAGGACAGAGATAAATTTCACAGGCAAGGCTGAATAAAAATCAAATCCAACTGTATATTCATTGGATAAAGAACGCCCCCTGCATACAAATTTCACAACGATAAACAAAAATTTAAAGGTTGGACGGTTGGCCAAAAAGCAATTCTGCATTATATTTCTTTTTATTTTCCTTTTTTGTATTAACTTCAAACCATTCCCTCAAAATCATAAATCGTCAAAATTTTAACAATCATAGATATTGAATATTGAACTGCAGAAATATACTAATAATATAGGATTAGACAGAAACTGGTGCAGTTAAAAATCGTAACAAAAATTTTTAAAACATTCAAAACAGTAAAAGATGTACTATAACATCCAGAAACGATTCAAATAGTCAATAAATATTCCGAGTTCTTGAGCACACATTTATGAAGAGTTCAAATATCACAAACTGTATAAATTTCAGTACTTTTAATACCGAGAGAATGAGTACTCTTAAATCACAAGTCAAAACTTATATTTCAAATCTCTTCAAACTTACACTGCTCACGACAGAGCAACGAACTCACCTTTTTTCACCCTAATGTGCTTCCCAGAGTGAGATCTACGCACATGCTTCACATTAATTCCAGGTCCCGGTACCTTTCCACCAGCAGGGGCTTTTATATGATATTCAGGAAGTGAGCCTTTGGGAGATTTTGGAGAGGAAGACAATATATCCACATTCTGACTCGCTATTTTCAGCACTTCCCGCTGCTCCTCCGTCAGAAATCCTTCATTTGAGGCCATCTATGCTGAAGACACCTACACTCCAATTATAATTCAGACAGAAAATGCACATTTAGACAGCAAAACTTTAAAAATACGATCCATATTTACAACATGCAATTATTTAAATGGTTGAAGCTTCACATCTATCTCATGCTAAAAAAAAAAATTACATCCAACCCAGGTATCACAGTATGGTAACCATTAATTAACCAAGATACCAATATAATCTAAGTCGAAATTTAATAAAGTAAAACATCAATGAGAAAATGAAATACGCCCACCCACCCAAGGCACGCACAACGGATTCATACACAACAGATTGAAATAGAAGACAAACGAAGTTACAAATCATAAACCGCAACAAAACCCCACGAATCATCCACCATAAACAGCAATTAAACACAACGCAGTCCATTTCTTACATTTCCCTCCACAACAAATAAAAACAGAGAAGAAACTAAAAAAGGAAAGAGCGAGAGAGAACAACCTATCGGCGAGCAGTGGAGATGCAAAGAAGCGAAAGAGAACACTTGGAGTGGTATTCTTCTGTGCTTGGCCCGGATCTCGAGCCAAGACAGGAGACACGAATCGGATCTCCAAATCGCGGGGAGTGGGGAGAAATGGAGGGAGTAGAAGGAGACGGATTTTGTGAAGGGAGACAAAAATGGAAGAAATGGAAACCCTAGATGGTTTATCGGAGCCGGATCCGAATTTGTCTGGTTCTTCTTCGCTCCGGTTGAGAAGGGAGGGGAAAGAAAGGGATGAGAGAGAGCAAATTAAAGAAAAAATGGGGGCCAATGAGAGGTATTTATATGGAGGCTACGGTTATAAGTACACGTCATCGAAGTTTATCCTTCGTTTCAGCAGTCCACGTGGCGCCTTGCCTTTAGCCGATCCACCGCTGTGTGTTTCCCCCGTCTTTTGCTTCCACTCGGCTCCGCGCTAACCGGTCCAGTCCCCGGAGATAATCTTTTTGCTCTTTCTTTTTTTTTTTTAATATTTATTTTTTTCCCATATATTTCTCTCCATTTACTCAAATACATGGCTCGGCTTTTTCAACTTCCCAACTCTTTTGATTTCTTTTCTCGTTAAATTACAAATTTTTAGTTAACTTTTCCCGTTAATATATTCATAAACTCTCAGTTTTGTATTTAAACTCTGAACGTTTAATTGTATCTAATTGCCTTTTTTTTTCAAATTTCATGTCTAGTATGTTATTGACGTATTTGATATTTTTCTAAATTCGTAAATTTATATGCCATAAAGTTGAATTTTGTTTCCCGTAAGACTTTGAACCTTTTGATTTTGTGTCGATCCATTTGACATTTTTTTTAAACTCGTTAACTTATTTGGCATAAAATTGATTTTGTGTGTAATAGAACCCTAGTCTTTTAATTTTGTGTATAATAGGTTCATGACTAGATTTTGGAATTTTAACATTTTTTTTTCATATTTTTATCCTAATCTCAAACTCGAGTAATCTAAAATGTATGTGGTGGACATCTAGTAGCTTAGTCTATAGTGGGTGGAATGAGTACAGATACTGATTTGTAAAGTATTTCATTCTCAAAATAGTTTTTGGGATTGGAGACGAGAGAATGATTTTGGAAATGAATTTATGACGAGATGATATTCTGAAAATAGTTTTAACGTATGAAGCAAGTTGTTGCCCTTGGATGCCTAAGCACTTATGGCATTTATAGATACCTTAAATTCAACAACAATAATGGTCTCTTAGCCATAGTCACTCTATTTGTTGATGATCTACATTAAATTGAGGAAGATCATGATTTTTTATCTTTTGACCTCATAATTGTACAAGATAAGACACGGTCAAGATTTTAAATGTCGGTTGACATGTCTACATATTTCCATTACTAAAACTATTAATGAAAATTAAAAAAAAATATCACAAATAAGAACATAAAAACTAAGAAGAAGAATTTTAAATTTTAAAATTATTTAAGCGTGTGAAATACTCATTTATCATTATTTGTTCCCAATTTAAACCGATGGCATGAGTGATTAGTGGGAAAATTAAGTAGTATCTTTAAAAAAATCCAATATTTTAAAGGAAAAAAAAGTGGTGTGATAATTTAGAGGATCATTTTTCAATGAGATTTGCTGTTTGCTTAAATATGAAGAAATGGAAATTAGAATACGCCATCATAAAATTCTTCCATTTTCTTAGTAGAGAACAAACCCCTTTCTAACTTTAACACGTGATAAAAGAAGAGCTTAGTTCTCCTTTTTTCGTAATGTACAATATTCTTCATCATTAGTTACCAATCTGTTGTGCCAATGTAGGCCCATTTGGAGCAACAAAGGGCCTACACATTTGCCAAATTATGGGCTTTCTCAGCCCATACTATGATGATTCAAAAGCCCAAATGGGTGGTCCATTCAACTCTTTGCCTCCATGGGAGAAACTCTCTGAGTTTTCACATGCTTTCTCTTGTTCTTCCAGAACTCATCTTTCTTGCCCTTTTTCTTGGCTTTCACCATCCCCATTTTGCTGTTTATTATACCCAGAATGGCACTCTTGTCTTTCCTGTTCTTTGTAGCAAGTTTTACATCCAAAATTGCTCTAAGTTTCTGGTATGACTTCACATCTGGCACCTGTCCACTTTTTACCATCTTCTTGTGATAGAAGAAAGCTCGTTTGAAGTCGCGAACACGAACATAGGCGTAGATCATGGTTGAATAAGTAACCGAGTCGGGTTTTAGTTCTCGAGCAGCCATCTCCTGCAGCAGCTGTGGCATCTTTGCATGTTGCCCTCCCCTTGCATATGCATTCATCAACATATTGTATGTCATGACGGTTGGTTGCAATCCAATCTTTCCAAACTCAGAAATCACATCTCTAGCTTCAACATAATGACCCTGTTTTGCAAACCCATCTAGCAGTATGTTGAATGTTACTCTTGTCCCTTCTATTTTTTCTCTAATCATAAGTTTCCAAATCTTCATCAATGCCACAGTGTCACCCGCACGCCTAAATGCATCGAGCAGAGTCGTGTAAGTTTCAATGGATGGCTTTAAACCTTCTCGTTGCATGTTCTCGAATGTCAAGTAGGCTTTCTCGTGCCAACCGCTTACAGAATAGGCATGGATAAGAGCTGTATATGAATGTGAAGTTGGCCTAATGCCATTTTTCTTCATCCTCAAAAATGCATCTGCAGCCATGTCACTCATTTTCTTTTGCCTTCCATAAGCACTAATCAAGCAAGTGTATGACTTCACATTAGGCTCAAAACCCACATCCTTCATCTCAAGCATAAGCTTCTCAACAACCTCAGGTTGCATCCTCCTACTGTATGCATCCATCAAAACGTTATATGTTGCACTAGTCGGTTTCACCCCTTTAGCTTTCATTTCAGCAAAGAGACCTTCGGCTTCCTCGATTTGGTTCGATTTACTAAAAGCATCCAAGATCGTGTTATACACGATCGCATTCGAAGCAACCCCCTTCTTCTCCATCTCCAATTGGATGATAAGCGCTTGACTCTTGAGCCCCTCGTCGCAGAACGATTTAATCAGGGCACCCAAAACTTCTGGACTCCATTTTACTCCTTTCTTGTTCATTTTCTCAAAGTAATCCCAGGAATCCTTTGCACTGCGGCCGATTTTTCTCATGACTGTGATCATTATAGAACATGTCACATGATCTGGATTAACATTATTTGTTTCCATGGCCTCATAGACCTTGCAAGCATCATTATACCTAAAAGTTATAACATGGAAATGAGGATTAGAGAATAATCAAAGTCGAGCCTCCCCAACTACTACGACTACCTCGAAAGATATAAACCATGCTATTTCCCCCCAAAAAAATATGACTTCAAATAATTTGTATTTGACAGCCAATTTGAAGGCTAGTTCTTCCATATACCAGAAGGTTTATTCAAGTATTGTTTTCATTGGATTGGAAGAGTATGGCACAGAACCCTGTCTTTCCTCTCCCCATAAATCATATGTGAACAGAACATAGATTAAGGAGGGATTAATACTAACAAGGTGTAGTTCTACTTAATTTTGATAAAAATAGAAAAGAAAGATCTACTTATATATGCTATTCTAAAGGGTGCTATGATGATAAAGATCTTCGAATATTCTGAAATATGCTCAATATCCTGCTTCGAGTTTATAAGTTTGATAACGTTTTCATTTCTTGCTCTATTTCCTTTTTTAAATAAAGAAAAATATAATTGCATGGCATCAACTCTATAGATTCAAGAAGGATACAATTTTTAGAATGTTTCTAGAAGAAATGAGAAACAACACACATAAATAGTTGTCAAATATTTAAATTTCTTAATAAAATTGAAAATGAAAACAAGATACGAGAACGTTACTAAACAAACCCCTCAGTATCCCTGGCATCTCTTGAAGTTGGTTTTGGGGCGGGCGAAATCCATAGATTAGTAGGGGTAGACTATAAGCATCAAAAGGAAAACAAAATGCTGTGATGTTTCAAAATGGCATGCCTCAACTTACACAAAACCCCTAATCCCCATGGCAAGCAACTTATCAGAAATTTATCATTTCAACAGCTCCGAGTTCAATCCAAGTTCCTCCATAAAGATAAATGATGACAGATGACTAGATTAAGCAGCAAGAAAAATTATCAACTATAGAACAAACAGAACATAAACAATGTCATAAATTTAGGCCTATCTCGTACCTGTTACAGAACATGAGCCCAGACATTGCTGAATTATACACATGAACATCCTGGAATTCCTTCTTGAGCGGAAGGTTCTTGAACAATACCATAATTTTTTCTCCCATTCCAGCTCTCCCCAGCGACGGAAAAATAAGAGAATAAGCACGAGGTGTAACAAGCGAAGGCTCCTGCAAACCCATCCATTCAAAGAAATACAAGCAACATACCACAAGATTCTCCTCACCCAACAAACGTAACACCTCCATACATTGTTTCTCCCCAATTCTCCCATCGAAATCTGCCAAAGCCTCTCCCAGGGTCGTATTTTCCGGCAAGTTCCTCGCAGTTCGCATAATGTCTCCGACGACGCCGTCAGGTAAGGCCCTAAAATTCTGACTCACAGAACTCAATTGTCCGGCGACTTCGTCGATTGTAATTTCAGCTTCATCCGCAAATTCGGAACCAGAGGCAAGATGCCAAGAAGAACGGCGATTCTTCTGAAGGGAGACTTTGCTTTCGCGCTGGGGGTCTTGCGTCGTTGAAGTGCGTGATTTGAAGAATCTGAACAGTGGGTCATCCCAATCTTCCATCTTGTTTCCTTCATGGCGATGAGCTCCTTTAACTTCTTCTTCTTCTTCTTGTTCCTCGTTTTCCTCGAGAAAAGGGAGGAAAATCGGGGATGGAGACTGAGTGGTGGGATTTGGAGATGTTGCACATGAGCAGACGAGTTTCTGGGTATTGAATTGAAAAAACAAGTGAGAATTGGGAGAGTATTGGTTCAGATTGGGCTTGCGAATGGAATGAAATGAGTTGAGGAAGTGGTGTTGGTGCGCAAGAGCCATGGGAGCTTGGTTTTCGGATAGGTCGCTGCTCAGTGATGAGCCGGAGGCTGTAAGGCGGGAACTTCACGGTTCATCGCGTCATCGGTTCGAGTTATGGAGCTTTCTTTGGACCAACCCGAAAATTCGAATTCATCGATTCTTCTACTCGATGCCTAACCCAACCCAGATCGGTGAATCCGATTTTTGGGATGCAACGCGAACCCAACAACAGATCTTAAACACAAAACGTTGGGATGAGAGTGAAAATCGTGAGAGACGAGTTTGAAATGAGAGTGAGTACCTGCGGGGAACGGCGGCATGAGAGAGAGAGCGAGCGAACTGGGCGGTCGTGAGAGATGAGAGTGTGACACGTTCGCCGGCGGCTTGTTTATGTAAATAAATCCTAAAATCTAATCTAATGCTCCATTGGAAATGAATTTCAAAATCTGATTTTGAAATTCCTCTCAGAGGTTCCAAACAGGGGTAAAAAAAATATTTATATAAAATTGGTTCAGTTCGAGTGGAATCGAAAATTTGATAAACCAACTAATCGTTCTTTAAAACACTAGAATATTATCTAACCCAACCCAACTCATATTGTAACGACACATTAAAATAAAAAATTAAATAAAATTTTGTAATATTTTACACGTCAATGAATAAAAGTTGTACACAAATAAAATTGTAAAACAATTAGTTAAAAAGTTACCAACGTTTGCTCAAAATGTATTTCTAAAATATTTATAAAACATTAAATGTTAAAGATAGTATCAAAACTTTAGAAAGAATTTGGGTATTTTTCAAACAAAACACAAAGTTTAATGTAATCCTGTAATCCTCCATGTTTCTTTAATTAATATATATTAAAAGATTTAAAATAAATTGAAAAAATTATTTGTGTTCCTATGAAGCGATTAATCTATTGAAGTAATCTTGGATGACTGAGGTTCAATTGAGTTGGCAAATTTCATTGCCTGAAATCCTTCGAAAATGTAACGCAGAACTAGAACATATATATATATATTAAAAAAAAAAGAACTAGAACATATATTATGAATTCAAGAAATGAAATTGATTGTGCTCCTGTGTCCTATGACGCTTCTAAATAAACATCTCACATGAATTAAACCATGTTTGGCCTCTGTGGCAGCAGAAGATTATAGAACTTATCATGTAAGAAGAAATTCTTCCCTTTGCTATCAACAGCCTTTTTCCATCCACACCACCCACCACCAACAATTTTCTTGATGTCATCGCTTCCTGTGTAATGAGGATCCAGTATTAAAAACGCACAATCTCCGCTGGCTTCATTGTAATCAACTCCCAACAGCGTATATGCAAGAACACCACCTCCTGTACAATAGAAGGAGATCAATAATCTTGAGCGCACGAAAAATTAAGTACAGATTCCAGTTTTACCAGATCATCTACGACGAACTCACCAATCATAATCGGAGTTCCTTGATTCTCGAAGTGTGCAGCCAATTCTCTACATTTTTCGGGAAGTTCGGCCCCGGATCTGACATTTATGATTTTGCAGCTCACCTACAAAAAACACACATCTTTTTTTCTTAATCTTAAACAGTTGTTGTGCAAGATGATGTATTGATTATCCTTTTGCTACACAACAATGTTTCATAACGAAAATAGCAACTTACACCGAGCAATTTGTCAAGAACAAAGCTCAATTCGATGGCACCAATCCATTCACGTGACCCGATGAATGAATCGTCCTTGTCTCCAATTTCCACTAGTGCTTCTTGTATTTCCCTAAAGAAGGTAACTGGTTAAGCAATATTGCTATATTCAAACTACAGATAATACAAAGTACTTGCAAATTCAACCACATAGCTATTGTTTCGGATAGGCAAATTGTCTGATTTCATTCTCGTGATAAATGGAACTGTAGGTGATAGGAGGCAAAGAAAGTTAATTTAGAGTAGTCATACCAAGTTCCAGCTAATTCGTACCTATGAGAAGGGACATGTATGGAAGTATAATGTTGGAGTCTGAACCATGAAATGATGGTTTGCAAAGACCGGTAAGCACAACCCCAGCCCTACAAGTAAAACACAAGTAGTTACTGTAATCATAGTAAAAGTGAAAGTAATCTCTTCCACCCAAGAAGGGGGAATATCTCCAAAAACATCATACACCACTACTGAAGCACACCCGTAGAGTAAAGACGTCCTTCAAAACAATCAAAATTGCCAAAGCTTCTATCTATCTTATGCAGAAGAATGATTTTATGTTGACTTCATTGTTCTCTTCCAGAAGAGAGCAAATCAAATAGTGTTATTTACTACAGTCTTCCTTCGATGCATCCTATGTTTTCAAAATTCAGAGAAACCCTAAAGGATAATATTCTTAATATAAAATATTTGATAACATCAATCAGAATTTTTTAAGTTAATTATTATCACTTTGTAACTGTCAGGTGCACGTCTGTTTTTACTAAATTCATTGTATATTCAATAGCTTAACACACTACAACTTCTAGGTAAATGGAAAGTTCCAATACCGAGTCATTGAAACCTTCTTGAAGATAATGATAGTACTCATATGACCCTTGAACCAGAGACATTTGGCCACCTGAAACTGCATAATATAAATTTGATTAACTAAGAGTCTAATGCAATAACATAAAAGACAATATTTGAGAAAAATACTAGCAACCTACCACCGCTGCTTGGAATTCCAATATGAACATCTTTGAGCAAATAGGAACCTGGTAAGATCATTAAATAACAAGATATTAGCATTGAAAATCCAACAAAAGAGAAAGGAGAACAAAGATTGGGTTTGTTCTGTACGTGCTTTTGAATAATACTGACCCTTTCGTGTAGAACTGTCTTTCCTACCAGAGAAATCCAAGGCACTAGCACTTCTTAGCACAGGACGATCAAAAGGTAGCCCTAACCTTAAGTGTAGGGCTTTCCTTATTTCAACTGCACAGAAAAATGGTTAAAATTACAAATGATTAAAGTTAAGCACATCATAACAACTTAAACAGAAGAATTATCAGTTGCAAAATGATAAACTTTCCAATTCCTCTTTGAAATCTCCTGCTTAGAGAAGAATACACTGTTCCAATAGTAATAAATTAAAGATCACATTTTCTCAAGTATCATGCAAATTATTGGCCCCACTAAAACCAGTAAAGGGAGGAAGTACTAACGGATTAATGATGCTTGTACAATTAGCTAAAATGCCAATTGACAATTTACCATAATTCTAATGACATTTGTATTTTCACCATATGATGTCAATAAGCAAGATTGGTAACTCAACACGTGATTTAATTTTATCGGAGGTCGTGCACCTTAATAGCTAGCAGAAAGCGTTGTGGTTTTACCTTGCTTCATTTCAGTCTCCCCGTAAGTGAGTTCATAGATAACAGTTATTGGATGCAAAAATCCAGGAGGGCAAAAATGATATGGTACTAGCTGCAGAAGCAAAGATCCTTGAAATTAACAGGAGCAAGTAAAAAAAATTAGAAAATAAAATTATTATCAAAAAAAACATCAGAGGGACACAAGTAGGCTCCTAAGATCTATTACTGATGAGACGTGCAAATATACAGTATGGATTAGGTCAAAAGTTGCAACGGAAGAGATAGGAAAACCAGATCAAAGAGAAGGAAAAATAACTGTTTAAAAGAAACCATGAAAAGAGGACAATGTCTGTTTAAGAAAATCATTAAAAGAGGAAAGTAGATTTTGGTTTGTGCCACAAGCAATGGATAAGAAATTGAAGAGCCTGATCATTATACCTGAGGCAGTTGCTTTAAAAGGTTGGGTAAGATTGCATTCTTCATTGAGTTCAACTGATCAACTAAACCCGGAATGACCAATGTCGAAACAGCACAAGTTAACGGAAGAAACTTGGCAGCATAACAGAGAACTTCTACCTTAAAATCAACCACCAAAAGCCTGGGCTTGCCCATAGCTGAAAGTACATAAGTTTAACTTCCATTAGGAGTGGCAAGAACATCTATTCCATGACAAACATTTGCTCATTACCACTTTAACGACTGGAGAGGTAAAGTTATGAAGTAAATACTGACGTCAATAACTACCTGGAAAGTACTCTACAACTGGTGCATTAGATTTTTGAGACTTTTCCGAGCTATTTAGTAGAACACTTACTTGGACTATATCTGCATTCTAAGAAGAAAAGCTCTTGAAAAACTAGGGCTGAGATCCCATTCTAATTACTTAAGGTGAAACAAAATAAAAACACTAAGAGAATCACTCAAACTCCTATATGTCACATAAAGTCTTTCGTGCCATAAAACACCTGAAAAAAAATCAATACCTCTGAAGAAAACACTGTGGACTCAGTTTTACTTTTGGAACAGAAGTTTGCACATGGCACAGACGTTCCTTCGGCATTTCGGGTGCCTTCACTCAGATGCTTAAATTTTGAGACATTAATTTGGAAATCCATCTGTGAACCACGTAGAATGACCGGACAAGGATCTTCATTGGAGTTTTTACATGATGGTTCCACAACATATACAACATGTGGGTCCCTCAACTTGGAAACAACTAATTCTGTGGCATGGATGTACGTCTTCTCAACATCTGAAAGATATGGGAGTTCAAATTGATGTTGAGATATCTCTCTTATTAAATAAAAGTAAGAAAAGAGATGAACGGGATAAATCATTACAGCCATTCATAATTGACAAGGCTTACATTTACCAAAACTGAGAAAGCATAAGTATAGTATCCCTCTCATATGCAATAAGTTATGGTATCTAAACAAAAGCCACCGTTTAAACTTCACCTGATGGACTGTCGAAAGGAATATAGAGCGGTACGTTAATCGGTAGTTCGCACCGGAGCAGACAACCTCTCTCCCAAATATATTTTTCAGGGTTATTTTCATATATAACAGAGGGAACAGAATCGATGCTCTTGCAATTTTCAGACTCGGAGACAAAAAAGTGAATATCTGTGGAATTGATATCAGCAACAGCTCCAATCATCAATTGGGTCTCTGCTTTCTCACCATGAGATAGAAGCTGACTCAATCTCCGCGCTGCATCAATCGCCTTGCTCGCATGTTCTTCGACGTTGAAATTTCCAACAACCCATGCTCCAATTATATAAAAACCCTTCAATAACAACGTACGGAGCTCTTCTGCTCAGAAAAGCAGATTAAGTTCCTCAATTCTAATTCGAAAGGCAAAAAATCAAATTCACTCTAGGAAATGGTTGAATCAAACAACTAATGAATAATTCTAATGCAGGTTATCTTCGAGTGAAACTTATTACAATATGCTTACCTGCTTCCTTGTGGAAATCAGGCGAAACAGATTCGGGTGGAGACAAATAGTGGATGCATCTGAGAGTGGAGACGATAGTCAAAGGCGATAGAAAGGGCGATCCGATGAGCCACTGAAGAGCCGGCTCCTTTTTCTGGAGAACAAGCCTGGGGGGCAGAACTCTGATACTTCTTTTCTCGTCGACTTCCTCCATGGATGCTCGCTCCAAGCTCGCTGCTCTTGGAGCGCGAACTGTAAATTCTTCGCCTACAGTTCCATAACGCATACGCATACAGCCGCAGAAATTGTAGTAATGGGCTGGGTTGAAGAGGCCCAAATACCACAACGAAGCCCAGTTAGTTATCTCTTTCCAGGCCCAAAACCTGACCGCGTGAACTGGGCCTCGTTCATTGAGCTACCAGTGGCCCACAATATGGGACTTAACTTTCCATTTTTATTGCATTTACACGGTTTTTTTTTTTTTTTGCAGTACTCTTATGCAGTCTATAACATTTCAAGAAAAATATTATTTAATATTTTCATGTCACAGAGAAGTATAATGAATTATGGTTCTAAGTTGAGTATTGAACTCCGGAAAGAATTAATTTTTATTCGAATTTCCACCATTTATTTGAAATATAATACTCTTTAAAAATGTTTCGATTAAGGGTATTTGAAAAGAAAAAAAAATCTTCCCTTTTTATAGGACACCATGGAAAAACATTTAACAGTATTTTAAGATGTAGTGGCTGCTTGTTTACTCTAACTAATGGTCTTATACTTTTTTTTTTTTGTTAAAAGTTAACGAAGCTTTATAATTTTTTTAAAAATAATAATATTTTAAAATGGATTTTTCATATTTGAAAATTTTCCAAGACCTCAACGACATTTTTTGAAAAAAAAAAACGAAAACAGTGCAAATTAATAATTTGTAGGCGTCATTTATATTTAAAAATTATTTGATATAACCTTCTTTATTTAAATAAAAATCGGTCATTCTCAATTAATGATTCATCATTGATTCATAATTATCTATTCAAGAAGTACAGTATTTCATTATACTAAATTACAAATAATCCGATGAAATACATATAAATAGTATATGAAATATTAAGCTATCTTTATCAATAATATCTACTTGAACCATTTTAAAGTAAAATCCTAAGATCTTTAAAAATAATTTATGTTCGAAAAAACAAAAATATATTTCAAAGAGAGAGACACATTATCTATGCTATTGTGACATTGCATCCAATTCATATATATTGTTACTAATATCATTATTCATGATTATGAAATAACATTGAAAATGTTTTTGTTTTTTTAATTATAAAGGTGCATCTTGATTTATAGTACAAACTTGTTGTCATATCATACAAATATCTTTGCATGGTAAAGAGACCAAATCTACGAACCTCGATTAGTTAGCGTGCTAAACAAGTAGAGGACATGCAAAAAAGAGCAAACACTTTGACACTCAAGTCATTAGCTGGCTGATTTATACTTGAGAGACAATATTGTTTCGCATACCTGAAATTGAGGTGGGAGGTCGCTATTTATAGGCGGAGCTTTCGACAGGGCTTCTGACAAGCTTCCAACGATTGTCCGACAGTCCGAGAATTGCAGTTTGTTGTCATGAATGATATTAAAATTATATACCTACAGAATTGTCATTTGATTGACTCGGCTGATAACTCAGGCGATCGAAATGTGAGACTTGGGTCGGCTCGCATTGAACATAAGTTGTGACTGTCTCCAATAGTTTGACTAGATGTAGTTACTCTAATGTCTGAATTCTCATGTTGGCTCATCAGTGTTGATCATATTATATGTAAACATGTGGCACAACACAATTAAATCAAATTCATCGGCTTTTTTTTTTCCTTTTTTGACTTCAATATGCACTGTAAAAGAAAATGTTGGAAGTAAAATAAAAGGAGACAAAGGGAGAGGAAGGGCGATCATGTTTTGGAGTGTAAAACCAAGACCAAGTCGAGGTTTGACTTTCATGTCGAGCCTTACCTCCCGACATAATTGATTAAAGTAAATTTAGCAATGTTGCACCCAACCCGCCGATATACCTACCTAATAAATTAAAATTTGTCGTGTAAATTAATGATTAAGTCTAAACTTATATGTTTCTAGAGCTTTCAAAATTAACGTGGTGATATAATTACCCTACCCCGCTAACTTATACCGTCACCACACCACGTGCCTCCAAATCATTGCACCATTCTCTCTCATTTCATTTCTAAAGCCAAATCATTAAAGGACCTTCTTCTGATCTTTCCATAAAGCTCTCGAATTGTATTTTGTTCGTTTGTTCCCCTCTGTTGCCTTACAAATTGATTCAATTTCGTTACTTTTATCATTTTCTTTTCTTTTCTTTTTTACTTAATCTTAAAAAAAGAGATTGTTTTTTTTTCTGGCTCGAAGGAAGAGGAGAGGGACCATTTTAATTTTCAACCCCACTATGTAATGTGTAATATGTATCATGTGGCTGAGATTTCGAAACAATGCTATGTGAACTATATTTTTCATAAGGTTTATAAAAAAATAAATGGGTGTCCTTTTTCTAGTGTTCGCGGTTGATTTACAAGCTTCACACCATGTAATGAACTAAAATAATTTTTTCTCTTCAAATCGTCTCATTGGACAAAAAACATGTCACGCGTCATCTTAATCTCTATTAATTATCTGAATAAATGTACTTTGGAAGATTAAAATTGACCATTAAGATAGTTAATCACCTAGTCTATCTAAGATCGGATGGTAGAAGAACCACTCAACACCTCCACTCACTGCTACTTCAAGTTGCGTGTCGTGTTCCACGAAACGTGCACTGTGGCCGCCTACCACGACAACCCGTTCGACTCCTAGTATTTACAATTAATTTGCTTCCAAGTATGAACGAATTTGTGGATATATTTAAGAAAGAAACACATTAAATTTTTTCTAACTTAAACGTTGGAGCGCTCATTTATGTCGATTTCAGCTGAAAGCCAAACCCCACCTTTTAAATTTTTAGTTGTAATTAGGAGGAAAATATACTGTCGGTGGAAAAATGTTTACAAAATTAACACAAGCATATTCACAACCAGACAAGCTACTTTCTAGCCATTAGATCGGAAAAAAAGCCACTATAAAATAAAATCCGAAAAATAACAGCACACAAATCCACCGACAAAGCATTTGGGCGTGGAAAAAATTGACCAGAATTTCCTCTTAATCTGTTTTTATTTAATTATTACTATTTTTGATGTGGAAATTTGGGGTTCCTCCATGTGCCTTCCCGTTGAAGTGGAATAAATAAAAACTTTGGGTGGAGAAAAACGATTGGCTGAGAGAGAGAGGAGGGTGCCACGTAGACATAACACGTGGTGGCGGACGTGGAGGGAGGAGTTGCCAAGTAATTGTCAAAGGAAATCCAGAAGGGCAAAGGAACATGCATGAGCGTCGATGGACCTCAGCATTATTGGATCCTATCCTAATCTTAATCCATTCCTACACACCATTAAAAGGACCTTCACGTTTGCCTTTTTGTCGAAACATCGCTCCATTGTCGAATCATTGCACTCCAAATTCATTCTTTCCCTTTTTTTAATCTTTAAAAAATATAAAACTATTTTCACCATTACCACTATTTTCTTCAATATTCAATGTTATAGATATAATAAATCGATAGGTAAATATAAGTATACTTCATTTCTAGTCAAAACATTATTTATCCTTTTAAAAATTAATGATCCTAATCCCTCCACATTGTCCGATTCTAGTTATACTCGAGAAAAAATATATCAATATAAACTCTCTAAAACTCAAGTCAGACAAATGATTCAATTAAAAATAGCAAAAAATAGGATTGTAGGACATATCTCGCACCCCAAACGTCCCATCGAGTTGGTTTGGGTGGACTAGCTCGATGGGGTCCAATTAGATTGGGTAGGGTCTAGTTGGACAACTCAACTTACGCCACTTTCTTGGTCTCACTTTAGGTGAACTTACCACGATAATTTTATCCACAACTAATAACAATAGCCAAAATAATTATTTTTTAAAATAAAATATTTATAAGGATGGGTAAAATATTATCTTCCAAATATATTTATGTATAGGCAAAAGAGACAACAATTATTATCTTTATTTCACTATAATTTTTTTGTTTTTTAATTTAGAACTAACCCCTCGTTCCTTTTTCCTGGCCTAAAGATAAATTTTAAATGAAATAGAATAAAGTTAATGAAAATGAGATTTAAATTGTTTTTAATCGGGAAAAAAGGTGGATAACAATATTGAATGAGCTGATTGGTTGTTTGAATCCGCGACGGACGACGGGGATTCGTCCGGAAAAAAGGACGTTAAAAGACCCCCACCACGTGACGGAGGGAAAGTGATTTGCTTGGCGCCTCTCCGGCACGCCACGTGTCCGGAAAGTGGCTTTGCGAGGATGCCATGTCAGCCAAAGCGTGCGGAATTGCGGCGAGGTTTGCGGAACTAAAATAATTTTAAATAATAAAAAAAAAGGAAAAAGAAAAGAAAAGGACCTACAATTACATTAGCTTTATAGAAGTTTGATTTTGGAGTGCAAAGCATGTGCGGGTGTCACGAGGATTTCTGGGCGCAATTAATTGTCCCTCAAATTCAATATATTTTGCCTTTCAATTACCCTCCTCCCCTCAATTTCCGCTCCACACATTCTCAATTTTGTAATAAAGTTTCCCACCCATATAATATAAGTTTGGTGCGTATCCTTATCAAAATTTTCAAATATCTCAAATACAAAATTAACATTACATCATTTATTCATGTAATACATTACCTTACAAATTAGGTAACACAAATAAGTAAACCAATCAGATAAAATAAATGCATCCGAGCTAAAGGTTTAGTTTTATAATGTATTCTCACTCATCCATTACAACAGATTTGTTGATATGTTTACTTTTTTTTCTCATTCGACTTATTCCACATGGTACTACGTCATATTAATAGATAAAATAGTAATTAACATATCTAAGACCTAGGACTCAATCTCCTATACCCTTTATATTTAGAAATAAAAAGAATAATAAAATAAAATCTCCTAAAAATATCATTATTTTTATTTTTTCCTCGAATATGTCACAAATTTGGTTTTAATGCAACGGTATAAGTTTGCAATTTCTAATACTTTTTGTAATTATCTAATATCACCACCAAAATTCGAAGGCTTTTTAAGACGATGATACGGGAGTTTGTATTTGTTAGTTGGGACGTGTGA